AGGCCATGACAAGCCGACGTCTTACCACCACAACCGATCGGATCGCGGCAAAGACCGTGGCGGACAGCGAGTCCGCAAGCTTCAGCTAAGTGATGTTGATTGGTACGAATCATCAACCAAGCGTGGATCATGCTTTATGCGGACGACTAGACCTTCTTCCAGCTCGGAGGGCGGATCCTGGCAACGATGAGGGGTAGTCGATGACTTCTCCAACACATCATCACGGCAATGTCTACAAGCGTTGCATGCCTGGCTATGGGTTCTGCATCCAAGCTGAAAGCTCGGAACAGCCTCGCGGAGTCCGCAAATACCAGTAGAGTTTGCTAACGATAGGGAATTCTCTGACTATAGGACGTGAAGAAAGCAAACCACACAGAACTAGGTTCTATGCAAAACACATCATCACAGTCTAACAGACGCAGCCGACGCAGATCGCCGGGACGCTGCAGCGGCCAAACTTTTCAAAACGAAGGATGACTCGCAAGGCTGACCAAGGCACAACAAGGATGCCGGGCGCAAGAGGCAGTCGAGAAGACCATGGTTATCGAGGATTTTCGAGGGCTCCACCCACCTGATAACGCAGACCAAAATGCCGAACATGCAAGGTCTGGCCCCAAGACCTATGGCAGACTGACAAGCAAATGCTCCATAAGCAGCAGTTAGGCAGTGGAGGGCAACCGGTTTTTGTGACGATAGTCAACTACAGACCCAACTTGAGATTCGTTCGGTGTGTTGACTGGCTACGAGGGGCCGAGGAGATGACTAGGTGTGAAGATGGGGGCAAGGCAGATCTTCAGTATCCTTCACGAGCATGTGGCATGGCGTTTTCAGGAACTGATGCTGTTATTACCAGAGCCAGAGACACTTGGGCACTCGCTTCTGCCTCTGATTATGGAGGAGTATCACATCATTCGTGAACCACCACATTCGTTTAGTAGGGGGAGAGAGAGGCGATGCTTTTCGAGATAGTAGGAAATACATAAAAACGCATACGCGAGACGTGTCGTGCTAGACTTGTCTGCCAGACCGGATGCTTCCTACGCGGCCTGGGCGACGGCGGCGGCCAGCGAGGAAACGACTGGTGTGATTGTGATGGCCCCAATGGCTGCTGCGGCCGAGTGGGTAATATTCTGGTCTTGTACTAGACTGGCAGATGTGGTGTGCTAGGTAGCGAATGGACTTGGGCAACGTCCAGACACGCCGGTTGCGGGTGTGGCTTGCAACAGATCAAGAGCGCGGGTGGTGGGTGGAGTGGAGTATCTCGAAAGACGCTGCGAATTAGATCGGATGTGAGGCGATGGTGCTTCTTGGCAGGCAATGGAGGAAATACGAAGTGCATATGTTTCAGTTGGAGCAGACAATAGCAGTTACTGGGGAGGGCGCCATCGTTCGTTTCATCCGGGGAACAGGTGCCTGGTGTTGAGTAGCAGACGTGGCAAATGCCGGATCTCGAGGAACTCACTCTCGTTCTGATTTAGTCGAGGACACCTGATGTCCTGACAACGAGTTGCGTTGTTGATTTTGCCATCGTTGCAGTGCAGCGTGACTAACGTCTAGGTACATATATATCCGGTGGACGCAAGACTGATACTGCAAGCAAAGCGGAAGCGCGTCCGGCGCGGTCCATGCACGTACAAAGTATAAGCCTCGAACCTTGGCGGTTGTAACAGACGAACAGAGCCCATCTCTTGAGATCGATGCAGACAAAATGACACGGCTGGGCCCATCTTTTCTTGGCTGGTCCTAGGCTCGTTTGCTCGAGGCCGTCCTGATTCGTCCAATGATGTAGGGCCCTGGCGGCACCTGCTGGCTTACCAAAGTAGCTAGTTACCTTGAATGGGAAACTGCCGCAAACGGACAGAATAATGGTAAGAATATACGGGAGCATGGGAAGCTTGGCGGACATGGCCGGACGTTTGTTCCCTCAACGCCAAGAAAAAACGATAGCATGATGGACCCAACGCGCCGTCAGTGGATGCAGGCGTATAAGAGTGGTCACTAGCCACACAAGTGAAACTCGAGTCGGCAGTGGCGGGCGATCACGATGGCGAAATGAGGCCGCAAACGACCACTACGGTTATGATACCGAGGAGCCCAACTGTAGGTGGGAGCAAGAGCTGGGAGAATGGTGGGAGACCCATCTCCTAATGTCCTGAAATCTCACATTCCGGCTGGCCCTGGGTTGCTCGGACGTTCACAGACATCATGGGACGGACGGGTGTGGTACCAGTCACCATTTCAGGTTCTGTGCCAACCATGTCGGAATTGAGGATAGCCTGAAGGACGAAGGGGGGTCAGAAAGAGGATTTGAAGCGGATGCAACAACGTGAGCAATGTGATGTCTTGTCGCAGATGTGATCGGGAGGAAATTCCATGGCTGTAAGGTTACTGTGTTGGAGTGACTGGGAAGATTGGATATGTAGAGGTTCGGATGCGTTTGCTGTCGTCAGTTTTGGCCTGGGACTGATCGCGGCATGGTCTAGGATTCCCTACATCCACGACGCTCGAGCCTAAACCAACGAAGTGAGCTTATGGAGGTGAGGGAAGGCGAAATGGAAGGTGAGGTGGATGATTCCAGAGAGGATTCCCCACACAGCCAGGATCCTCTTCTGCGAGATCAACTACCCCTGGACTAAATCGTCCTAGTGCCGCCAAGGAGAGGGAAGGATCCATTATCGGAAAACAATCACGCCAATCACAACTCCTTCTAGGTGCAAGTGGGACACTCTCCAGATGTTTCCTCCATCCCGTCTGAAAGCACATCAACCCTAGGTTGGACGGCAACGTCCTTCTGCATTCTCGCATACAACCAGGCACCAGAGCTCGACGTTCACTCACTCATTCGGATGAGGCCATATTCAGGCAGACAAAGAGAGGGAAAATGTGATGGCCATGCTCTTTGACGGGGGCGGACGAGACGCAAGACCGCGATGATTCCTATGGCAACCGCGCGGATACTGGATTTCACGTTTGACAGGAGACAGCACAGCTTAGAGTTAGTCAGTGACACTTCACCACCGAGCTGGTTGGGTACACGATCAGGCGCTTGCAGTTTGGGAATGTTCATCCTAGGAACAATTATACAGCCGCCCCTACCGTCCGATCCCTCTTGCTGGGCTGTCGATCCGCCCAACGACTCCTTCTGATCCCTGGGGCTTCATTGTCTTGACCGTCTTCGCTCTAGTCCGCGACATCAATGTACGGAAAGGGGTGAGGCAGCTTAGCTAAGCTGAGGCACCGTGGCTCACCTCCCGTCCTTCGTTGCAATTCCTCGTCTACTTTCCACATCCCGCATCGCTTGGATACCTTTGGCCTTGTTCGACCTCCCGCGCACGTCGCATTCTCTCGCGTCCTGCTCGGACCTTGACGACGGTGGATGCTACTAGGCCTAGCCCGAGCAGGCATTCAAAACTCGGGTTCGACAGGTGTGCTGAAGAAGCTCTTGGCCTGGGCTGGGCTGTGCATTCCGCAGACTAGGACTAGAGTCAACTCTCGCTCAGAGGTGCTCTTGGCAATGAGTGAGGACATTGCTTGAGGCAGTCCGCCGTTACCATCGCAAGCGCCCCTCTTGTCGTCAGTGACTGCAACGCAAGGCGAGATAGGTAACATGGCAACAAGGGTAGGGTACACGAAGACGGGGCCCGGAAGTAGCCATGATGCGCAATTTGTCAACCAGTGTTCGGCTGCGTGGGATCTCCAAGACACGAGGCAACCAGGCCCAGAGGACCTAAAATGACACACCTCATGTATTCTAGCTGTCGCCCCGAGAAGGAGAAAGAGGCAGCATACCGCATTTTTGGACGAGGCTGTCGCCACGACGGCAGCCCGCTTCGTCATTGTTGCCGCACAGAAGAAGCCGGAGGCGTCCAGTAGGTTACCGAAACACGTCTCCGGTACCCCAGAGGCATGGCGGTTATGCTTCTAACCGGCCGGCTGCAATTCCAAGAGCTAGCCTATGCGCGAAAATTGAGTGTGAGGCCGGGTGGCCATCTGCACCAAATCGCCCACACACACACACCCTGACCCGACATCGGTGTCTATCCAACGACCAGCCTGCCCTACCTAACCTGACCCGTGCATATCGGGCGTCCCCGAGAGTTGCTTGTCTGCTTGCTTGTCGCTTGTTTGCTTGCTCCTCCTGGGCGGGCAACCTAGCCATCCCACCCAACAACTAGACTAAGGACCTTGAGCCATCCGTCCTGACCAAGTCAGTCTGTGATATACCGGATTTGTCCAAGCCGGGCGCGGTCCTATCGAGTCTCGAACCCCGTTCGCGCCTCCTCCGTCTTTGGTCTCTTTTCCCTTTCCGTCGCTCCACACGTCAGGCCCAGTGCTTTTATAAACGAGTACAAGCCGGCCAGCAGTTCACCTCTTCTATTTGCCTCCCAGCGCCTCTTTTAGTCTTCATTGCTCCTCATACCTTCTTTGTCCTTTCTGCTGATCCTCATCCATGATGCATTTGTTGATCTCATAAAAGCCCATCTGACCCCAAGCTATCACGACCAATCTGTTGGGGCTTGAGTGGCCCAGGTAAGAGGACGTGTTAGTGTTAGAAGGCGAGTCGCCTCCCCTTTTAGTTTTCCAGCGACACTTCATACTAACTTCACCTTTAAGAAAAAGGTAGAGGTTTCCACCTTCGCGACCGACATAGTGGCACCCATCCACCAAGAATACCTCACCCGACCATTCCTTCCGGACGTTTTTGTTCTGTTTGTACAGTACGCCTCGAGCAACGTTTTCAGCCCGACCTACCCGTGCCACCAGGCTCGAGGGAACCGGTATTAAAGATAGTACGCGCCGAGCAAGCGAGCTGCACTCATCCGACGACACCACGTCCATCCTGCAGCATTCCGCCTCTTTCACCGCGAATTCGATTTTCTTGGGTGACTGAGGGGTAACTTTTCATTCGGCTTCTTGCCCTCCTTGGGTTTTCACTTGAGCTTCAAAGCTCGTCGACTTGCCCACCATACCCAAAGAGACTACCCAAATAACTCTTCAAGATGGCGGAAGTGGACGAGAACTACTGGCCGACGAAGGACGTGAGTTTCCTTTTTAAAGCATGACATTTGCTTCTTTCGCTGACTTGCTCAGATCGTCTACACGGCCATTGTGGGCTTGGTGATGTTGGCGGCCATTCTTGAATGGTTCCTATGGGTCGCCGCGTTTCTATATTGCCTCTGGAAGGTCTTCATCAAGGCTGAACATTGGTCCATTCGAGTTCTGGCGGTGGTTGTTGGCGTTATATTCACATGCTTCAGGTGAGTGGCCTCGTATGATACTCTCAGGAAGTGTTCAAAGCTGACATCCAACAGAGCCATTTTCCTTCCGATTATGATCGTCACACTGCCGCTGCCCAGTGCCGTCGTCAAGTACTGGCCAGAGAACATGGTTGACGTCCTGCAGTGGTTCGCCTTTTGGAGTTTTGCTGGTCTGCTGACCATTCCCTGGCTGTTCTGTGTCTACCAGCTGGTTACCAACCAGCTTGGCAGAAAGAAGAGAATCAAGCAGGTACTCGACGAGGTTTCGGCTCCCAAGGTCGTCATTGTCATGCCGGTCTACAAGGAAGACCCTGACGTACTCGTCGTTGCCATCAATTCGGTCGTAGACTGCGACTACCCGCCGTCGTGCATTCACGTCTTCCTGTCCTTTGACGGTGACCAGGAGGACGAACTCTACTTGAACACCCTAGACAAATTGGGGGTTCCATTGACTCTCGAAACGTACCCTAAGAGTATCGACGTTACTTACAAGTCCGCCCGTATCACTGTCTCCCGTTTCCCGCATGGTGGAAAGCGCCATTGCCAGAAGGCTACCTTCAAACTCATCGACAAGGTGTACGAGCATTACCTCAAGAGAAACGACAACCTCTTCATCCTTTTCATCGACTCCGATTGTATCCTCGACCCTACCTGCTTGCAGAACTTTGTCTACGATATGGAGTTGAGTCCCGGCAACAACAGGGACATGCTGGCCATGACTGGTGTCATTACATCTACGACCAAGAAGCACAGCTTGATCACATTGCTCCAAGATATGGAATATATTCACGGTCAACTCTTCGAGCGTACCGTCGAGTCGGGATGCGGTGCTGTTACCTGCCTTCCTGGTGCTCTGACAATGCTTCGATTCTCCGCGTTTCGCCGCATGGCCAAATACTACTTCGCCGACAAAGCTGAGCAATGCGAGGATCTCTTCGATTTTGCCAAGTGCCATCTTGGAGAGGACCGTTGGCTTACCCATTTGTTCATGATCGGAGCCAAGAAGCGTTACCAGATCCAGATGTGCACGTCAGCTTTCTGCAAGACCGAGGCCGTACAGACTATGAAATCACTCATCAAGCAGCGCCGACGTTGGTTCCTGGGTTTCCTCTCCAACGAAGTGTGCATGCTTACTGATTGGCGTCTTTGGAAGCGTTACCCCATCTTGGTCCTTGTCCGGTTTATGCAAAACACCATTCGTACAACGGCCCTGCTGTTCTTCATCATGGTGCTCGCCATCATCACCACATCCAAAAAAGTCGAGAACTTGCCAGTCGGTTTCATCGCCATCTCACTTGGGCTCAACTGGCTCATGATGCTGTATTTCGGTGCCAAGCTCAGGCGATTCAAGATCTGGCTCTATCCTGTCATGTTCATCTTGAACCCGTTCTTCAACTGGTTTTACATGGTGTATGGTATCTTCACTGCCGGACAAAGAACTTGGGGAGGACCCAGAGCCGACGCCGCTACTGCTGATACCTCCACTACTGCCCAGCAAGCCATCGAGCAAGCCGAGGAGGCCGGAGACGATCTCAACGTCGTGCCCGAAACCTTTATTCCTGCCGCCGAAGCTAGGAAGGAGAGCATTGCCGGCGGCAAGGGCCACATCATCATGGGTCATCCGGGTCGCAAGCACAGTGTGGTCCAGCCGCCGCCCAACATCGAGGGACGTTTTGCCGCCAGAAAGAAGAGTGAGAATGGTTTCTACGTCAACCCTGATGACTCCCAAGTTACTGTCAACCGGTCTGGTCCTAGCGGATTTGGACCTGCGTGGGCCTTGCAGTCACGCGATTCGTTCGATAGTATGGTATCGGCGCAGACTGCTGGTAACTCTGTCTACATGCCTCGCCGCGTGGAAAGTATCATGGGAGATGAGGATAGGAAGAAGTACGAGCTCGCCCAACAGAGCCAGTTCAACCAGTTTCTGTCCAACTCGAAGCGCTTTGGGGCACAGACGACGTCGACCGGCCAAGTGTACGAGTACTCAGACGCTGAGATGAAGCAAGCGGGATTTCAAGACGCACCCGATCCAATGGAAGGCGGTCAGGAGTACACGGACAACGTGAGGATGGGCAACGTTGACAACCGCCTCTCTCGACCCAAGTCCGGAGAAGGCTTGTCATCGAGACAAGGAACAACGACGACGACCACCACCACCGCCACCTCCACGCACTCAATGTCTACAACTCATTCAGCACGTGGTGGCCGTAGTCCACTTGCACGAGCCAGCCTTGTCCGTACCATCCAGCTTGAAGATGTCCCATCCGAAGGTGAGAGCTCGAACAGCGGCAAGAACAGCCGCGACCATTCGCCCAGGGGCAAACCATAGAGCGGTGAAGGATGGAGCAAAGGAAGACAAGTCGTGCTGCAGAATGGATATATGCATAAATACTGGCGTTAGAAGGGCCTGTAGTGATGGGATTGCAGGTAGAGATGTGTTGACAGCATCTTTGTTTTCGTTTTTTCCCCTCCTTCCTTTTGTATAATCAAATCGGTTCACCCAGAGGTCAACAGTGTAGGAAAAACTGAAAATGAGAGAATCTGGCCGTGTGAACGTCGTTGGAAACGGGGGACACCCATGGCTGAATAGCTGTTGGCAAGAGTTACCTAATACAATACCGCTTCGAGACAGGCATAGTCTTGGAAACCGGTGACAATGAGTAATGATGGTGACATGGCACCGGAAATATGACGGTGGCCGGCTACAAGCAAGCTAGCAAGTTGAAATGGAGACTCCAACGCCGTGACACCATCAGCCCAGGAACAGGCCTCGAAGAAGGCAGCTCGGGTGAGTCGCCAGATTCTGAAGAGATGACAGCGGTGCATAAGCGCCAGGTATCGAATGTCGAACCCGTGCCATGGGATTGGCCTTCGTGAGGTAGTAACTTAGGTAAAGATGGAGAGTCTGGGGGATGCTTGTGGTAATAACCGTGGCACAGAGCAGACATTACCCAATGGTGGGGTATCGCCAAGATTAGATTAGATAAGTGCAGGTGGGATGGACTGATCGGGATGCTGTACTCTGGCGAGACTTGGGTGTATTCGCTGCGTAGGTATTTCGGTGTGTATAACGAAAAGCAAAGAGGCTGGTGGTCGGCAGTCAGGCGGTAATTGTCCATGGTAGTAGAGCAGGACGCGTTGATCCGGAGCATTTCGGCCGAAACTCAATCGTCCCTGACGTTGACAGATTCGGGGCATCCCTGAAGGTGCGACATGTGGTCGCTTGTGCTGGACTTCGTGCCAAGAGAGACAAAGCCTGACATGTCGGGATTGTTCTCGATTTCAGCGGATGCCATAGGTACATTGGTCGGGTGCATGTTTCCTATGCGAAACGGCGTGTTTGTACTATGGCACCGGATTCGAGCAGGTCAGGTACACCATCCGGATGATGGCAATGTTGTCCCCGTCCGCAGCGTGTCTCCTTGCCTTGATTGTTCGCCTCGTCTGGCCTTACGTAGCAGGCCCCAGAAAGCCCGAGCCAGTTGGGGACAAGGAGCCGTGAGGGGTGGAGGGGGTGGAGGAGCAAAGGAGCAATGGAGGGGCAGGGCTGGAGTACGTGACGAGAGACGGTGGACAGTCCGGACAGGGGCCGCCAGCGGAACGACAGAGAACGAAGGAGAATCTTCTTTCCCATTCGGCCTCCACTACTATTTCAGCGCCCCGACCACGACACCTGTGAGAATTCCGCTGGAGGAGCTGCCTCTTCCCCGCCAAAAAAAAAAGAAAAACACCCCCCCATCCTCCGTCCACTAAAGACGCACTCTACCTTTACTGAGGTCCAAAACGCTATAGGCTCACCATTGGGTATCGTATAGCATAGCTCACAACAACGGCACAAGGCATCAGGTCCAATACACACATAGCACTGCTCGCCTCAAGCACAAAGGTGGCCACTTAGACTTACCGCTCTCTGCCTCGCCTTCCCTACTCCCTGCCTTCCACACAGTGTATCCACCATCCACACCTCCCATTACACACCAGCGCCCAGGCTCAGACTTACGCTAGAGCGAACTGCGCGCACTCGCACTGCAACTTTTTTTTTGCCCACCTCCCACACATCCCACCTTCAGGCTCTCTTGCATATCGACAAACTCTTAAACCTTGCATTTGTCTGCATTCTGCTTTTCCCTCCCCCATCCTATCCAAACGAGACGACCTTTTTTCCTTTTCGACTCGACCGCTTGCAAATACCCTTCCAGCAAGTCGGATAATCAACCCCTACTCGATTCGACTCGACTCGATTCGCATCATCACCTCTCTCCCCCTCTATAGAGCGTTGTTGTGAGCGCAACCCCGCCATCATCAAAAGTCCGCCGAACGACCCTTGTTTACAATCCTCACAGAAAGAACACAACCACCCAACATGAGTGTCGTCGGTATGTTTGCGCATCGTCGCTCCCGTCGCCCGTCGACGTGCCACATGGATAGAATGTTTGCTGACTTGCGCCCTTGCTTTCAGGTGTCGATTTCGGAACCCTCAAGTCGGTCATTGCCGTCGCCAGAAATCGCGGCGTCGATGTGGTGCGTACCCAACATTTGCCCCTCCCCCTCCAAAAATTTCGGCATTATACGACAGAACAATGACGGCTAACATTGGTATTCTAGATCTGTAACGAGGTCTCCAACCGCGCCACGCCGTATGTATTACCCAGATTCCCGCCTGACGTATACACATTCTTTTTTACAGTTGTGCTGACCGCTATTCGTAGGTCTGTGGTCGGCTTTGGTCCCAAGTCGCGATACCTCGGCGAGAGCGCCAAGACGCAAGAAATCTCCAACCTGAAGAACACCGTCAGCTCCATCAAGCGTCTTGCTGGACGCTCCTTCGACGACCCCGATGCCCAGCTCGAGCAGCAGTACATCACTGCTCCCCTCGTCGATGTCAACGGCCAGGTCGGCGTCGAGGTCAACTACCTTGGCAAGAAGGAGAAGTTCACCAACACCCAGCTGATCGCCATGTACCTCAGCAAGCTCAAGCAGACAACGCAAACCGAGATCAAGCTCCCCGTCTCTGATTTGGTCATGAGCGTCCCTGCTTGGTTCACCGACATCCAGCGTCGCGCCATCATCGACGCCGCTGAGATCGCCGGCCTGAAGCTCCTCCGCCTCATGAACGACACTACTGCTGCCGCTCTCGGCTGGGGTATCACCAAGCTCGACCTCCCCGGTCCCGAGGAGAAGCCCCGCCGCGTTGCCTTCATCGACATTGGCCACAGCAACTACACTGCGTCCATCGTCGAGTTCAAGAAGGGCGAGCTCGCCGTCAAGGGCACTGCCTTCGACCGCCACTTTGGTGGCCGTGACTTCGACAAGGCCCTCGTCGAGCACCTCGGCAAGGAGTTCAGCGGCAAGTACAAGATCGACATCCACTCCAACGGCCGCGCCATGGCTCGCACCATTGCCGCCGCCGAGAAGTGCAAGAAGATCCTGTCCGCCAACCAGCAGGCCCCCGTCAACATCGAGTCCATCATGAACGATATCGACGTTTCCGCCATGATCACCCGCCAGGAGTTCGAGGCCATGGTCGAGCCCCTGCTGGCCCGCGTCCACGTGCCTCTTGAGCAGGCTCTGGCCGAGGCCAAGCTGACCAAGGACGACATCGACGTCATCGAGGTGATTGGCGGTGGCAGCCGTGTCCCCGCGCTCAAGGAGAGAATCCAGGCTTTCTTCGGCAAGACCCTGTCCTTCACCCTGAACCAGGACGAGGCCGTTGCCCGCGGTTGCGCCTTCAGCTGCGCCATCCTGTCCCCCGTCTTCAGAGTCCGTGACTTCACTGTCCAGGATATTATGAGCTACCCCATCGAGTTCACCTGGGAGAAGGCCCCCGACATCCCCGACGAGGACACCAGCCTGACTGTCTTCAACCGCGGCAACGTTCTGCCCTCCACCAAGATTCTTACTTTCTACCGCAAGCAGCCCTTCGATCTTGAGGCCCGCTACGCCAAGCCCCAGGACCTTCCTGGCAAGATCAACCCGTGGATCGGCCGCTTCTCTGTCAAGGGTGTCAAGGCCGACGGCAAGGATGACTTCATGATCTGCAAGCTCAAGGCGCGCGTCAACATTCACGGCGTCCTCAACGTCGAGAGCGGCTACTACGTCGAGGACCAGGAGGTCGAGGAGGAGGTAAAGGAGGAGGAGACCGGAGAGAAGAAGGACCCTGATGTGAGTTTTGCGGCGTCTCGTTCCGAGAATTTGTCTTTTACCGAAGTGGGCGATAGCATGGAGTCGCCGCTGAAGCGGCGACGCCACGGTGTCGACCCGAAGACTCGTCCATTTTCATCCTGCGCATATGTCGAGGAGGACGAAGATGAGATCTCGAAGCTAACCTATGCACTCCCAAAGGCCATGGAGACCGACAACAAGGAGGACGCTCCCAAGAAGACCCGTAAGGTTAAGAAGCAGGTCCGCAAGGGCGATCTCCCTATTGTTAGCGGCACCGCGTCCCTGTCCGACACTGCAAGAACCTCCCTCTTTGAGAAGGAGTCTTCCATGGTTATGGAGGATAAGCTTGTCGCCGACACTGAGGAGAAGAAGAACGAGCTCGAGACCTACATCTACGACCTTCGCAACAAGCTCGACGACCAGTACGCCGAGTTCGCCAGTGACGAGGAGAAGACCAAGATCAAGGAGAAGCTTGAGCAGACCGAGGTAAGTTTAATAATGCAATGAGGAGGCCGAAGCTCTGTATGAATAGTTTGCTAATTTCTCAAAACAGGACTGGCTCTACGATGAGGGTGACGACACCACCAAGGCTGTCTACATTGCCAAGATCGACGAGATCCGCGCCATGGCTGGCCCCATTGTCCAGCGCCACTTCGACAAGGTTGAGGAGGAGCGCCGTCTCGTCCAGGAGAGAGTAGACGCCGAGAAGGCTGCCAAGCGTGCCGAAGAGGAGGCCCGCAAGGCCGCTGAGGCGGAGAAGGCTCCCAAGGACGAGGAGATGACTGATGCCGACGGCAACAAGCCCGAGGTTGAGGAGGCTGGCGAGGGCGCGAAATAAGGGCCTCGTCCGACCAGACTGGCGCCTGAACGAGAACGAAAGAAAAAGCGATAAGTAACGAAGACGATAGAATAGACCCTAGTTATGGTTTCTTTCGGGTTGGCATAGGGTTATCAGGCTAGAGCAGCTTCGACGGTTTTATCATGGAATGAGAGAAATGACATGATCTTTGATGATATCCAAGCTGGTCGTCTTTGCATGCACATGACTTTCAACGTGATTCCGTGTCATCCTACCTGTCTTGCTTGAAATGTCACCCAGGGCCGCCCGGGTGGTCAGGATTTGGTGATTCTGCGCTCGTGGAATCCACACGGGAACATGACCAGAGAGCCGACTCTGCCGCAAGACACGCTCGCTCTGACGGGGCGTCTTTGGCCCCTTTGTTCGACTGGGCAACTCAGCAGCAGCATTGAACGGCACAAGGTCGGCCGTTCCCCAAACGTCAAACATCGAATGCACTCATGGATCGTCATCGTGACCGAACCTCGTGCCCAGATGGAATGAATGGTTCATTGACCTGCTTTTATATTTTTTTAACATGGAAACTGTACCACACAATAGTAGATGCTTTTAGGGGAGAGACTTGGGGAGAAGACAAGAAGAAATAAAAAATAGTGAAACGATGCAGGAGATTTGGTGGGGATATGATCATACACAAAACAAAAAAAAACAATGTTCCTTTTTTCTTTGACTCGTCCATCATCAATCCCTTTCCCATGTCACAACCAAGCCCGGGGTTTCCTGTCTTCCTTTCCTTTTTCCCTTGTATCAAGAAACATGGTTCTCCTTCATCACGCAAAACGAAACCACCCTCGCAAATCCTCTATCCGCCATGCGATCTGGACAGACAAAGAGACCACGGCCATCCCCTCCCAGAAAGGAAGAGGCGGAAAGGGGGGGGTTCTGTATTTAGTGGATGTCGAAGAGGGGCTTGAGCTTGATGATGAGCTGCCACTCGTCGTTGCTGACGTCCTTGCGGTAGAACTCCTTGAGCGTGTCGATGGAGGCACGCGAGATCAGACTGTACAGCGTATCCGACTCCTCGAGCTGGCGGCCGTAGGTTGGCTGGTGGCCACCCATCTCGATCTTGACGGCGACCGAAGGCTGGCCCTTTTTGCAGACGGGGACCTGCTTGTGGTCACGCTCGATTGAAGTACTAGTGGTTTGAATGTTAGCTTTCTTTTCCAGATGGTTTGCAAGCAAAGGACGCGGGAAAACCTACACTCTGCCCAGGTTGATGACTTCCTTCAAACCGGTAACGGCGTTATTCTTGACAACAGCAATAGGCGTGTTGATCTTCAGCTGACCCTCAACGACGTCGACACCGACAACGATGGGGTTGGTCTTGTTGAAGACGGCAACGGTGTTGAGCACGCAGGGGAAGACAGCCAGCATCTTGGACTCCTCCTTCTTCTTCTCCAGGAGCTCAGCCATGTGCTTGGTGAAGGCGTCGAAGAGATGGTAGATAATGTCTGCCGTGAAGATCTTGACACCGACGTCGTCGGCGTACTGCTGTGCTTCCTTGTCGACCTTGACATCGAAGCAAAGCATGACGGCAAAATCGGCCGCCTTCTCCAGCATGATACCGGCTTGCATGACGTCGCGCTTGTACACAGGACCGATTCCGACGTTGGCAACAGGAATCTTGCAGTCCTTGAGGAAGTCCAACAGAGCCTCGAGGGAACCGAGAGTGGAAGCCTGCACGCTGACACCACGGCCAGTCTTCTCGACACGGCTGAACAGGGTGGCGAGATCAGACTCGACCTCGTCGATGATGTCGTCCTCGTCATCGTCAGGGCCAACAACCATCATACGAGAACCGGCAATGGCACCCTCAAGACCAGGGGCACTGATCTTGACACCCAAGGCGGCCTTGACCTCCTTGTTGTGTACATACGCCGACTTGAGACGCAGTTCACGCATCGGCGCCGGCGTCAACAAGGCACGGATGTTTGTGCAGATGGCACCTTCCACACCACACAAGACGATCCTGTCACCCTCACGCAGGATACCGTTCGACAAGACAACGTCGACGGTCATGCCGAAACCCTCGATGGCCTTGACCTCGAGAACGGTAGCCTGGACCTCGGAAAGGTACATGAGGGATCCGACCATGCGCTCCTGGGTGAGCTGGATGATGAGCTTCAGCATGTCGGGGATACCCTCACCAGTGTGGGCGGAGGTGGGGATGAGGGAAACGTTCTTCGCCATGGACTTGTTCTCGTAGAAAAGCTCGGCGTTGAAGCCCTGCTCGGCAAAGGCAAGCTTGGTCTGCTCCAGACGGTTCTTGAACTCGTTCTGGACACCTCTGGGCTGCAGGGCCAAACTCTCCTGGAAACCGTTGTTGTCGACCTTCTTCCAGCCGTACAGACGATCGATTTTGTTGAGAGCAACAACGAAGGGAGTCTTCCTCTCACGGAGCATTCTCATCGACTCCAAGGTCTGCGGCTCGAGGCCGTGCATGATATCGACAACAAGAATGGCGATGTTGCAGAGTGACGAACCACGAGAACGCAAGTTGGAGAAAGACTCGTGACCAGGGGTATCGATGACCAACAGACCTGGGACCTTGAACTCAAACGAGCCGTCAGTGTTGACAACGGCCGTCTTCTGCCTGATAGCCTCGACAGGGAAGTAGGTAGCACCAATCTGTTGAGTAATACCACCGGCTTCGCCCTCTTGCACGTTGGTTTGACGGATCTTGTCCAGAAGCTTGGTCTTTCCGGTATCGACGTGGCCCAGAATACAGCAAATGGGCGATCGGAGGTTGTCCTTGGATCTCGCTGCCAGCGCGGCCTGGTGAGCCTTCTCGCGACGCTCTGCGGCCTCCCTCTTGCGTTGAAGCTCGGCTTGGCGAGCCGCCGTCTCCTTCTCATCTTCTTCAGAGTCGTCGGATTCGGAGTCGGATTCGGAGTCGTCCTCCTCGTCCTCGTCCTCATCGCCCTTCCGGGCGGGCTTCTCGGGCTTGCCGTTGGCAGCCTTCTTCTTCTCTTGCTCTTCGTCGCTGTCGGCGTCCCAGCTGTCCTTGACGTCCTCCTCCTCGGAGGCGGCGGCAGCCTCCCAGTCGTCCTCCAGGTCGCTGGCTTCAGCGGCCTTCTTCTTGGCGGCAGCAGCTTCGGCCTCGGCCTTTTCCTTGACTGCCTTCTCCTCCGCCTCCTTGTGGAGACGCTCGGCCTCCTTCCTGGCGCGCTCGGCAGCCTCGGCAAGGGCCTTCTCTTCATCGATCTGCAGACCAGGTGTTTAGTTTGGGGGAACTATGGAAAGACAAACGCATGCGTAGCTCACCTTGTCTTGCGCCTTGCGGCCTCCCTTCTTCTTGTTGTCGTAGACGACCTTCTTCTTCTTGTCGCCATCGGCCTCGTCGGCGGGACCGACCTTGATACCGGCAGCAAGCATCTGCTGGAGCTTACGCTCGTTGCGAGCCTTCTCCTCCTTTTGGGCCTTGGTCAAGAACTTGCCCTCCTTCTTGAGCTGTTCAATCTTCTCCTTCTCCTTCTGCTTCTTCAGAGCCTTGGCCTCCTCTCTGCGCTTGTTCTCCTCTTCCATGGCGCGCTCCTCCTCCTCGATTCTCTTCTTCTCCTCCTCGGCCATGCGAGCCTGCTCTTCTTGCTGGCGGCGGAGCTCCTCCTGCTGCTTCTGGAGTGCAGCAAGGGCAGCAGGAACCTTCTTCTTCTTACCACCCTTCTCCTCAGCGGGTGGGGGAGCGACGGCAGAAGCGGCGGGCGTCGGGGAGTCCTTCTTCTCGGGAGCTGCTTTGGCAGGTTCCGTCTTTGCGGCAGGGGTGGTGCCCTTCTTCTTCGCAGCCTGTGCAAAACAATATTAACAAAGGTTCGCGGTTCCGGAGAGAGACCATATAGACTCACCTGCTCCTTCTTGCGCTGCTTCTCCCTCTCCTTCTTCAACTTCTCCTTCTCGGCCTTGGTCAAGACGCGGCCGGAACCATCCCCCTCATCGTCGGCAGCGGGGGATGCGGCGGCGGCGGCCTGCTTGCCCTTACCACCTTTACCCTTCTTCTCGGGCAGGGCGAACTCGTCCTCCATGGTGGCTTCCTGAGGGGCCTTCTCAGCGAGACTGGGCGAAGGTTCGGGCTCGGGCTCGGGTGCGGCGGGGGGCTCCTCGATGCCCTTCTTCTTTCTCTTCTCTCTGTTCTTGCGCATGGTGGCCATGAGACCGCCGGGGGCTTCATCCTCCTCCTCGGCTGGCTTTTCGGCATCAGCCTCTGGGGTGGCGGCGGCGGGGGCAACGGTCTCGCCAAGCTCATTCTCCCAGTCGTCGTTGGCGCGAGCCTTGTTTCCCTTCTTCTTGGGAGGCATTTTGGCGGTATTCGACGTTCGAGTACTGTGGACGAGTCGAGTAGATTCTTGGCTAAGCAGCTGGGCCCGGTGCAAAAAAGTTGCTGGGTGTGGGCGATATCAAGCAGAGAGTGACGGGTAGAGAACCGATGGAAATTCCCTAGGATGGGTGGGGTCGGGTTTTTGGTGGCTCAAGAAGAGAAGCACAATGAAGGCTTTTCAACGATGTAAGAGATTGGGTGGCGAGAAAACCGAGTCCTGGGTGCAATACTGTCGGGGCCGACACGACATAATACGGACGATGTAATACGCCGGTATTTTCGAGTTGAAGAAGAAAGACGGCGGCCGTTGGACGGTGTTCAAAATCTCGAGCAGGGAAAATGGGATGGCAAAGATTCACTGCGGGGCAAAGGACGAGTGTTCAGAGGCCGGGAGTCCAGTGCGTAGTGCGGTCGCACTTGGTGCGTAAATAGCTGCTGTGGGTTTGGGGTATCTCAGATTGTGCAGGCACTTCCTTGGGCTACCAACCCGCACTTGCACAATTTTCATGCGCCGGCTTTTAGCTACACTACAGACACTTGTTGAGCATGAGCTGACGCTACACTAAGAAATACGAGTTCGACTGAGGCCAATTCCATGAACGGTAACGGGTACTGCCATGCAAGGAGTCTCGGGTCGGTTGGCTTGCCTTGCAAGCGTCCTTTCTCGCAGCAGAAAGAGTATTTATTAGTAAAGATAGGGCAGCACACATATGTATCGCCCACTCACGGTGCAAACAAAATTTCATCAAGGTGTCGTCCACTCAAAATTCTCCATTACAGCTGCGACCTGCAGTGACCAGTGCTGGATACACTACGCACACAACCTGGAAGCCAAGCTACCCATGCCAGCCCCTCAGTCCCCACATTTCAACACATCGAGGTTCTCAAGTGCATGAGAGCTTGGCTATAGTGTAGGCCTCCGAGGTGACCACATCTAGGTGTCTCTGCTTAAACCCAGGTCATCCGTACTCCTTCACGGCGTAGGCCTGTTCACCGAGGCCAAGAGCTAGAAATACACCAACAGATGGATGACGTCTTTTCTTTTAGTTGAATGACTCTTACCCCAACGCTACTGGAAATGACAGCCCCGTGGGATGGGGTGCTTCAGCTTGGCCCATCAATGACCATCTTCAATGTCATTACTCAGATAACAGGAGCTAGGTAATAGTCCAAGATGTCGTAGGCCAGCTCAAAGTACCTTGAAAAGTCGTTGGCGTCCTGGAACGATGCCGTCCATTTTCCGTCATCCAGGTCGTCCAGATACTCCCGCAATAGGTCGATGTCGCTGTCCTCCGATATAATCTTCTCCAGCGCCCGATAATCGACGCACCGCTGAAGCAGGTCTCCATCGATGTGCTTCATTGATTTAGGCGTCTCCTTTGCCTCCGCATCGTACTCCTCATCTTCTAGAACTGAGACTTCGTAATTGTACGGAAACAGCAATCGACTTCTCAAGGCCAGGTTCTCAACAAGACGAAGGAATCGCCATGCTTGAATGTTGAGAAGGCTGAAGTGCAAAAGCGATCCATCAAGGCAGACACCAAGCACCTCAGCCCCGTCAACCGTGCTTGGTACGCTGCCGTACCGGGGCGCATGTCCCGTTGCAACCCACTCCGGCCGCACATGGCCCCGTTGGAGTTTCCTAACACTGGCCGGTAGCGGTCCCTCAGCGACAAGTTCCAACTCTCTTTGAGGCTCTTTCCAAGGAGTCCACACTGCCGTGAAGTATCGGTCCATGCCAGTGAGCAAAGTCACTGGCCAGGCCGGCTGTTCGTCTGTACTATCCCCAACATCGAAGAAATGGCTCGATTTCCGCGTTACCTGGTCCGCGTGGATCTGTGTCATATCGCCATGTCCGTGTTCTGACTTGTGGTCAATGACCACTACGGAATCGCTCAGAGTCAGTGCCGATATTTTGCCGTTGACTATCCGCAGTGAGGTGGCAGGGGAGTTCAGCTCATAACTCTTTTTCCGAACGAGCTTCTTCTCGACGGGATCAAGAACGTCCCAGTGGAGCACATTGCCGGCGCAGTAAATGATGCTGTCACCGTCTCCAACAATCGAGTATATGGGCGCAAGCTCCTTCAACCTGTATTTGGTGAAGAATCGTATCCTCGTTCTCCTGTTGCCCTCGGGATCTCGGCTTTCTTCCTTCTTTGGGGTCACAAGCAGGAGGCGCCCACCTGCTGTTGTGATGATGAGATAATGGAAAGTCATCCCATCCCTTACGAACAACCAGTCATAGACTGCATGTATCCTGTCGTTGAGACTTCCCATACCACTGATGAATGTCGTTACGTTACCGTGTTTGTCTTGAGGAAGAGAGAGATCCTCTCCTGTTTCGGGGTCCATAAATAGGATGGTCGGCTGTTGTCCGATCTGTACAGCGACAACCAAACACTGCAGCGTTTGGGAGTATAGCAACTTGGAGGGTGTTCCCGGCAATGGCAGGCTCTTGGGAACCGGCCCGGCTTGCAGATACAGCTCTGTGAAGGATATACGCTCCCCGACAGAAGGACCAAAGGTATGCGATTGCTACTGCTAAGGTCGGTCGGTATGCTTGCAGCAGAGATGACTGGTACAGAGCCTGTTGTTGGATGCTTCAGATCAGTTACCCACACGCGGTGCCTGGTGGCGAACTGGCCTGGCCGCCTGGCCTCGAAGTCTCTCAGCAGAAGCAGAGTGTCGTTGCAGCAGATCAACACCGAGTTTGGGAGAAATGGCGCATCGACAGGAAGAACCTCAAGCGCAACCGTGCCAAGCCTTTCCCTAAAGATACGTCGGTGAAAGGGGGCAGCGCCGCTGAGCTGAACTGTTATCAGATGGCCGCTGCGAGTCCCCAGAACCAAACTCGTTTGCTGCTTTGTTTCAGCTACCGCCACGATAGTGTTGATAAGCTCAATGGTCGGTGCTATGTCCATTGCATCCCCATCGTCTGGCTCGATTGCCGCGTCATCTGTCACACATGAAAAGTTCAGCCGCTGCAGACTTCTAGAGCGAAGAGCAGCACTTACCGACATCGAGCCTTATTAGTTCAGGAGCTTCTTCCGACTTGCCAGCAGCAAAGATGGCTAACCAAGGGCTGTTTCGTCGCCACAAGCCAGCCATTATGAATTCTCGCCCATTGATATAGCATAGTGTTAGACAAGTCACCTCGCCATCAACGGCATATGTCTGAGTGAGGGACACCCCAGCATTGCTAGTGCGGAATGCGTGGATATGAAAGCGAGACCCTGCATAGGTCGATACACAAACACAATCACCCCTAACCGCTGCATGCTCTGCTACTCCATCTATGCCGGGGAATTCATCGAGTTCATATCTTGAACTGAGAACAATATCAGCGAAACTGAAAAGATCACAGAGTGATAGAAAGTTGGCCGTCAGAGACATACCTGCGGTCTCGGCTGATTAAGGTGATACTTTTTTCGGACACCTGAATGATGGTTTCCTCCAGGCTCTGAGCTGCTGCAAGAGTTCGGGAAGCTGTGTCGAATTCAGTCGACATTGGGTCCGCCATCTCTGCATGAGAGAGATCGGCGGATATGAGCAACACATCCGAGGTTCCGGGGCTTGCCATTAACATCTGGTATGGCCAGTTGACATCAGTAGTCCGGAACACCCAGACTCGTCTCGTGGGTAACGGTTCAAAGTACGAGATTATGTTGGCAGGGAGTCCGTAGCGGAGCTCTGTGATGCTGCCTTGAGGGCCATTTCCCGAGGCACAAAGGACCTTGTCTGGAGATGTCAAGTTATCCAGCGTTCGTTGTCGCCAGGGCACGACTGGTTTCCCCCTTGGCCCGCTCTCAGGATTCCATGTCGTCAGAGCATCTGTAGTGACAAAATCAACAGCACACGACCAGTTGGGGATAGTTCCAAGCTCAACGAGGGGCTCTCGAGGTTTGAGCTATTTCGTCTGTCAGCACCGGCCGTTGGAGCCTCACGAACGGTTCGCCTCACCTGGAATACCATTCCGGGACCAGAATCGCCCGCAACGATGGCTACATCAGAGTAGGCATCGTACATTGTGGTGAAAGCGGTGGAAATATTGCAGTTGCAGTTGCCGACATTCATGGCGGCGCTAAGAATGTCTGTTGCATTAAACTCGAAGAAGACAATCACCCCGTCTTCCCGAGCCAGGTAAATGAGGTCTTTTGTGTCGTAGTAGCGTCGTCTTCGTACCGGCCTATCCCATGCCGTCCAAAGTGGCACGCCAGTACCGTGGTGGAAAGAAGTCGTGGGGTGGCTGATCGGGTTGATCGTCTCAATATCGGGAGGGCCTTGGAGAGGGTCCTTGCAGATGCCAAGTGCATGCTCGGAAACCGCGAAGAAGGAGCTTCTCACCGTCAAAGGAATAATCAAGAGTGGCAGGCGATGCTCCGGTGCTATACGATGGCCACGCTTCTCCTCTGCAAGCACTTGGCTGAGATCGTCCCCACGTTCCCATTCGTAGATAACCATCTTTGATCTGTCGCCTTTAACAACGATGAGAAGGAGAATAACATGCTGTTCATCCTCTGGGCGAGGGTAAAGAAATTCCATCTTGAGTATTGTCCCCTGGATGGCCCTTGGATGATGTGTCTTGATTGGGTTGATGGACTTTTGACGCATATACTGGTCGCTCATGGACTCCATGGATTCAAGTTCGTAGACAACAAATTTGTTTTGGGCGTCAGCAACAGCAATGTAACGAGAACGAGGATCAACGGCTACATGAAAGCCCAGATGACCCAATCGCCTCGCTGGGTTGTGGAAGGGCGAGGCAACGAACTCTAGCTTTCCGTGAAGGTCCCTCCTGATGAAGAGGAAAACGAAGGACCCGGATTCAAGAACGAGAAGTAACAAGTGCGGCGGCAACAGACCATGGGAGCCGCCGGTACCGGAGGCCGAGCTGAAGTCGGCCATCTGAGTGTCGTCGTCCTCATCCTCGCTTTTGATATGGTCGGGCCCAGTTTCGTCAGCCACGACGCGGAAGTGCTCATACTTGTTTCCAATCACCAGGGCATTTCGGATGCGGCAGCCGAAGTCGCTCTTCCGCAGAACCTCTTGAAGCTGGCCATCCTTCCGCAGCTCATTGATGCTCACGTAACGGTCCTGTTCATGTGAGCTTTCGTTCTGGACAAGAGACAACGTATTGAACGCCGCGTAAGGGTGGTCGCATGGCCGTGCTAGCAGGCGGCTGTGGAAGGCAAGAGTAAGAGACTCACCCCAACGAAGGCGACATCGTTATGATGCGCAGATCTGAGGCGAGCTGGGAGAACCCACCGGGCTATAGGGCTCTCGATGATGGTTCTCGTCAGGATGCCGCAATTTGGCGGGGCAGGGAGTGAAGGGGCGGCGGTGGCGGCGGTGGTGGTTGAGCCCCTAAGCACAGTTTGGAGGTCGATAGTTTCCGTCACCCAGGCTCCATTCCTGAAGACGTTCGTCTGAAAGGCCATTTCGACGGACCGTACTATGTCAACATGGTTGGACCAGCTCTTGGTCTTGGGGACAGCAGGTTGGAGGAACGATGGCAGTCGTGGAATCGGATCAAAATTGTTTTGTTCTCTGCGCGGGGGACCAAGAGGTTGGGTCTCGTGACTTAAAAACCAAGTCAATATGAGAGCGTCTTTTCCCGTTTCTAGCAAATGTTTGAGAATGGGGGTTTATCGGCCGTACGACAGGACGGTGACTGGGGCTGAGCTACCTCGAAGTATGAGTAAGGTGAGGTAGGCAAGGTAGTCGTGCCGCCTGTTGCGACAGCCGGGGGAGTGGAGGTTGGTTTTAGAGTACCCAGCCGTGAGGTGAGAGAGTAGGTAAGTAATTACGGTACACCAAGTAGCTTAGGGTAGGTTAGGTACTCTGGCTGCTGGTGGGGCACCACGTTGCGCAAGACACAAGCTAATGAAACGTTCCCGAATGAGGTACTTTTTGTGTGTGAGAGTGTTTTTAAGCCAACGTTAAGGAACCAATGAGTGTGGTGCAAAGCAGAATATCTGTCAGGTAAGGTAAGGCGCGTCCCGGACTTGGGGCCGCCAGACAGCTTCATGTGTATGGATGGGCGTAACGCACATTATGGAACAAATGTCGGTGGCCGCAAGTAATAAAGCAAAGTGATGGTCAAGCCCGATGTACCCTTTATTTTATTTTTATCAAAGACCCTCATCTCAGCTTACATACCTCCTCCACCACACTACCTACCTACATTGCACTCACCACCTTCCTGGTCATTTCAGTTCAAGTGGTGTAGAGCTAAACCCGCAAGTTTGTAGCACCTTAGCCAAAGACCCTGCTCATGCGCACACTCACTCGGCCGACTCAGGCGAGACATAATAACCTACCTCTGGGTGTTCAGGGCAGCTCGATAAGGGCAGGTGCTGTTCGCGATCTAGATCCCGTCCAAGGTGCGCGGTGGAGCAATAACCCAGGCGTCTGCGAGTTGGATTCGCGAGATGTGCTACTCTTTGCTAAATAAGCCGGGACCCGACCTGGGTACTGCGAAAGATGTGTGCTTCGACCGCCAGACACTCCACTGTGACGAGATTCGGTCAGTACTGCATGAAAAGGCGATGGAACGTCGGTGGTGAGGTGGTCTGAAGCCATCTGCTTGTACTGTACCTTACCTTACGTATGGGCCAAGGCGGGCAGGCAGGCAATAGGCAGAGAACGACAGCCAGGCGGGGTTGGACGTTCCATGTGAACAAGTGTAGGTATCCCGAAGTGGCAGTAAAGTGAGTGGACAGTACAGCATGACACTGACGGCCGCTGAAGAAGTCGACCCACGAAATCCTTGCCGCCAGGTCCGCCATGGGCAAAGACTACCTTACCTTGGAGTCGGACAATTGGATGGGATAATCCAATATTGCGGTTGCAAGGACATTCCGGCGCCAAATAAGAAAGTTCGAATCAATCGTTGGTCCTTGCTTATTGGACAGATGATTGGTGCTTCCTAACCTGAAATACTTCAAATGTCACCTCCAGATGTGTGTGAGTGGAATTTCAAAACTCACCAACCAAGTCACTCCAAAGCACAGCAACGACCTCGCCGCGTGTCGGACGTGTAATCTGACGATCCACAACACTCGGAATGCCCTCTTGCATTGTAGGATCGGCGGCCATTTCCCCCCGCTGCACAGGCAAGACGAGCGAGTATCGGCCACACCAAACCTAGTGTATCTTTATGGGCTCCGACTGTCTGACCTTGGCTCACGCAATATGGGACGAGTGTTCAACAACCAAAACACCCTGGTCATATTCAGAGGCCGAAGTGGCAGACCCCAAAGCCATTGCCATCTACCAGCGCGCTATCACACATGTACCCGGAGATTCTACTCCAAAAATGAGGCAAACGGCCGAATCAATATGGAGACGTCGTCATGCGCCAGGGCCTGGATGCGGGTCTATGATCCTCCAGACCAGCCGGGGGTTACTCGACAAGGGACCCAGGAGTCATGCCTGTCGTTCGTGATGACATTTCCCCGTTCACAGAAGCCTCGTGCCGGCGTATGTTACTCGCTGCTGGCCCAACCGCTGTCTTTATTCGGTCATCAAATGTTCGGAAACTACCAACAAAGTCGGCTGGCCGAGCTGCAGTGTCGAAAAGTAAGGAACGAATTTCGCGACGATTTCCACCACGACAACTTGAGTCACTGTATTGCCTCCTCCGCAGACGGCCACGACTCACATTGGTGAATACTTTATCATGGCCAACACCCCCTCTCCGCTGTTGAATGCCCAGGGCTGTGTGAGCCAACTGACCTGTGTATTTATGTGCCTCATGTGAGAGTAGCCAACTGAATGCGCTTTCATGCGCAACGCCCATGAACATGCATTGTTAGGTCAATAGTGCTGCAATGCACCAGTCAGGTCGTCCGAAGCGATCTGTGCCATAGCAACCTTGCCTTTCCCGTGCCGTCAAGATACTCGCCATGAGCCAACAATATGGCTTCTACACCACGGCACGACCAAACAAACTGACTCATAGCCCCGGCTTCACATCTTCCCTTGGAGTGTTCCCTTGAAGGCGACGCCATGTATGCCGATTAATGTCGATCTCAACTGATCATCAGGACGATTTGCCCCAACAATTTAAAGGCCGAGTCAAGAAGGAAGGGGCTTGCTATCAATTAGAAGATGGTTGTTGCGGAGTTTGCTGCTTGGCCGGCTCGCGACGCAACTCCAAAGATCACAGCCAGTTTACGGACGTCAGGTGCCGGTTGAAGTCTTGAATCGTCCCCAGTGCGAGTGACTCCTCACACGCGATTATAAGTTCCAGTCTAGGAGCGCCGTGCTATAAATGGCATGTCTGCTCCAGGTAAATCACGCCGTATGCCTGGAGCTAGTTCTACTGAATAACGGAGTTTCTGCCCTTCAAGTGCTCAGCCTCAGCTCTATTCTCGTGTCAAGGGAGCCCGAGTGGTAAGGCGGTCTTCCTTATTCCTTTAGTTCGGGCCATGAGACACTAATGTGCGACATACTCGGCTACTTGCCAACTGCATGTTGTGTGATGTAACCGATTTCGGCGTATCTTGGCTTCGTATATACTACTGGGTCGGCGGACCGCGCTACACTTCACCTACAATTCCCTTGGCAGCACTTTTGACCCTGCACAAAAGTTCAGGGTGCGATGTCAAATGTTCAAGCTCGTCTGTCAACAATTTGTGGTTGTGGCGCTCCTTCCCGATGCTGGCCTGTGCGTCCCGTCTTGCCGATCTAGGCCTTTGGGGGGCCAGTTAAGTGCTCCAGGCGGTACACTGCGCTCTTCGCCTGGGTACATACATACCTTGCGACGCGGGCCTTGCTGGATCGAAGTTCGAAACAGAGATCTACTGTGGAGGTAACTCCGCCATGGTGGTAGCAGCTCCTGGCCCGGGCCTTCAGCTGCCTTGGGTTCTGCAACACTCCCGTTCATAACCGGTCGTTCATCGCCGGCCGAAGAGGCGTGTAATAACGTATTTGTCTCCTTACATCGACTCAAATCGCAGCTTCCACCTTTGACAACGTGTTCCATCTCTAGTCAATCACTCAAGATCGCCCGCCTTCCGGGCTTCCCCAGTCCAACCAGTGTCCGCAAGCGCTGGGTGACATTGATCTTTGCATATCACCAACAAGCTCGCTGCTGCACGATGCACGCGTTGTTCCCGACACGAGAACCCTCATCAACGACCCCTCGAAGTGCCGTAACGCAACAACGCCCACTGCCGGAACGAACACATGGAGGTAGACCCGGTAGCTGGCGAGCAGGCTCTCCTCAGCTCTGACTCAGTGGCCGATACCCAGACCAAGGACGAGACGACCGACCCAACCCAGCGCAAGACGGAAGATATCCTAGAAGCATGCAAGTGGAGGAATATCGAGGCTCTCAAGGGTCTTGCCGGCACTAGAGGCGGTTTCCTTACCGACACTTTGCGCAGGAAAGCTTGTTAGTGCCGCATGCGCCAGCCATTGCGCGCCGTTGTCCTGTGCCGTGAAGCTAATACATGCATCGTGGGTAACAGGGCCGATAGTCCTAGGTCCTGCAGAGAACGAGAGTTCTGGAGATACTGTTGCAGAAGAGAAAGATGAGAAGCCTTCTTGGAAAGACTTGCCGCGCCATGGAGACGAAGATCAGGTTGCGCTCGACGTCAACCGAGCCTTCATCTACTACCCGAACCGTAAGATGCCCATTGCCTGCCACACCCGTATTGTAGTAGAAGCGGTGGAATGCGCCAGACAAGCTGACCCACCGAACAGACCAGAACGACACCGAACTCGAAAAGAACAAGAGCGAACTATCGGATCTTATTGTCGAGGTCCTCCGCCGCTACCCATACCTTTGCTACTTCCAAGGCTACCATGACATCTGTCAAGTCTTCATGCTGGTTCTCGAGCCGCCATGGCGCGCCCGGCTGGTCTCGCGCCTCTCGGTGCTCCGTATACGAGACTTTATGCTCACGAACCTCGAACCGACCGTGGCCCAGCTGCGCCTTATTCCCGATATCCTCCAGGCGGCGGACCCGAAGCTCAAGCGCCACCTTGCCGGCACGGAGCCCTTCTACGCCCTCGCTGGGACGCTGACAATGTACGCCCACGACATCCAGGCGTACGGCGATATCGCCCGCCTCTTTGACATCCTCCTCGTCCGCGAGCCAGTCTTTAGCGTCTACATGTTCGCCCAGATTGTTCTCAACCGCCGCGACGAGCTATTCGACAACGACGAGGAAGACCCCTCCATGTTGCACCTCATCCTCTCCAAGGTCCCGCAGAAGATGGACCTCGAGTCGCTCATTGCCGGTGCTACCGCGTTGTACGAGCGATACCCGCCCGAGTCGCTGTCTGCCTGGCGCAAAATATCAAAGGCGAGCTCTCTCAAGACGGCGCGGTCCGTCGAGGCCTGCGCCAATCAGACGATGGACGAGGGGCACGCGTACTTTCAGAGACAGCTGGCCGAGCTCAAGGCTCTGGAACGCCGGCAGAAACTCATGAGGGTGCTGTGGGCGTACAGAAAGGGCGCCGCCGCCGCGGGACTGGCCGTCGTCGTCGGCCTCGTGGCGGTCTATCTGGGCCGTCGGAACCCCAGCCCCGTGTTTGCCCTGGCAGAGTTGTACAACAAATGGACAAACGGGACGAACTGGACGCATAACTTTTAGACAGAGCTGGACAAGGTCTTGGCCCTCGGAAAGTTGTGCATCATGTAAATTTAGATTTCCGTGGTAGGGGAAAAGGCTACCGCACATTCATGATATCCCATCTGGTAAGGAGCACCCGACGCCGCGCCTACTCCCAAACCTGCAAAACACATTTCCATGCAATCCCTGGAATCGGGCTTCCTTCTTAGGCGCCCTCTTGGAATGCCGCCTTGAGTCCCTCGAAATGCTCCTGTTGCTCCACGGCCAGCTTCCCGCTAACGTCGCTGATAATGGTCGAAATCAGCGAGTAGTTGTTGTAGAGGAACCGTTCGCGCTTTCGCTTATCGCTGAACGACTGGCTGAGGCGTGTCAAAAAGGCCTCCGCCTCGGACCGCAGGCGGCGCAAGCTAGTGACCACAGGCTCGTCATCCCCGGCCTCGGTGCTGAGCGCCAAAACACCCTGCAGAATCTGACCGAACCTCTGTGTGACGAGATGCGGCGCCGCCGAAAGCTTGTTCTGGTCTGCGGCCCTAGGCTTGGTGGGCAAGGAGCTTGTTAGCTGCCGCACCGACTCGCAGTGGTGATCCATAACCACCTGCAGTCTTGGCCACAGAAGCATCGTCGTCATGTTGATGTAGCCGTCGACGGCGGGGACTTTGCGCCTCTGCAACTCGAATGCCAGATGCTGGTTGAGGCGGATGCACAACAACAAGCCTAGCGCGTCGTAGGACTCCGCGGTAAGCGTCTTGGTCAACGTCTTGCCCAGCGCAAAGGTTGGTTCGAATATGTAATTGAACTGTCGCGACACTGCTTGTAATGACAGTGGCGGCGAGAAGTATGCGGCCAGGAAGGTGTACTCCGCGGTGGCGTTGTCTATCAGTGCTAGGTTGAAGTTCCTGAAAGGCACCTCCAGATAATGTGTAGTTTGGTCTTCCTCGGCCAGGTAAGATGAGAGGGCAGCGGCGTTGCTTGTCTTCAAAAGGTCGATACGTCGTCCCAAGTTAAAGGCATCATGCGGTGGCCCAGCAGGCTTCGTGGCAGACAGAACCGTGGCCCTCCGAGTCGGTTCGTCATGCCCAAGGACGTCGTTCTTATCGATGATGTGTAGCTTGAGCTTCTCCAATGCTTTCTGATACCGCGCGAACTGATTTGCGTAATACCACCTCATGGTGTTCATGTATGCCCGGCTGATCTCTTCTGCAAGCGTAGAGTGGTGCTTGTGCAAGAAGGCGTACAACTCTTTAAACTTCAAAAAGTTCTGTTGTTGAATGATTTGAGCGTTGATGTGAGGAGACCGCAGGGCCTTGATTTGAGCCACTATGAAGTCCCGTATTCGTTCGACAGCTTTCATTGTGAGTTTCTCCAACAACGGGCCAAGGTCCGACCAAGCCTTGCTTTCTCCCTGACTTGCCATGCTCTTCTTGTAAGCCGTAGCTCGTTTGTCTACTTCTGCCAGCATCTTCACCCAGGTGTCGTCGATATGCCCCTCAGATATCTTGGATACCACGTGGGGAGAGACGCTCAGTTCCTCGACGACTGGCCCGAACGCCTTCTCGACCGCCTTCCGGTTCTCCAACCGCACATTGAGCGCTGTGGAGCGGGATTGTAGGCTCTCTATGTCTGCAGAGACGGCGGCGAGATCGTTGCGGAAACTGGTGAGGTTGGTCTCCACAGAACTGAGGACGCCGTCGCATGCCGCGATAGACCGATGCAGGTCCTCAAATTGGGCTTTGCTAGTTTCAACTGCATATCCAAGTTAACAATCTGCGGAGACAATATTGTAGGCTCTTGGAAGCTCATACATTCCTCTGCGGTTTGCCGCCGGTAGCCATCCGCCTCGTCCGCATCAGCCTTATCGGAACTAGCAAGCTCTCGGAGACCCAGTCCATCGAAGTCGAAGTCCAACTCCAAGTCTTTTTCGGTGATGGTTCCCGTTGTGCTATTCGTGGTGGAGTCGGCAATGGATGTTGTGTCCAGGATCTGGCTTAAGATCTCGACCGAATCTGGCCCATCGTAGGTGGTCTGGGACTGCTTTAAGCCGGAGCCATTGACTCTGCGAGAGGCTAGGAGCGAGCTCGACGAATCGTTGGAGACAAGAGAGAGCTGTGACCCCCTCGGTGTGAGGCCAGGTCGTTGCGAGGTGACATATGGGCTGCTCGATGTTCGTCGTGGGAGAGGGGAGTAGGGTCGGCTGCTGGGTTGCGACGAGGAAGGAGACGGATTCGACTGCGCTGCGAGCCGATCAAGCCACATGGTGGACTTGTGGTGAGAAGAGGCTACAAAGCGGTGAGTTCGGAAGAGTTGAGAACCATGTCAACAAGGGTTCGCGATGCGGACGGAGAGGTGGAAACGGGGAGATCTGCTCGCAGTCTGTCTTATTGGGAGATATGTACACCTGTGACAATGGCTAGGAGGTAGCAGACGAGGCTGGACGGCCTTAGGGAGGCAATGTGTTCTGATTGGATGGGTGACAGGAGGTCTCATCAGCCACATTGAGACCGCACTGCTGAAGCTCTACTGTGGCGCAACAGGGGTCGGATTTCTTTGACTTGGAGGGGAGGGTGAACAACTGCGGGGCAGCGTTTTTGAGGGCGGAAGCGGCAAACAAACGTGCGGGGCAGGCCTTTGGCTGTGCAGTGAAAGAGCAAATAACAGACCATTGATGCATCAGATATAGACGGAAGGAAGACTGCAACATGTTGTGCAGAATCCGCAACACCTCCAAGGTAACCGTACCTCGGACTGCTGGAATTGTCTCGGAGGAGAGCTCCTACATGGGTTTGAGGGGTACCTGACCTCGGCTGAGCTGAGGCAGGGGAGGAGGTCAGGTTACCCGGGGTCCTAATGAATGAATGTGTGGTGTCCATTGAGATGAATCGGTGTCGGATGCCGTAGTGCCTGGTATGTACACAGAGTCAGGCTTATTCAGGGAAGGCGGCACAAGAGCTTCATTTTCGGTGGGAATTCAGGCGCATGCCGTCGCATTCCCTTCCGTCGTTCAAGTATGGTACACTTCCGAAGGAAAAAGGCAGGTGCAGGAGGAAGAGCCAGGGCCGACAGCCGCCTCAGCGAGAATTTGGCCCGACGGCATTAGCGTTGAAAAAAAGACTGTTGCCACGGGGCTCCTCCCTGCCGTCCAGTCCCCTTGGTTTGGGTACTTACTCGCCTGTTGGGTCTCCGGAGGGCGAAACCTTCGTCTTGGGATGGGAGGTGTACCTGGATAGGGCACGAGTTACAGGCGGTCAGTGGCCTTGTAGAATGACAGTACAGGCGAGCACCTCGGGCCCCAGTGAGAAAGGCACTTCGCCCCCCCAGTGAGTGATTGGGACGGCCCAAGTGTCACTCACCCGGAGAGGGCGGGGGGTGACAGGCAGACTGACTGAATTTGAGGAAGGAAAAAAACAGATGAGCCCGCACTCCACCTTTTTTGCACTGTCAAAGTGCACCCTGTCGCAGTGTCCGCCGAAGCCTGAGAGGCCAGGGAGGGGCGCGAATCTGGGCCTAGGAGCGAAAAAACCAATAATAAAACCAGGAAAAAAATTATCTACTCCCGCCTCGCTTCTTTTTTTCCCCTCCATTCCCCCCCTCTGCCCGCTCTCTTCCTTTCACAACTCTCCCCCCTCAAAAACATAGCAGCCGTCCTTTGCTGGGTAATTCCCCTTTGCCTGTCGACATCTTCCCCTTCGATTTTTTAGACATCTTCCAGTCAATCCTTCAAAATGTCCAACGACGACGCCCAGGTGAGTCCATCGCGATAGCTATTCTTGCTCCCCTTTTTTCCCACCCTCCCGCCGTCGTCGCATGCGATGCTATGTCCGCTGCTTGGGCCTGGGCGAAAAACCACCACCCCGCACCCACACAGTTTGCGAGAGCCCCGCGGGCATCTCGACACAACACGGCTCTGCGCATCACACGCACATGCAACACAACCGAACACTAGATACGACCCGCGATATCGAACCCATCTTCTCGTCTCGAACTACATTTTACACCATGTTGATACATGCTCATCTCTTGGAGGACACTCTGCTAACGCAACGATCCAACAGCATGAGATGACCTTCGAGTCCACCGACGCCGGTGCGTCTCTCACCTTCCCCATGCAGTGCTCTGCCCTGCGCAAGAACGGTCACGTCGTCATCAAGGGCCGTCCCTGCAAGATTGTCGACATGTCTACCTCCAAGACTGGCAAGCACGGTCACGCCAAGGTCCACTTGGTCGCCATCGACATCTTCACTGGCAAGAAGCTTGAGGATCTGTCTCCCTCCACCCACAACATGGACGTCCCCAACGTCTCCCGCAAGGAGTTCCAGCTCGTAAGTGACGACTGTCCTCCCATCCAGGAAACCTCTGCGGTCCGCTAACAAGCTACTCTTCAGCTCGACATCTCCGACGATGGTTTCCTGTCCCTCATGAACGACGACGGTGACCTCAAGGACGACGTCCGTCTCCCCGACGGCGAGGTTGGCGAGAAGATCAACAAGCTCTTCAAGATTGACGAGAAGGACACCAGTGAGACTTGCCGAATCCTGTACAGCTGCGGGACGTGGGACACTACTAACCTCGAATCGCAGACGTCGTTATTCTTACCGCCATGGGTGAGGAGGCCGCCGTTGAGGCCAAGGAGGCCCCCAAGCAGAACTAAGCGCTGCTGCTCTCAACCACATCATCAGACAATGACTTCCACAAGCGCTTACTTCGTGCGGCCTTGCTGGCAGATGTTGGCAGACTGGGGACATTTCTTGCGATATTTCTTGGCGCGTCGAAATTAACGGTATCCCCGTCAGTCGTTGCGTAAAGGGCCATATCTGGACAGGACTTGATACTGGGTACGCGGACTTGACAACTGCAAGACTTGTCGCACGACTTTTTCCTTTGTTTTGTCTGTCTCACAGACACTTACGACGATCAGACTAGCAATGGGATAGGTGAAAAAAATGGGAGAGCCTCGTGGTGGCAGCAGATTTGTCCGATGGAAAAGCGGTACACTTCCCCACCACGTCGTCTCTGTTTTTCGTTCATACTCTAAGTGCATATTCGTGGAAGTACCAAAGCGCTGTGCGCCCTCATGTGTGACGCTGCCTTGCCTTCAGAACCATTTCGACCTCGTGGGCACAAGTGACGCGATGTTGGTTTAGTGATCCTGCCTAAAACGAGCTATGCCCATACCAATAGGCGGATTTGAGCCTCCAGGTGGCTACGCGACTACTTAGACCGAGCTCCTTTCAGCTGTGGAAAGCGACGATCACGTACGGTAAGGGCAGCCGACATGTTGGTGGCATTGCAGTGCTGAACCACCCCGTTTTCCGAGCTTAGCATTGGCGTTTGAATTCGTAAACTTATCAACTGGCCCAAGGATATAATCTTTAAAGTCTCGTGTTACACAAGCAATATGCTGGTTTTCGCCTGCCTAATCAGTTGACCGGAACCCGGGCGGGCAAGGTCGCGCGCACTGTCCAAAACTTCACTGACACGGTGAAGATTCCGCCTAACATCAACTTTGAACCACCTCCGCCCAAATTGGTCTCTTCGTCACCATGGCACCCGAAAGAGAGCTTCACAAGTTTCCCAAGGGAGAACGTTGCGAGTTCTGCGGTTCTCGAAAGTGGTACCTTGAGAACGGTCTGAGATACTGTGCCAAGGAAGGCCATCAACTCCAGGTTTGTCCAACTGCGTTGCGCGCTTCTCAGTGTGAAAACACCTAACACAGGACCATAGGGCTATGTGGAGTTCGATCTTGGCGACGAGGATTTCGGCCAGAAGGGTCGTGTGTCTCGCAAAGAGAAGCAGGTCAAGGAGCGTGTAAAAAGGGTGCTTACCGGCCAGCAGGCGCGGGACTTGTATCTTGAATGCCTCCAGCTTATACTGAGAGAACAGATCCTCTGGCTGGTCAGGGAAAAGGGGCATAAGGCCGAGCTGGAAACGGTGGTTCGCGACCTTTGGGATCTTCGGACCTGCGGAGCTGCGACTGTCGTCCACGACGATTCGGCCTCGGAGGGGGAGCCCTCACTGTTCAGCTCACAGCTCGACCTCACGCAGGATGAGCAGCCTCACACGAGGACCAAGAGGGCACAAAGCTGGACTGCTGAAAATGGCAGTGAGTGGCCGGCACCGCGGGTGATGGATACTCTAGGTCTCTGCTTCCTGGGATGCGTGCTTCTCAGGATACCAACGCGCATCGGTGATCTTGCGAGATGGGCGAGGACAGGAAGCATCCCCTACAGACAAGCTGTATGTAGCATGGTCCATTGTCTCTGAGAACCTATACTGATGATGAACAGTATCGTCGGCTGCCTCAAGAAATGCGCGACAGATTACCGCCGTGGTATACCACACCGCTCAAGGCAGCACGCCTTGCTGCGTTCGACCAGGGCGAACTCCATGCTTCGGTCTTGAACCTTGCTCTATCGTATCATTTCAACTACAACATGGTCTTTCCCCCGCTCAACGACGTCCTGATGACGCTGCAGTATGTCCGTGAGCTTGGGCTGCCCAGTAAGCCCCCCCCCCCCAGCTTTCCCGAAGGTGCACACAGACTGACGGCTTGCAGTTGAGACGATCGCCATTGCTCGTAGAATACCGCCAATTGCCAATATGACCTTTGGTTTTCCACTGGAGAAGACTCGAATTCGTCTCATACACCAGCCAGAAGTTCTTCTTGTTGCCATCCTCGTTTTCGCAACCATCCACTGTTTCCCCTTCGAGGAATCTACGCCTTCTGCTCGAGATGAGAACAACTTCATGGTGCCGAGACTCAACTGGGAAGAATGGCGGACGATTATGGCACCAGCTTTGAGCCCAGGCCCGGCTCAGGCGAGCGTTGACTACACCGATGTTACGGCGTCACAGATAATGTCAATGGAGCCGTCGGAGCTCGACGAGTACTTTGCACATATGTCCCTCCTTACCGACGCGCAAGGTAAACAACCACGGGGTATTCTCATAACGCGCTCAAAGAACTGACAACTACATAGCCGAGGAAACGATGCTCGCGAGGTACTTTCCCATCGACGAGCAGCCGTCCAAGCAAGCAATGTCCGAGACCCCCGAAGATGAGACGCTTGGGAGGTTACGCACCATCCAAGCACAAGCTGCATCGTTTGCCGACCAGGAGGGCAGTCCACGAAAGAACCGATACTACTCTTACAAGTCCGAAGAAGACTTGCCGCCGGCAGGCAGAGACTTCTTTAAGCTCGCTGCCCAACTAGCAGGGTTGTCAGTTCCTATGCTGGTGCGAGCAGTCAACATGCTCGAGGCATACATAGTAGTCTGGCAAAGGGAGCAACGTCGGGCGGCAATTGAACGTCGCGAAAGATCTCGGTCAGTAATGAATGTAGACTCGGAGACTGAGCAGCCCACATTTGCCGAGTGATGGTAATCTGTAGGCGAGCAAGTCGCGATATCAGTTCAGAGCCCAGGGGTAGGTATTTATGTAAGTGCCCTTGGCTTGGGCTCAAGAAGCAACAAGTATTGCATGGCAGTCAGTGTAGGAGTTAGGACCATATCGAAACACATAAAGATACCCGAAATCAAATAAGTTTCTCTACAAAGCCTCAACGAGCCTCCTAAAGCAAAAACGAAAAAAACAAAACCTCCGGAAAAGAGTGCCCATACGAAATGGTGCAGAACCACTTCTCCTAACCCAGGCTTGGCTGTCTGTCAAGTTTGAGGTCATCGCAATCTATCAATCAATCCTACAGGGCACTGAGTGAAGTGCCTAGTGCGGGGCGGACGTCGTCAGAGGCGAGGTGTGCCATTCCCACAGGGCGTCCGCCTTCGTGTACCCGGGCAGCCCAGCTTTCGCACCCGCCCAGACGCTCGGACCAGCCCGACTAACTGCGTGCCCTAATTAGGGCTTTCGATTTCTCTTCCGGCCTTTGCTGCTTGAACACCATTCTCAAGCGTCGCCCCACCAATTATTTGCCGCGATCACCAGAACTCTTCGGTAACAACAGCCAGTTCACGGACGTCGGCAAAAGTAAGTGATGAGAGAATACCCCCCCTTGTTGACGGCGTCATATAGCGCGCCGTTGATGTTGCTTCGTTGAGATGGCGATGCTAACAATTTGACTTGTAGTGCAGATGTGAGCCGCCCCCGAACCAATCCCCGCCGCGCGACAGCTTTTTTCTTCTTTCTCGCCTTCCTACGCGACGATGCATCCGAAGACGCCGAGGTGCTGACGATAATGGTTACAGTTTCGTGAAGACCCTGACGGGTAAGACCATTACCCTTGAGGTCGAGTCCTCGGACACGATCGACAATGTCAAGTCCAAGATCCAGGACAAGGAGGGCATCCCCCCCGACCAGCAGCGCTTGATCTTTGCCGGCAAGCAGCTCGAGGACGGCCGCACCCTCTCCGACTACAACATCCAGAAGGTCAGTGGACTCTGCGCTCCGGGGGTCTGACGAAGTGAGGGAGACATTTGGGACTTGAAGACTTCGGGACGGCCACATGGGGAAAAGGAACAGAAGCTGACACCCAACAGGAGTCCACCCTCCACCTGGTCCTCCGCCTCCGTGGTGGTATCATCGAGCCCTCGCTCAAGGCTCTTGCCTCCAAGTTCAACTGCGACAAGATGATCTGCCGCAAGTGCTACGTAAGTGGCCGCAACCCATGAACCGACATCCGTCGCGCGCGCACAGCAGCAAACCTAACACCCAACCTCTAGGCCCGTCTCCCTCCCCGTGCGACTAACTGCCGCAAGCGCAAGTGCGGTCACACCAACCAGCTCCGCCCCAAGAAGAAGCTCAAATAGACGATTTATCACGGTTGCGGCGTCACGGGTTCTGGCATTCTGGAGAGGATGGCAGGGATACGAATTTTCCTGGGCTTTGTGGTAGCATTACGTTCCATCGGCAAGCAGTTCTACGAATAAAAACTGAATTGGTCGCCCTCCTACCTCAAATGTCAAAGACGGGAAAACAGGCAAAATGAACAAACCCCGGGGCTGCCGCCTTGGTCCTGCATCACTTAGGTTTCGATGTCGGGAGGCTGGGAGAAAGAAACAAAAAAAATCGTTTGGCGAGAGAGCGCGCCTGGGCGTCCTGAGTGCAGCATATTGGAGATGCTAATGGGCATGAGAGACGTACTATGATGGATGCGGGATGGCGACTGACCTGCCTCACAATGCTTCATTGACTACAGTGGAATTCCAGCACCGTAGCGGAATACAGAGCCTCAGACCCAAAATTCATGTTCTCCCCTGCCTGCATGTGAGCTCCGTCGCCTCAATCTAATCTGATATCCAAAGTTGCGATTTCGTGACCTCACTAAGCGGTCTTGTGCGTGTTGCATAAGTGAAAATCACAATTATCCGCAGTAGTGCAACACTAGCACCGCTCCCGCAGGGGGGGAACGAGTCTGCATCCCTGGGTGGGGCCACCTTGGCAGGGAGCTACAGGGCCAAACTGCATATGTGGGATTACGACACCTTGTCCCGTCCGAGCTTCAGGTCACGTATCCGGCCATCTGGACATAGGTAGCTGATTCCACGATCTACCCACATTGACGACGAACCGAGCGCGAGAAGCTGCACATCGACGAGTACACATAAGCGGATTGTTTTCGAGATCACCTGCCACCCCAACCACAAGCTTTAAACAGCAGTCATGTCACGGTCCGGCTCAGGGTACGACGCCGTCGTGGACGTCGACGACGAGGTAGAAGCCCCCTGCCGTACACACTGTACTCGCTCCCGACGACCAAACTGACCGAACATGCTTCGCAGGGCGACCTCGGCCACACCGACCTCCAAGACGACCTCGAATTCCACAGCTCCAACTTCCAGGACTCGACGCCGGGGACCCGCAAGGCGCCCGCGTCGGGGCTGCCTCCGCCCGCGACGGCGTCGTCCGGGTCCTCGAAGCGCTTCCTCTGGAGCATCAACTTCTACGCCCAGTACTTTGACGTCGACACCTCGGCCGTCCTCTCGCGCTGCTGGGCCGCTCTCTACCCGCGCGCCAACTTCCTCGACGTCCTCGAGGGCAACCCGGACCTATACGGGCCCTTCTGGATCGCGACCACCGTCGTCCTGATCCTCTTCCTCGGCGGCACCATCAGCCAGTACCTCGCGAGCACCGGCACGGGGCCGTTTGCCTACGACTTCAAGCTCTTGAGTGGTAAGTAGCCGGATGTGGAAGCTCTCGGGCAACCTTTTGCAGTGAGGAACGTACTAACGATGACGCTCCCCCCAGGCGCCGCCGGCCTCATCTACGGCTACACCCTCTTCGTCCCCGTCGCGCTCTACCTCGCCCTGCGCTACTTCGGCTCCGACTCGGCCAACCTCCTCGAGCAGTGGGCGCTCTACGGCTACGCCAACCTCATCTGGATCCCCGTCGCCCTCATCAGCTGGTCGCCCATCAACATCCTCAACTGGGTCTTCGTCGCCGTCGGCTGCGGCCTCTCCGTCGCCTTCCTCCTGCGCAACCTCTACCCCGTCCTCAGCGCCACCGACCACCAGACGAGCAAGATCCTGCTCGTTGTCGTCGTCGCCCTCCACCTCGGCCTATCCCTCGCCATCAAGATCCTCTTCTTCGCCCACGGCAGCCCCGTCGCGAACAAGGACCCCGCCGCCGCGCAACCGCCCGCTGCCGCGCCCCCGGCTGACGGCCAGCCTCCCAAGCCCGCGTTCTTCTGATTTGTTCATCGCACGCATTCGTCACGGGGGAAAAGTTTTAGAGTCTCTAGAGGAGCCACGCAAAGGAGCGGGGTCGCCGGGTTCGGTTTGGACTTTAGGATCGGCACTTGTTATGTTATCCGCTGGAGCGGAATGGGGTTTTCCATGTACCATTACTGTACAACGAACATCATGATCGAACGCACCGTCTATCCTGTGCCTGTGCCATGTAGCCGCCTTAACAAAATCTCGTACACTTGCTCCAGCCTTCCCCCGTGTCCCACCTTCTTCATGATCCTTGTCATCCCTGCCATGGAGAAGAAAGCCAAAGCTCACTCCTGACCGGGCCTCTTGCGTCCGCTCTCGACCTCGCCGCCGTGCTCCTCCCAGTCTAGGAAGCTGCCGGGGTACTCCCCGACCTTGGTCCACCCGGCCTCCTTCGCCAGTGCCGCCGCCGCGCGGCTCCGCACGCCGGCCTTGCAGTAGAAGACGAGCTCCGTGTCCTTGCCGGGCCGCGGGAATCCGTACCGCTCCTCAAAGTCCTCCTCGGGGATGTGGAAGCTCTCGGGCGCCGTCGTGACGGGGATGTTGATGGCCGAGGGGATGCGGCCCGTTTGCCTGAGCTCGCTCGGCTCGCGGGAATCTGCGGACGGGGGCGGCGGCGTTAGCATTGAGGAAAATCTGCAAGGCCGCGCAGCAGCCGGGTGAGTCCGGGGAACGGAGCACGTACCGACAATGACGATGTCTTTGGGGTCCTTGGCCAGCTTGGCCATCTGCTCGTAGTTCCAGAGCTTGCTACCGTTGGCCGCGATCTCGTGGTGCTCGTCCGACTTGGAGGAGAAGAACCTCGGTGCTGCCGCGGCGGATGCGCCCTTCCATCGGATGGGAACCATTGTCGTTGCGCGTGTCACAGACGACCCGAGCCTGGACGACGACGACGACGACGATGACGCCGCCGCCGCAGCGGCGAAGCACCGTCTCGCGGCCGCGACCGGTGTCGGCGCCGCGATGCGGCTGCTACCTGCGCGGAGCGCATTCGTGCAGACTCGTTTTGTTGAAGCCATTTTTTTTTCTTTTTGGTCCCTCTGTTCCTTTGTGGTTTTGGTGTCTCGGCTCACTCACGCAAAGGCAGGTAGGTTTGAACGCTGGTGGATGACGTTGAGGAGGTGCCGGGCTGGAGCTTGGAGCTGTCGTCCTGGATGGGAGAGCTCTAGACGGCTTTCGGCCATTGGACGGCGGGACCTGGCTCCCCGGGAGCCGTAAGCTCTGATACCGGTGCCCGCTGAAGGTTAGTAATTAGGGGAGGGGGTGCAATCCTTCTGGCCCAGGGGTCTAGGGTCACATGGGTATAGTTCAGGAATCCGTTCAACTCGGTCTTTTGGTCGCCTTCGAAGGTTGACCCTACAAAAAACCACCACACCGTGTTGCCCGCCTCGTGAAAGGACACCCATCTTTGGGTGACTTTGGCAGGGTGGAATCTCTCCTCTTTGTTCCCTAGTACAATCAACATGCGGTTTCTTTGACGACCTTTAATCCGGGCAACGCAGACTTCTCGGCAACACCAAGGGTCATCACAGCTCGCAGTGCCGATTATCACACCTTCCTTTGCAAGAGGATCACTTTCGCCGGCTGCCCCAACTAGAAGTGGTTGAAATCTGTTTACCATTGGCACTAAACTGAGTCTGTCATCACCCAGCATCATCTAAATCGGCCGAATACCCAATATCCTCGTCCCGAGGTCACGCCCCGAAGACAACCCAAGTTACGGGTCTTTGTCCACCTTTTGAGGACACCATTGCCCTGGTATAATTATGTACATGCAAACGTTCATTACAAGTTGTAGTCTAAAGAATTGGCTTCGACCAACCTCGACTCGAGTCTTACGAGCCTCCCGTTGCTTGAGGACCCCACATGGCGTCTGACCTACAAAGAGGTAGCACTAGCGGCGATCCTACAACATCAGCCGACTAGGCCTGGCTCACTTATTGGACAGAGCCGTTGCCAGCGCATGGCCTCGAACAAGACGTATAAAACATCTATGCCTCGCGCTCCTTGAAGGTAAGAGGGCAGTCATCCTACGTTTTGTCAGTATTTGTTACCACACCTCTTTCCGGGACAGCGCCAAAACATACCATGGGGAAAATAGTCGCGAACACCTTGATCTCCTCAGACTTCGGCGTGGGGTGGTGAACCCAGTCCATCATGACAGAGGCTTTGCCAATCATCAGAGCCAAGTTCAGCTGAGCGTACGTCTGGCCGATGCAGTAGTGGGGACCGGTTCCGAAAACGAGGAAGTTCTTGGCACCCTTCTCCTCCGCATCGCCGGTATAGTAACGCTCGGGGTCGAAATCATCGGGGCGGTCGTAGACCTCAGGGTCACGAAGAGCAGGGTAGACAGTAGGGATGACCATGGCGCCTGGAATCACGTCAACAAAACTTCATGCGACTCCACAGGAACGAACGACTTACCCTTGGGGACAGTGTACTCAGGGGTAATGGGGAAAGGCTTCTTGACGACGTAAGGGACCATGAGGACGGGAGGGCGGTAGCGGAGCAACTCGCGGACGACGGCACGGGTGTAAGTCAGAGATTCGAGCTGGTCCATGTTCAACTCGGCGTGGCGGTCTCCGTTGCGGACCTTGATGTTCTCCTCGCGAACACGGTCGAGGACGTCGGGGCGCTGGGCCATGGTCTGGAAAAGCCAAGTGGCGGCACTGCTGGTGGCATCCTGCGAGGCGAAAAGGAAGGTGAAGACGGTCTGGGCGATCTCGTAGTCGGAGAACTCGCGGAGGAGGGGGTGGGGCTTCTCAAGACCCTCGGTCGAGCCGCTGGCCTCGGCCTCACGCCACTTCTTGGACTCGAGAATGGACTTGACCCAAGCGTCCATGATACAGGTCACCTCGCCTCCAGCAGCCATGCGGACCTTGCTCTTGGCGGAGCACTTGGCGAACTCGCCGATGACCATGTCGGCGGCCTTCTTTCCGTACCAGGGCTTGGTGAAGGGGAGGATGAGAGGGAAGTTGACGAGCTCGAGAGCCTCGGTAATGAGGAAGTAGTCGGAGGAGATCTTGCGAACGGCCTCGTCCGAGATGTAGTGGCCGACAAAGGTGCGGCATGAGACGGCGGTCATGAGGTCGCGGAAACAAGGCATGAAGGGGACGGGCTCGCCGCCGGCGTTCTTGGTGGTCTGAAGGAACTCCTGGAAGTACTGCTTGTAAACAGCCTCCTGGCCAGGCAAGTAGGAAGCGAGGGCCTGGCGGGTGAAGAGGCCGTTGAGACCCTTGCGGAAATCGACGTGCGGCTTGCCGTCGAGGAAGACCCAGTTGGTCGGGCCAAGGAGCTTGTGGGCGACATCAACAACACAGGGCTTGACGTAGCCGGGCGAGTTGAAGACCTTGCGAGCCATGTCACGGGTCGAGGCGATGACAACGAACCTGCGGGTGTCAGGCACATCATCAACTGCAGAGGGGGGTACCACGGAATGCGCTCACTTGTGGAAGACAGAGACACAGCTAAGGGGACCACTGGCCCACTTGGCCTTGTACTCCGAGAACTTTGGGTTCACAGACTCCAAAAAGGGGCCAATGAAGGGCATCTTAAAGGTAGGTCCGGCGATGGAGCCCTTGGAGGTGATGTAGCTGACTGCGGTGTGTCAGACACTGCTCTATCGTTGAGACCGGGCACAGGCGCATCACTTACTCTGGTCGTATGCGACAGCAAGCGCCAGCAGGGTGAAGAGAATCGTCCAGGCGCTAGCGTTGGCCACCGTCTCGATGACATAGTCGATCTGAGGAGGGATGTTGACGTTGCCCAGCTTGGCGTTGGCCAACACCGAGGTGAAGGTGGTCGCGTTGGAATCCATCGTGGTCGGCTTGGGATGTCGGGATCGGGGGATGCGGTTCGAAAGACAGGCCAGCGGGCGAGAAAAACACCGAGGCGCAAACGAATCGGTTGGCGACTCAGGCGCAGCGCGAAGCAGAATAGATTCACGCTTGTTCTAGTTCCGGAGAAAAGGGACACAGACAGCAATGGGGATGCCGTGCGAGGATGGTGGACTTGGGCAACTCTCTCGGTGGAGGTTGATTAGGAGCACTGGGGAGAGAGATGTGGGAGGGAAGGAGATGTTCAAAAGATTAAAGAAGGGAGTTGATCACCCACGGCGGACATGGACGGGGGGCATGGGAGTGAGTGGATACCCGGATGAGGTTGTTTGTCGTGGTAGGCCAGCAGCAAATGACCAGGTGAAAGTTGAGAGAGGTGAGTGGGAGTGCAGCGTACTGTACCCAGTCCTGTCCAGGAAGGGGTCACTCGGATGTACCTGTACCTTCCCTGCTTTCCCTACCTCTCCTGCCACCTCTCGGCCTCTGTTGGTGTACGCGAGTGTATTGACATAACCAGTGTTTTAGTAGACGACGGCCAGGGCGGTCTCCGTTACGCCAATTCACGACCAGGAGCAGAAGAACGCGATCAAACGGTGTTGGAACTGTGGATTGCAGGTTCCCCGTTTAGGCCAAGGTGGGTTTCCGAAGTTTTTTTCTCGATCCAATACCACCTCAGGGAATTCATGCCATGAGTTGCTGCTGTACGGAACCAGCAAATCGTTTGCACAAGACCCCTATTGCCAGAACCCCTACATGCCCCGGTGACCATCGGACGGTGGCCGGGCGTCTCTGCTCATCCCGCCTGTGGACCTCTTGCAGACTTCCAGTTCCGACTTCATACTCGACACTTTACAGGTTTCTCGGTTTGACATTCCCCAGATCCATACAATGTATTTTGGGGGGGTAGAGTTTGGGCTTCTGGGTGCGCAAGGCGGTCTTAGTAAGAAGCTTTTGACTATTCAAAATTTGCGTCTTGATAAGCATGATCCTTATCCCTGCAGTGCTTGACATCGCAGCGCCCCGAAAAGCTAGGTACGGCAGCTGCAATACCCACCAGCGACTGTCGTGATGCGCTCGGGGGGCCGGTACGCAATGTCCGCCAGCACCCAACGTCGACATGGCAATTTGGGGTTCCTCCTCGCTCTGTCTTAGCCTGAGAAGAATCTGCTGGCCATCTCTCGCAGACGGGACTAGTGTTCCATTTTTTGTTGGGCCCGACTAGTCTCTACCTCGTTTCGTTTAGCAGGAGGGGAGGGGCCGCAATGCGCATGCCATTGCGATTGCCCATGTGCAACACACCAACACAGGTAAAAAACCTGCCCATTCAGTCCCCGGTCCTGCGCCATTCGTCTGGCGTTGCTTGTCGAAATCTGCCCGGGTTGAATGACCATCTGTCGAGCCCTATTGGACGCGCCTCACTTCTCGGGCGCCGCCATTGAAGCGAGAGTCCGAATGGCGCAACAGTACAGATACATTGGGACGTGGGGTTTGGTTCATGGGTTTGACCCTGAATCTGGCGTACCACGCAGCCATGCGAGATTGGAGCTGCCTTGCCTCTCTCAACTTCGTGGGTCAGTCGTTTTCAAAATTTCCCTCTCCTTTCCACGTATTCGCATACGCTCCAACTGGACGGCACGCATCGTCGAACGCGAATCTCCAGCACCGCTCTCTGGTGGTCCCGTTAGCAGTGAGCACCCGTGAGTTGGTGCAGAATGAATACCCGATACACGTCGAAAAGGCTACTATGTAGGTCCAGCTGGCTTGGCTTTCATTGTCAACCGTCAGTGTCGCCCTGTTTGTCCCCTAACCCAGATCACAGGGCCGGGCAAACTTACGCGGGTTCGGGCGCACACAAAAGCTAAGTCGATGTACTGTGTACGATTATCTACCTTGCCCTTGGTATGCTTGGTGGCGTCTGTCGGTGACTTGACCGACCCACGATCCAGTCCGATGCATCCTGATTCCTCGGTAGACAGACTTCCCGGACGGGAAATCTGTTTCTTGAAATCATGTGCCAATCGCAAATGCACACAACGCACTCTTCACATCTCGTTCCAAATGTGGACTTGAGTTCGTTGTCCGTCTGTTCCGCTCAACCCATCGACGTAATTTGATGTGCTAGAGCAACCGAGTTGTGCAAATGCGACCCCACCGTTGTGGTATGCCGCGGGAGCTCTCTTATTGGCCAATCCACCAGAAATGGCAGCTACCCCTAATCTGTGATCTGGCACCTAGGCCAATCACATCATCTGATCTCCTGGCCGCCCCGTCTCCCGTCCACGGGCCATGGTTGATGCCTTAAACGAACACGAGAGATGTGCCCTTCCTTCCTTTGATAAGCCATTGGCTTTGATAAGCAGCTGTTTTGCCCAGGTGCAGCCATGGCGGGGTAATGCCTGATTGGCGTCCACCGCCTGTATAACTCCCCCAAGCGTCTGGTTTTCCTCTAGCCTGGCCTCTGGAAACGTCATGACGCTCTTTTTTTTTTTTTTTTAACCCAGCTTTGAGGCTCTGATTAAAGTTTGTGGAGTGCCTGTCGATGAATGTACACAGACCACCTTTCCCACTGTGGCGGGACAAGAGGTGCATCTCCGCTGCAAAGCTGGGAACTGGGATCCCGTAAGTACGGCAGTTTATTCATTGTAATAGCATCGAGCCGGTTGCTTTTCCCTCTTCGGAGTATGTAACATGATCGTCCCATCCTGGCGCCGTGGAGGCAAGCCAAGCCTCATTGTACGGTCGTCATTTACCTTGATACAACCGCTCCTACAATCATCGGACCAGCCACCGTTGACGGTCTTCCTGCTGGAAACGCGGAGACGGTAGGCAACTCCATCGTCTAACCCGTCTATCGATACTCGGTTGCTTGCGAGCCATCAGAAAACATGTCCTGGGGGCAAAACGTCTACCTTGCTGCCCTTGCTGGCCATGTCGCAACAAGCCTCCGAACCAGTCAGTCTCAAATCATTGCGTGACGAGCAGCTCGCGGAGTTGGTCGGCAAGCAAACAATAGCGTTGCTCGGGACTGATACTTCTCCATGCTGGAGCCTTACCATCGTGTTCTTGATACAAAGCCATCTCTTGGCAACCTGGGTCGGTAGTTCTCGAAGCTCGATACTCTTATAGCCTCTCGATAAGCAGCGGTCTGTTAGCCACTCTATTTCGTCTATTCACACGGTCATAAGACATACGCCTGGTGGACGTTGGAGCCGAACCTCTTTCTTCTGGCTCCCGTCCGGGCTTTTCAGATCTGACGGAGGTGAGCCTGGCAAGGAGAGATTGAAGTGACCAATAGGCGATAATGTCCTATACCATGACAGACACGAAACTTCCTCGCTGACTATTCTGCTCTCGGAGCAGCCGAAATTTGCGCGGCAGTCGAGCCACGTTATGAGGCATGACTGCAGGTGTAAGATGCTGATGATAGGTCATACGGTGAAGTCTTTTTAGCATTTCACAGCCACCGACAAATTCGAGGCGAAGCGACAGACCCATGAGAGCCAGCATGGAAGCCTCAAAGGGAAGAAACGGCTGAGTCGACGCAACCATGGAAATGGAGCGATTGGTGAATTGCGCGTCGCTGTGTGTGGCAGCCATGCCGCAAGTAGCCAGCCACGCGGCCCGCCAAGCATTGATGACGGTTGGCCGCGAGATGAAGTGCAACCATTGCGTAGTCGCCCACGAAGCCAAATACCCAATTGGAACCAAGGAGTTAAGCTTGTTTTGCCGAGCAGAACATGGATTTTCGGTTCTCGGGTCGAAGGTTCGCACACGCTCGTTCCGGACCTTTGACGGCTGACGTCCGGGTCATTATCGACAGTATGTTCACTTGCTGTTGTAGCTGCGGCCTGTAAACAGTTTCAGGCCGGGATTCTACAACGCTCACGAGCGCAAGACCAGCTAAGTACTCTACGGAAGCGGGGTTGAATGGTACGTTGGTCACCGCGGATGAGATCCGTGAAGGTGATGGGCATTCTCTTGGTCGGGATGCTGCTGAGAGCAATCCCCATGACCGCAGGCGACCCAGTTCGGTTGGCGGCCGAAAAGTTTCCGGAGCGACAGGCGATTCGGCACCGATCTGAGCAACAATTCAGCCTTCGTCGGCCGGCCCCACAAGGCCTACCGGAGCAGTGAGGCCTGTCCTCGACGGTGTGCAGTGCAAGGTGGCTGGCTCATGACTCCCAGTGACTCAGTCCGGAGATTGGCTGGATGGACAGTACGCAATGCTACTGTCGCATCTCGAGTTCCAGCGAGGAGAAAAAAGTTTGCAGAAAAACCTGACAGTCACGCTCACACTCGCCGGCCAAGTTTCCGGGCTACGGTACCCCAACCGCAACATCCACACTGACCACATCTTACTCCGACCATGCTCCACCACCTGTATTCATGGCATGCGGTGAACCAACGACAAGATCCCGCAAGCACAGCTGCTGTGCTGCTGCTGCCTGAAAGTAAAGGACAAAGATTATTTGCGACAGGCATCTACCGAGGCCAGAAATGTTGAGCAGCTCAGAAACAAACAGGATGGGGGAAAAGACCTCCATAAGCAGCACAGCCAGATTGCCCGGCCAAGACAGGCAACCCGAGGCTCCTCGCCAGGCAGACGCCCCAATCAGTCGCGGTTGTAGTTGGGGATGCCACACCATACTCACGCACACACAGGCATCTGGACATCTGCCGGGCGCGTCTCATTCTCCAATGCCTAGGCTCATCATCCCCAAACTCGAGTCCCTTCTAGTTGGCTCTAGACGATACTCGGGATAGGTAAGCACGGCGAGTTGTAATTGAAGTTTGTCCGCGAATTCGCTTACATAGACTATGTAAGAGGCCTCATGCAAGGCCTCGAGCAAGGGCTGTGTAATACACACACACCGAACGTGGCGTACATCCAAGAGGCTGCCACGAGCGCACTCGCATGAGGCGCGAACCGTACGTGGTGACTCAACGGTACAATCATGCCGGGTCTCTGCTCAATGTGTCGTGTGTGATCCCGGCATGCGTCCACGCCGCGCGACAGCGCCCCGGGTAGGGATGGCTAGTCCGTAGGCTTACCCGTCCACCGCCCGCTCCTTCTAGTCCCACCCCCGGCCGGCAAATGGCGAGACGCGGAACGACTTACGTGGTGTGTGTCTGGTTTACGCTCAACTCCATGGACGTGACACATCTGACAATGACGGGTTTCTTTCCCTTGACTGACGGATGGGCCTGTGGAGTTTCCGCAACTGAGCCCCGTTGGCGTTGCGCTTCCACGTCCCAGGTCGAGGGTGTAGGTGTAAGTCATGTCAGGGTCGCATCTCGCAGCTTTCAGAGTGAGTGTCAGAATCGTATAAGTAGAGGCATCTTCATCTCATCCTCAGGCTTCGTTTGGACCCTCATCAGCGTCATCACTCGGATCAACAAGCCAAACAATCAATTACACAGAGCCCAATCTTTCCTCGGAAGCTTCTCAAGCAAACCTCACCATCTCCTCCACCATCACATACCCACCCCACTTACACAAAACCACCAGCTCACCACCACAACCATGTCGGGAATGCACTCAACCTTCTCCAACTCCGTCACCGGCGACAACCGCCACAGCTATGCCCTCCTCTCCGCCCTCCAACAGGGCTCCAGCGCAAGCAACAATGCCGCCACCGGCTCGTCCTCCCGCCAGAAAGACGCCGACGCCGCCTCGGTCTCGAGCTTCGGCAGCTCCGTCTCCCTGCTCAAGGGCAAGTTCCACAACCACTCGAGCGCAGTGTCCTCCTCCGCCGGCTCAAAAAAGTCTTCGTCCCTCGTAGCTCGTCAACGGGCCGCTGAGGATGCGGAGGCGCAGGTCTCCAAGGCGGAGTCTGCTGCTTGGGCTTCTTCGGCCCGCAATGACTTGTAAACAACGAACAGAGTGGACAGGATCAAGTCAGACGACAAATGGTCTATGGGTCGGAGATACAAGACGCTGGCGAGGAACGCCAGCCGGCCGTCCTCGATGAGTTACAATGGTTTTTGGGGCTGGCGTTTGGGAGTTTTCTACTTTTTTTAATACCATGGGTGTGATTTGTACTTGTAGAGGTGGGACGTTGCAGACGGAAGTGTTAATGCTCTCCAAGATTTGGCTGACTTCTTTGGAACATGGACCGAGGGGTAATTGGGTATCCCGGGCAGGGACAATAGAAAAGGGGCCTTCACCAAGAAGTCTGGAGCAGGTCGAATGGTCTCAACTGTTGGATCCATGGGTATCTTTCCTAGCACTAGCCTGATCTATACCTATAGACAAAGGCCTTTCCTTCTTCTGGTTTTTATTTATTTAGGTTTCCGCCAAACCAGTCAAATTGACAACAGATCAAAAACTCTCATCGAGAATGTCCTTGTTCATCTTCACCATCGTGGGGCTGTATTCCTCGAAGCTCTCCGGCTCAGCGCCAGCTGTAAGCAGGATGTCATCCACAATACGCTTGCTCGCTTCTCGCGCTGTAAGTCTTGTCAGCAAAACAAGTTACCACAAACACCAGTTTAACGCCCACTTACCAGGTGTCTGAAGCAGCTTGGACGGGGCAGCGCGAACTGGATTGTCTTGGGCGGGCTCATGCCGCCATACAGCGCCTGGTCCTCATCGCTGTCGCTCTCCCAATTAATCTCATACTTGTCTTTGGCAAAGCCGCCGCCAATGTCCGTCGTCGTTGTATCATCGTTGTAGTCGCCATGCGCAGCAAACACATCCTTGGTTTTCCTCGCCGCTCCGGGCGTCTGCACGCTCACACCAGGTGTACGCGGACCCGCGGACGCAGTTGCCGCAACGAGGCGCTGGCGGGCGTTGCTCTTGGCCGGTGACATGAAGGCCTCACTGCGGAGCTTTGGCATCTCCATGACGGGCGACGACATGGGCGAATCCTGCCGCCACGCCGGCAAGGCTTCTCTCTCCCTTTCCTTGCCCTTGTCGTCACGCTTGAGCGGCGAGACGCGGTATGTGGGCCCCTTGTGCGGCGTGGCCTGGATACGGAACGTCTTGTCGAGCATGCGGTGCATCAGCGGGTCCTTGTGGTGCTCCTGCCGAGACGACGGCGCGAACCCCGACCGCGGTGTCATCGACATATCCGGCAGCCGGGCCGTGTGCTGCGCGAAGAGCACCGTCGAGTCCTCCTCGATGCCGAGATCTTCGTCCTCGTCGTCTTCCTCGTGCGGCGCGGGCGGCTCGCCTTTGAGCTCGCGCTTGAGCGCCTCGTAGGGGGATTCGAGGCTCGAGAATTGGGGCTTGATCGTCTTGGTCTTGGGCGGTCGCGGCGTGCTGCCCGTCAGGTCGTTGTCCTCAAGGACGGACTCCTCGGCGCGGAACGTAGAGTCTGCGACCGAGGCCTGCGTCATGTCTTCAGCACCTTCGTGTCGTTGGGGGGTGCGGGTGTAGTCGACGCTGGTATCGTCTTGGGCTATCGACTCCTCGGTCGCCCCGGTCTCGTCATCGTCATTGGCTTGTTCCTCGTACCCGGAGAGTGAGACGTTGGCTGAGGCCTCGAAGAATTGCTTCCAGAACTATGGGTGGCACCAGGTTAGCCCACAGCGGTCGTATCATGGCTGTGTGGTTGGCGCACCTTTGAAGCATCCCAGACATTTCTTGAGTGCTCGCCATATTGCTCGACTATGGGTAAAATGCTTGTGGTGACGATGCGGTGTGCCTTGCTGAAGTTTGAATCGATCTCTATGCGATAGAGCAGTTTGTTAACACCAACAGATCGACCATTGCTCGCAGGAGACCTGTTTACCTTGCAGAGTCAGAGTAATGGACTGCTCCAACTTCTCCAACTCTTCGGTGAGAGTGAGATTGCGCGCCGATGGACCCGGACGAGACATGCTGTATGCGTTTCCTGTCGGTGTTCTAGTTGTAGGTCGCAGAGTGTGGTTTTGTTTTGTTTTGTTAAGGTGAGCGTTTCGTCCAATGAAGGAAAGCAATCAACAAACGCGGATGGCGGTGGGACACGCGATGCGGGGCAATTCCTAGTCATTGAGCCTGGGTCGGGGCAATCGAATGGCGGGACATCCCCGTCCTCATACCTACCGCAGGGTGTTGTCAGCCTTATATTTTATCGTCCGAACTCAAAATCAACAATCGCAACAAGATACTGTAGTAAGGTCAGAGGCTTATAACGCACAACGGCCATTTATTTATCTAACGCCGGGGGTATCTTTAATCTACCAACTGATCCAATCTTTTACTAAACCTCACGCTTTAGAGTAGTAACCGGACATATCAAGCTTCAGGAGGAGCTGTGCAATAGGGTTGTCCTCTAAAGAGTCAACTCTCCGCGAGTTTCCTGTCTGGCCCATTGTATCATTCTTTGTTCCATAGTCTCCCTTCTCACTCAAACCTTTGCAAACCGTCACAAAAACCTCGACATTCCGCTTGAAGGTCTTGTAGAGACTCCTTGCTGTCGTGTCATCCTGGCTGCGAGACCTTCGCCCATCGGACTGGAGCCTGGAGTATTTGGCAAAGTTCAAGATGACTCGGAAAATATCGTCAAGCAACTTGAGCACAGGCTGTTGTCGTTTCCGCAGCAGTAGTGCCAGCATGATCCGATCTAGTACTTGAGAATGGTGTTCTCGCAGACGGTCAGGGCTGAGGACCGACCCAGAAAACCTCTCTTGGTCTTCACTCTTGAGATCAGATTCAACTTTGTCAAGCAAGCCCTCAAAATTCTGCCAAGGCATCTCAATACCGGTGTCGAAGATATAGGAGTTGAGGCTGGAGACGAAGTGACGAGCTTCAAAGCAGAAGCGGACAGACACATCCTCGACATCATGCCAACCCGACTCCCTAGCCGTAACATCGCGGAAGAGGCGGTTGATGGTGTATTGCATCCGAAGCGCTCGGAGCAGCAACTTGAAGATCCGGTCATATTGCACCAAGATGATGGGCGTAATGATAGCTCCTAATGCAGCTGGAGGCTTATATGACAGTCGAAGAAAATCAAGCGCTTCTAGTCCGTCTTGGTCCATACACTTGTCGATCTCTTCGCTGGATAAGCTCCGAACACCAAAACTCAAGTCGCCGGGAAGCTCGTTCTTTTCGCCGTCTCGAGGCTTGAGGCCTTCTTGAATAGGTCCTTCGTAGCTCTCCGTCAGAACTCCCATCAGTGCTAGACGCAATTCTGAACTGGCTGGGGGCCAAGTGTCTCTACCACTCAGCCGCAGTCCCATGACGCCGCCCTGGCGAGCAACACCGGCTTGTCTTTCCGCCGTCTCGAGATCTGGGTCGAACAGCGCGTGGGAGAGGCGACTGCAGAAGAAGCCATTGCCTAGCAAGTGGAACGATTTTTGCAACTTCAAATGATCCCGCAGATTGTGAGATGTGAAGAGCAACTTTAGACTTTCCCTGCCAACAACTCTGGATTGTGCCGCTATAATCGATCCGAATGAGAGGACAGGAAGCAGTGACCAGTGCGGAGTGAAATCGGTACCTGCATTTGCAGCTTCGGTTGTAACGTCAGATAGGCGCTCCCTAATGATAATTCCCAGTGGGTCGTCTGATGTTGAGTCGGCGATTGGCTGTGCAAAGTCGTAGATGGATTCGGCCAGTTTGTTTTGTAACTGAAGCTCATTCAGACCGAATAGTTGTAGCTGGTATGTTGCTGAACCACCCATCGGCCATGCTGGCGTCTCGATTTCTGTCGATTCTTCTGTAACATAGACACTGACAGCTTCTCGTAGGGCTCGTTCGTAAGAATGGACCCTACCTTCCAGCTGTACGATAGAGTCCCAGTCAAACAGCCACTCCAACACAGGAGGTCTGCTCGAGGAGACAACATGGTCTTGTGCCAAGGGATGCTTTGGGTGCGTCGACCTGATGAAACGAAGATTTCGTCCAACCTCGAAGAGAGATTTAACCACGTCTTCTGGCATAAAGCTGGGTATCCGTTGCTTGTCCAACCGGTAATCGACTTCGTCTACCTCGTCACCGAAGTCGTCGATGTAAGTCTCAGATTCAACCTTGATGAAGCCTTTCTGTCTGCCCACTTCATGCTTGCCCAGCGGCACGCCAACTTCGCGGCGGGTGCCAATCCATTCTTCGACTAGCTCGATCCAAGGTTTGGACACCCGCCGAAGGACTTCCCGCATCATGTCTCTGAGATGAATCTCGGCGTACTCGGCAGACTGGGCTTGCTGGAAAACGATGACAAACACATCTTCGTCCAAATGGCCACGTCGTATGTTCGACACCAAAGACTCGAACTGGCGCAGAATGGTGGATATGTGGACGACAAGGGATTGGACTTGGAGGATCGACCGTGGGTGTTGATGGTGTAAAGCAATACTGCTTTGAACGACCAACAGGGCCTTGTCCACGGCGCTCGCCAGAGCAACACGACAAGGCGTCGGGTTCTTCAGGTATGTAGTGTCGACAAACTTGCGCAGTCGGCGGTATGTGTTTCCACACTTCAAGCAGGAGCGCTGGACCTCCTGAATAGTCTTGCCAGAGTAGGCGGAGATTCTGATCTGTGGCAAAGCCGGCTTAAAGGCCTCGGCTTCGTCTTGCCAGGAGAAGAAGACCGACTCTCGACCAAGAGCCAAAGCCATCAACGCATTACAGTATGGACCTGCCTCCACCACAGTAAACTCGGCGCTTCCAAGGCGTAGGGGTCATCCTTCAACGCAATCAAGGCGTCAAATGCACCGGGACCAGCTTCTGATATAAAAAGGGGCTTTGTCGGGAGAGTGTCGCGAAACTCGAAGCTTTCCCATGTCTGGTATTCTGGATTGTTCCGCGCGGGTCTTTCAAGAGACAACCAAAAGTCATTCGTTTCAACTTCTTCTTCGATCGGAGGTTCTCCGTGGGTGGTATCCGGTATGTCTATAGCAGTTGGTGCCTCCTGCTCCGTCACAGGATCTATCGTAGGAAGTGTAAAGAGTTCGCTAGGTTTCGGATCGGGAAGGCTATAGAGAGAAGACGATTCTTTGTCGAGTCATATAAATCAGCAAGTAAGAACAATTTTTTGCAGTCTCGAGAAGACCAACCTGCTAGGTCGAGCGCAAAGAAACCAGCATCGGCTCGGGGCAGCTGCTCCTCTAGCCATTTTGACGACTCCCAGAAGTCTGGAATCGCGAAGACGTTGGCCGACTCATCTTCCTTGGACATGATTGCGCCGATGGGACTGATTCCTGGCAAGCATTGGTCCTGGTGAATATGGCGTGCGCTTTGCGATCAGTGACATCGCATCGCCCAGGATCCTGATGCCGTCGACGTTCGTTGCCTTTCAACACCGCACGATCGGAAGAGCCGAGAAAGTGCAGGGCCTCCGCGACGCGACAGGCGCGTCACACTTCTAGAATCCAGGCAACGCCCGCTAGAAAAGAACCCTGCACACACCCGATTCTTAGCGGCTACCCCCCACAGATTTGGCCCCTGGCGGCTGAAGATGTACCCTGCCGCGCTCGGAGCAACAAACCAAGCTCTTCTGTTTTGCTGGAGCTCCAGGATCGAAATGCTTCACCTTTCTACATCGATTTCCACACCCATTGGACCACGGCACCTTGCACCCACGATAAAGCTACGCGTATCGCTACTCTACCTCGGCTCATTAGAGTCTATAGCCTGTGCGACATCCGAATCAGATACTCACCTACGCCGTAATGCCTCCTAAAAAGAAGGCGCGCAGCAGCGTCTCGGCCGTCGCAACGCCGACGCCAGCTCGCGATGAAGATGCTATGGACGTTGACACACCAGCTGCCGATACTCCCACAGCAACCGTGCCTCCAGTCAAGCCTTCTCTAGACGAATGGCCAAACAATATGTGGACAGACGATCAACTTTCATCGCTCTTCAAGGGAGTCATTCGATGGAAGCCCGCGGGTGAGCTCACACTACCTCTCTACTGTCCTGGACGGACCCATTGAAGCTGACCCATCCCTCGCAGGCATGCACAAGCACTTTCGAATGATTGCCATCAGCGAACACCTACGAAATCACGGCATCGATCCAGACTTCTTCACCCACACGCGCATCCCCCACATCTGGACGAGGTTGCGCACCTTCTACGACCTTAAGACGATCGACCAACGCGAGGACTTTTACGATGCGCAGGAGGATGAAAACTACGACGACCGCTTCAAGGAGTTTGCCCTTCCCTATGACGAGTTCGACGACATGATGATGGAACGCCGCCTGGCCAGCGGTAGTGAGCCCCCGACCTCGCCGCCCGAGCTCGACCTCACGCCACCCCCGCCATCACCGGGGGCAGCAATGCCGGCGGCAATAGCAGACGAAGGAAGCGCGCCTCTACCGTCACAAAAACCCGCGCCAGCACTGTCGAGGACACAGAGGACGGTGATACCGAGGCTGCGTCGCCGCCGCCCAAGTCGGCCAGGGTGGCCCGGAGTCAGAAGCGGGCTGCTGGCAAGGCCAAGGCTGAGAAGGCTGAAAAGGTCGAGAAACCTGAAAAGTCTGACAAGCCTGGGAAAGTGGGTAAGACAGAAAAGTCTAAAAAGGGTGGGAAGGCTGGGAAGGCTAGAAAGGCCGAGTCGACGAACTCTGAAGATGAAGACGACGAGGAAGACGAAGGCAAGGAGGCAGAAGATGACGATGACGAGGAGGAGGAGGAGGGGGGGGAGAAGGAGAAGGAGAAGGGGAAGAAGAAGAAGAAGAAGAGGGAGATAAGGAGGAGGGGGAGAAGAGGAGGAGGAGGAGGAGGAAGAAGAGGAAGAGGAAAACGAAGAGGGAGGTAGCGGCTCAGGCGATTCCGAGGAGGAGGACGGTGAGGAAGAAGAAGACGACGATGAAGAGAGCGCCGAGGATAGCGGGACTCCAGTGTCACGGCTAACCAGAGGGAACGCTCGCGGTCGTGCGAGAGGCAGAGGACGGGGCAGAGCGAGGGCACGAGGACGTTAGATCACGTTCGCACCCAAAGATCGGTGGGTTGTCCTTCGGAGATGGCGTAGGCAAGAATGATACCCGTCGCAAGGCGCGACATGTATGGAAACGACTCAGCAGGTCCACGTTGTAGCTGGACATACCGCGACCTCTCATCAGTGTACGAGCATGGAATATTATCGGAGGGTCTCGCCAAAAGCATATAGATTAAGCCAAGTCTATGGGTATCAAGAACGATCACTAAATCCAACAACGAAACTACCGTTTCAGTCCTTCTTGTCCGCTACCTGTGACGTTCCAAGCATCTCCCACTCGCTGTGATACGTCAACCTCTCCCTCCACTTTCGCCCGGCGTCATAAAAATCCTCGACGTTTCCGACAGCTCTACGGCCACGCTCCGGGATTTGTGGCATCATGAACGACTCGGGTGGCTGTCGCTGCAGAAGACGCCACATCTCCAACTCAGCCTCGTAGCTTGCCTTCGCATCCTCGGCTTCGGCTTGGGCCTCCTGCTCCCGCTCGTTGCGTATCCTATTCCTTAGAGCCTCCCTCGTGCGGTGTGTCTCGGGGAAGTCGTGGGCGGAGTAGACAAGGACCTCCTTGGCCTCCTCGATAATTTCGCGTTCAGCGCTGCCGAGCGCAGCAGCGTCCGCCTCGTCACCCGATTCTTCACCAGCAGAAGCCTCGTCGTCAGTAGATTCAGACGAATCGCGGTCCTCAAGCTTGACCTCTGGCGTCGAGGATGGTTTTCCCGTTGCCCTGGACTCGGTGGCATCGGACTCACGACGAAGAATACTCTCCACGCGGTCGTAAGCCATCGGCTCCTCGTTCTCGCACTCGTCCTCGATGTCCCCCTCATCCTTGTCGTCCCAAACTTCGAGCCGCAGCCGACGCGCACAGGTTACCCAGAACTCGTCGCTGTTCTGCTTCATCCCCAGGGACGCGACCGCCGCCTCGACGTCCTTGCGTCTAACAAGGTTCCTCGTGGACGGCTCCACCTTCCTCTTTCCCCTGATACGGGACTCGGCAATAAATAGCGTCGTGAGGACAAGCTTCTTCGTGACAGAGACTAAGAGCGAGTGGAAATCCTGCAAGGCGGTGGCCCGGATCGTCGGCGGCTCCTCGCTGACGAACTGCCAGTTGTCCTCGGCATGGGACGCGTTCATGAAGATGCGCTCGGGGAGGCGGACGAAGTTCTTAACGTGGAGGAGCTCGGTGAACTCCAGACCGTGGTCACTCGCGAAGGCGGCGTCTTTCTCGAGGCCGTGGTCGCCCTCGATGCGCTTCGCGAGCTCCAGGTTGATGTTCCAGAACTCCCCCCACTTCTTCTGCTCGGCGAGCTCCTCATGCCGCTCTTGGCGGAAGGAGAGCGCGTCCGCCGCTTCATCGAGCGCGTGGCAGCATGGCAAGCTTATCTCGACGGCCGCGGGGTACTCTGCCGGTTCCAGGGACTTCAGGCCTCCTTCCTGTTCCTGTCCTCTCCTTTGAACGGCATCCTCGAGCAAGACGATGTACTGGCGGACCTCGACCTCGCTTTTGGTTCGTATGCGGTCAGAAATGCCCCGAATATTGTCCTTTCCGAGTCTGGCGAGCGCTTCGAAAAACACCTTCTTCTCGTATGGTGTCCACAGCGTCAAGCCGATTTGAGACGAGGGTAAGTCCTCCTCCCCGTCAAGTGACATGTTCGCAACATCTTCAATGTCCCTGTTGAGAAGATCCAAGTAGTTGTTGTTGAATACGCCCTTGCGTCGTTTGAGAACTGGCTCGATAATTTCACTCATAGCCCGTCGCTTGTGCGACGAGCGGCCTGCGTGAATGCTAATGTCATTGTCGCTGGATGATGCTCCTGAATAAGCAGATTCATATCCTCTACGTTCGGTCCTTTGCCGTTTTGAGGGCGATTGTTCATGGTTCCCGTAATCTTCAATCTCCTCCTCGTCGTGTAAATAGTCGGCTTCCGGTTCCATGCTCATCTTCGTCTGGTACTCTGAAGTCGACGATTCGGCCTGGGCGGTGTAAAACGTACATGGTGTGATGAGAACACCAGCATCAAAAGGAGCGACGCCGAATCAGGCAAATTGTCGGTTGCTTTTGGATGCTGTAGTTAAAGCGATTGCTATTCGTGGTTGCCTTGCGGATACATGAGACCGGTTGATTCTTGTCATGAAATGAAAGTTGTCTGCCTCACTTGAGATTGAAGATTTCCTGGGTTGGAACCCACAGGGAAACGGGTTGGTGGAAGTGCACCTTGCATCCGTCTATCAGATTTGTAAGGGGTTTGCATTGATCCGTGTTAGTGTAGAGCCGCTGGTACATCGGCATTCAGGCATGCTGCCACTATGGGGGCTCTCCAGGCTCCTGATTGGCGCATCTGCCTAATCCATGTGCTCTCGAGCTCCTGAGTTAGTGACCTCAGGACTTAGACTCACTCAATCGTCTTGAACTCCAAAAAACCATGGAAAACAGTACAACATGATACGATCTATAGCAAGGGAGCTCCTCAGGCCTTCGTCAACAATAAGAACACAAATTTGTGCATTCAGGCCACTCGTGACCTTGCCGAAGCAGCCCATACCCTCTGCCTCACGATACGCAAGCACCAAGATTCAGCTGAGAGACTATCAAGAAGAGTGCATCCAATCTGTCATACAATCTCTCAAAGATGGGCACAAGAGACTCGGGATATCACTCGCTACAGGCAGTGGCAAAACAGTAAGCTCTCTTGTTCCAAAGAAAACCTACTTCGTGATAACTTTCCCCAGGTAATCTTTACTCAGTTGATTGAAAGAATTCAACCAAGACGAGGCCTCGCCACGCAGACCCTGATCCTCGCACACCGAAGGGAGCTCGTAGAGCAAGCAGCACGACACTGCACAAACGCCTATCCCAGCAGTTCTGTGGAGATTGAAATGGGCTCCATCCACGCCTCCGGCACCGCAGACATCACCATTGCCAGTCTGCAGAGCATCACCTCGGGCGACCGGCTTAGCAAGTTCGACCCCCGGCGCTTCAAGCTCGTCCTCGTCGACGAGGCACACCATATCGTTGCACCGGGATACATGCGCGTGCTTCGCCACTTTGGGCTCGACACCAAGCGGCCCGACTCCCCGGCTCTGGTCGGCGTGTCCGCCACATTTTCCCGCTTCGATGGGCTGAAGTTGGGAGCCGCCATCGACCAGATCGTCTACCACAAGGACTATGTCGACATGATCGGCGACAAGTGGCTATCGGACGTTATCTTCACGACCGTGGAGTCTTCGGCCGACATATCCAGGGTCAAGAACGGCGCCAACGGGGACTTTCAGCTGGGGGATCTGTCCCGTGCCGTCAACACGGATCAGATCAACGAGATCACCGTCCGGAGCTGGCTGGCCAGGGCATCGGACCGGAAGTCGACGCTCGTGTTTTGCGTCGACCTTGCACACGTTGCCGGGCTGACCCAGACGTTCCGGAAGCACGGCTACGACGCCAGGTTCGTGACGGGCGACACGCCCAAAATAGAGAGAAGCGAGATACTCGAGGCTTTCCGAAATGGAGAGTTCCCCGTGCTCGTGAACTGTGGAGTCTTCACCGAGGGCACTGACATCCCCAACATCGACTGCGTGGTTCTCGCCCGGCCGACGCGATCTAGGAACCTGTTGGTCCAGATGATCGGGAGAGGCATGAGACTCCATAAGGGGAAGTCCGATTGTCACGTAATCGACATGGTGTCGAGTCTCGAGACTGGCATCGTAACCACGCCGACACTGTTCGGCCTCGACCCGGGCGAGCTCGTGGACAAGGCGTCTACGGTGGATCTGAACAACATCAAGGACCGGAAACAGGCGGAGCAGCTCCGGCAGCAGCACGCTTACTCCGACGCTCCAGGCCCTCAACCTAGCATCGCACCCGCTGGCTCGGTCACCTTCACCGACTACGGCTCCGTTTTCGATCTGATTGAGGATACCTCTGGCGAGAAACACATACGGGCCATTAGCCAGTACGCCTGGGTCCAAGTCGGCGTCGACAAATACGTCCTCTGCGCCCCGAACGGATCCTTCATCCGCCTCTCCAAGCTCGAACCTGACGCCACCAAAGCCCAACAGCAACAAAAACAACAACCATCCCCCCTCTGGCTCGCCGTTGAAGTCCGCGCGTTACCCCCGGCGTCGCCAAATCCCCCTACGCCGCGCCGCGCGAGCTCCTCAAAGCGACGACCTTCGCCGATGCCGTACACGGCAGCGACAAGTACGCATCTGAGGTCTTCCCGCACGTCTTCATCCACCGGTACCAGCGCTGGCGCAAAGGTCCGCCGACGCCCGGCCAGCTCGAGTTCCTTAATAAGCTGCGTTCCAAAGAGGAGCCCCTGACGGCCGAAAACGTCGACAAGGGGAAAGCGACGGACATGATTACCAAGATCAAGCATGGGGCCAAGGGCCGGTTCGCGGGCATCATGACGGAGAAAAGGAAGATCCAGCGACAGCATCATAAGATTGCGCAGCACGAGGCGCGAACGCGGCAGGAGAAGGTTTCCGTTGGTCCTGTTGCTTCGTGAGGGCCTGCCTCGTTCGTCATTCCTTGATGATAATTGTAAGGCTTAGCGATGTCAGAACATTGTTGTACTTGGGTAAAACTAGCGTGTATTTGTACGATATACGGACGTGTAAAGTACATGAAAGAAATGCAGTGGCATATCCACAGTACGGCGGACGTCTGTTCGGTTCCACCATGAAGAAACGCGATAGCACCTACTTTTCTCCGTCCGAGTGAGACGCACTCTTGAGAGGGTTTCCATCAAGCTTGATATAGGCTACGATACCTCGCTGTCAATCATGATATAGACCCCCTCAGTAAGAACACGTCCATCCCGGGAGCCCTTACACACATGCGAGCAGGGCATATCGTCAAATCATCACATGTTTCCAAGAGAGCCTGTATGATCGACCATGGGTATCATTGCATGTCAAGGCCGACCTAAAAGGTGTATAGATATCAATACAGTTCCGTCATCATTCCCTCGCTAATAGTTCAGTCAGTCGCTGAATCTTGCGCCACACTGGCCCGCCGCCATAACAATCTTTCCCTTAACCGCGTGGCAGCTTCGCCGGGCCAACCAGCACCAAAGAGCATGAACCTCTTTTCATATCTTTCTTCCCAGTTTACACCCCAGCTTGGCCCATGACCCCTTGTGCCGGCGTATATCTGTGGTGGGAAACCGTCGGAGTAGAGATAAGAGAAGCTACAGGTCGACCAGATCCTTGAGTCGCGAGACCTAGCAACTGAAACGCTAAAATTGAGGCGGTAGGCGAAACCGCATGACCCCTCAGCCTTTTTCTTTTTCGTATCCTCTGATGACCGTAGTCATCAGAGGCGCTGGAAGCATCAAAACAATCGAAATCAAACCGCGAACAAGGTATCTTTTCTTTTTTGTCCTCCGTCTTTCGACATTGGGGGTATAAAGAGTGGACGTGAAATCGTGCGACAAGTAACCATCGAAACCCGAAAGACTTGAGAGAGTTGGAAATAAAGCAAACCAGAAAGCAAGGCAACAATAGTAAAGCAAGCAAAACAATAACTTCGGCCGACCGATGCATCGGAAGCAACGTTCCGGGGGTATTGTACGCCAGGGTATATCCAGCCGGGGTATTTTGCACGTAGAGTTTCTAAGACGGGAATCTAACGGAAAGGTCCGATGGGACCGGGGTATCCAGAATTCGTAGAATGAGACGTAGAAGGGCGTCCGCTGTCACCGGACGCTCGAGTGCTGTGACGTGGCGTAACGTCACCAGGTTGGGGAATGTTCAGTTTGTCGGAACCATTCCCCATAGGGCGGTGTGCCCAAGGGTTGTCGTCGTCTGGAAGATTGACGCCGCTATCATTCCAGGGGTTTCTGTCCGCATTGAAGCTGCGGGTGGACTCGATCGAAATGAGGGAAGACTTGGAAACATTGCTGGATCCCTTGAAGAAGTTGCCGTTGGTCGAGTGGGAGCTGTTCTTTCGGCGATCAAGGAAAGACGAAATGGAGGTCATGCTGCCAGGCTTACGGAGGCGATCAAAGATGGTGCTTCGCTCGCGAGCAACCTCACCCTCAAAGGCGACCTTGGTGGGGGAATCGGCGGCAATCGTGGCCGGGGCATGCTGGAGAAGCTTCGAGTCAAAGTACTGAAGCGAATCCTCGAACGAGTCGGACTTAGGTCGGGGGATGGAGCCCTTCAAGATGGTCACCTCGACGCCGGCAGTGGCAAACTGAGCAAGCAAGAAATCGATTGCATCTCTCAGGCCGCCAGCATTGTTGCGAGTGAAAGTCCAGCGCAGAGCAAGAGCCGGCAAGCCCTCCTCGGAGTCGGCATCTTGGTGGACCGTGACCTCGACTTCGTACTGGGTCTTCAGCTTCGGAACAAGGTCGTGAGCGAAGCTTGGCGACTCGAGGAATTTGATCAACTCGGGGGTACGGGTGAGAACCAACTCGTGGTTGTCAGGAACCATGCCCTGGGTAACCGTTAGTGACATGCGCAACGAGTGCCACTACAAACACGTACCAAGAATTCATCCACGCAATGAGGTACCTGCCATTGTGGACCAGTAACAGTGACCTCATCGCTGGCCTGCTCAGTGCTGGGGAAGACAATCTTGCAGTTGTACTTGCCCTCGAGCTCGTCAATCTCGTTGAGGCGAGCGAGGAGCTGACGGTGGTACAGGCGGTCAACGTTGACAATCTGGGAGGTGTACTCGGAGTCCTAGAGCAAACGGTAAGCCGAGGGGGGCATACTCGGGAGCACTGGCGTAGACTTACGGCCCTGTCAACCATCTCCAGAATCTCGTTCTTAACGGCATCGAGATTCTGGGCGTTTCTGGCAGGAGTGCGGCAAATAACATTGTCGACCTTGACGTCGTCATCTTCACGGCCCATGCCTCCACGGTCCATGGCGTTAGAGAACTTGACAAAGACGGAGTGCTTCTTCATGATCCGCTGGATGTGCTGTCCACCAATGCCAATGATTCGCTTGTGGTACTGATCCGGGACATGGAACGAGATGGAAGCTGGCATCTCTTGTTCAACAAGGGTGAGTCCTTGCTTCATCGAGTCATAGCTAGCCGCCATCACATCAATGTTGAAGTTATACTCGTTGAAGCCGTCGAAGATGATCTGGACGCTGCTTTGCCCCATAATCTTGTTGATCTTTCCATTCTTCTTGCCGCTCACGAATTCCTTGTGCTCATTGGCAAGCTCAATCTTGACTCGAATCTGGTACTGCGACTGGACGAGGAACTTGATCTCGGACATAACCATCAAAGCAGATTTGACGGCGTCGTCAGAACCAGTGATGGAGAAGTTCATCTTGTCGAAAGACAGGTCTGCATCAGAGTTCGCGCAAACATCACCAAGCATGGTTCTGACGTCAGCGGGGTTCGGAAGCTGTCGGCTGTCGGGCTGTTGAATCCACCAAGCTGCGCTGTAGAACTGTCCGGCCTGTAACAGAGAATTAGATGTGTCTGCAAGCAAAATCTTTGCCAAACCTACCAAGGCCATAATCTCGCGAACCGTGCGTTCGACATGCAGTCCTTCACTGCCTTGAACTCGAACCATGTTGCGCTGGCTTGCCAGGGGAGGGAACAAGATGTAGGTGCCGTTCGCCTCAAGAATCTTGCGGACCTTGTCCAGACGCGTCAGAAGCACACTGTCAATTTTGGCCGGCGCAATGGTAACGTCCTTCATGTAGAGGCGAATGCGCGAAACAGTCTCGTGAAGCTTCTGCTTAGCAAGTTCAATGGCCTGGGGGCTCTCTCCGGTGATGAAGATGTCCGTAGGGTCTCGGCGGCTTGCACCAGGGGGGCAGTATCTGTACATCTGGGAGAAGGGAGGCGGAAAGTAAATGGCAGTGCCGGTAGACGACTCGATGAGCTTGATGTTCTTCCGGTGGCGGCCGCATACGAGCTGATGAATCGACAGGTCGAGCTTGGTGGCATCCACAACTCTTCCGAGCTGTCATACAGTCAGCAAGGTGAGACAGACCAATGGGTGGTTGGTTGGGCTTACCAGAGTGTCAATCTGGATGAGCACACGGGCCTTTGCATGCTCAACAGAGAGGATATCACCATAGATGGCCACTCGCCATCTTTGGTCTACACGCATCTCGGCATCACCCGTCATGCCGTCAACCACGGGAGTAAGCTTGGGGCCCAGCAGGAAAATGTCGACCCCGCAGTACTTGGAGATGTAATCCAGGGTATCCGTCACTTGCTGCTTCAGAGCGCCGGCGGTCAAGTCACAGACGAGATGGCCCTCCACGTCAACAGTTGTACAGCGCTAAACCAGCACACGTTAATCCAAGGTCTGAACGCCTGCTGCACGTGTGCTTGAAAACCTACCAGGACAGTCTGGTTGTCGTTCAAGATTGTCTCCCTGCTCTTGTGGACCATTTCCGGAGTACCCGACAGACACACGGTGGTGACCTGCTGTCCCTTTGCGTTCTTGGGCGTCGTCGAGATGACATGAGCCTCGATCTGGAAAGGGCCGTTGGTGATGTCCTTGCAGACCTTGCGGAGGTTGGCGAGGTTCTGGGTGTGAACGGGCAACTCGTGGACCTGGACATCATCGGGCGCGTCTTCGGGATGAGTCCATCGTAGAACGGCATCGGCAGTCGCGTGCAGAATGTCCTCGGTGTTGGGACCGGCGAGGTCGGAGGCAAAGGGCACATTGAACGAGTAGTGAATGATTGGTGTCGGGGCGTCGAGAGGTTGAGGTGAGCTTATCGAAGCAGCCTGCTGGGGAGCCGTATCTCTCCTCGGGTTCATGGGGTTCATGGGCATGTTGGGACGACCCATTCCGAAGTTGGGGCTCATCCTCTCGGACCAGTGACGCATGTTTGCCAGTTTGTTCATATTGCGAGCGAAGACAGGCGGCGGCGGCGCGGGGACAGGGAGGAGTGGGCAGAAGGCCAAAGGAACGGACCGCGAACAGCAATTGAGGGTATTCGAAAACGCAACAACGGGCAGGGAAAGGGAAAGGGGAAGAAAAGGAAATGGGGGGATGAGAAAAAGGAAGAGGGTGTCGCTTCTCGAAGCTCTCTCTCAGACTCGACAAGGGGCCTGTAGAGAGGGAATTGTTGGAGAGAGAGGAGGGTGAAAGATGTTGGGTGAAGGTGTGAGTGTGGGAAGAACTCAAGAGAAGAGGAGTCGAGTCGGGAGATTCAGATACTGGACAGCGAAAGATGGTCATAGGTGGTCAAGGCCACACGGCAGCAGGCCAGGCCAGACCAGGCAAGGCATGGCATGGCATGGTCCGGCCACTCCCAGTCCCCCGTCCTAGACCCAGTCCCAGGCCAACTCCACCCGACAGACCAACCAGCCAGTCAAGCCAGCCGCTCCGTTGCAGTGGTGTGTGGCCCCCTCCTCTCCTCCTCCTCCTCCAGTCCCAGATGTTCCCCGTCCCGATACGTAGGTACATGCTTAGGTACATCCACGTCCACGCTAATATCGCGGCCTGGCCAAGTATCTTTCCCTCCAACCCTGTCTTGGGTCCACGGATGCTGGACACTGGACGCCGGATTGGCAACACTGGACGGGGCCCCTGTTCAAATGCCCTGAGTGCAGTGACAGGGCTCGGCTCCCTTCAGGCGAGGGCCACTAAAGTTTCCCCCGGCAAGACCACCGACTCACCCACACAGCCCACTGTCCAGGGCATATCACCTCACACCTCAGTCATCGATTCGCTGGGGGGGAGATCCGGTGCAGCAAGACCCTTAAGTCCAGATACTGCGTGTTTGTCCAATCGGCCGACGGTCTCTCAGCCTTTGTGGTTGTTGAGCACGATGACATGGGAAATGGATCAGGGAGGCACAACTACCCAATACCTGGACGTCATGACGCCCATCAGCGCATCCCGAAGACCGCACATCCTCACTCAGCATGGCGTTTCCTCCCGCTCAAAGCCCCCGACATCGTCGCCGTATGTCAAGTACCTCCGGCAGCTAAGGTAAACATACATGGATGATGTACCCACACAACGCACACCCTTGCATTTGGTGCGCTCACTCATAACGGCCGCAGTTCGCTGGGACTGGGTACGCTATTACGCCGCTGACTGGAAAGGTTATGATCCCGTACATAGCAGGGTACGTAAGGCCAAGTGGGTCCACGTTGACAGTGGCCGGCCAAACCGGCAGTGTGTATTCTTTCGTCCTGCTAGAAGCCAAAGTATACTTTTCGAGTGCTAAGGTGTACAGTATCGTCCCGCATTTCTCGAAAACCCAACAGAAAGAGAGAAAAAAATGAAGGGGACAAAAGGCGCCAGACCACACGCGATCGTTTGATTGCTGCGTCCAATCCAGGTCCAACATCACACATCGAGGTTCCATATTACCACAGGTTATTGCAGTATTACCACTTCTCTGGGGCTCCACGATCCCTGGCACGTCTTCTGCAAACGCGGACGTATCAAGCTTTGGGGGGACTGAGAAAGCCGAGTCGTGTTCCGACTCTCAACCCGTCCTAAGTGTCTGGTTGTTGTGTAACACGGTACTAAAAGTACTCTGTACTGGGACGACAGCGGTTGACGGAGGGAAGCTCTGGGGGTAGACATGACAGGTACCTCTGTCTGGCCGTGTGGCGGCAGCTAAAACAACGAAGCTTGCCTGCTCGGCTGGTTGCAAAACCGTCGTTGTGCATGTCATCCACGGGCACCAAGACCTCGAGCCGCGCGGAGGACCAACCCCAGCAACCGCAGATCAAAGACAGGCTGCCGCGGAAAAGACAAATCAGAAGTGACCGAGACGGGACGTTGGGCCATCCATGGTGGCTGCATGTTCATGAGAATCTAGAAGGGCAACAACGCGTCCATGTCCATGTCAAACAACAAGACGCCCTTCAATATGTGTTTCGGCTTCCAACGAGACTGGCCCTCGAAGCAGGCAACCAGGACATATGTAGACTCGCAAATAAGGATGCGTCCGCTCGCTCTCTGTCTCGTTTGTTCTGCGTCCGGTGAGCCGTGTCCAATGTTTGGCTGTTTTCTGTCCAACTATTGCTACCTGTGCACTTCAGGGTGGAATACCTCGAGGTAGTCCAAGTACCTTTTTTACCTGCAGCAAATAAGCTTAGGTATTTGCAGATGGTAAGGGTCAAGCTGACCTTACAATCTCCCCGTTCCCAAGCACAGCCTCAGGGGGAAATCGCTAAATGACGTATGCTTGGGCTGCTCGGTGGTCACGAGATTCCCGAAGCCGCCAGTTCGAGCCAGGCATGTTGACAGTCAAGCTTATGAGAGCAGAGTCAGGTCAGAAAAATGCTTCGGGTGGGAGGAGATGCGAGGATCGTCTACGGCATGCCGGGCTTAATGAGGAAGGACCAAGCAGGTGTGTGTGCGTCGCCGCCGCCGCCTCCCAGGAAACCACGACAGGCCCGCGGGCACTCGGGAGCCCAGCCGTCATGCCATGTACCTTTCAAGTATACAGAGCTGCATTTTTGCGTGAGACTTCCCACAAACGACACTTTCCGACTACCGTCTTTCCCAAACACTCAGACATCAGTCAATGGAAACTCGTGCACATACCATCTCGACTCGTCGACTCTCGAGACACCTCGCGCAGGAATGCAGGTCATCTTCAAGCCCGGACCATTTTGATCAGACGCTGGCTGGGCCTTTCAGCGGTCCGGTCAGGACTTCAACTCCTTCCTCCTCGTCCGGACAGGTATGCAAATCCTATCAGCAACCAAGGCAACCATGGTTGGATGGCCAGACGTCGAATGTCAGCTTCGATTCGGGTCTCTTGCCCCAAGGTCAAAAAGTCTCTATACCCAAGACATCTCAGCTTTCCTCCCTAACGCAAGCCTGAGGTCACGGACCAGGATTCCTCTTGGTTGATGAGGTTCGAGCAGAGCCCCCACTCCATCACCAAACTCATATGGATACCTAGTCTCACGCGCCTTACGTACGCACCACCTTGCTTGCCAGTCACCAGTCAATACGCACCGCATCGCGTTGCACTGCCCGCCGCCCACGCCTGATGAGACCCTCCCTCGTTCCGCTAGAAACTTGATCCTGAATTCCTAGCGCTGGGCACGCGACTGACAGCCGACGTGGATCAAATCTGCCGCGTGCCCTGTCCCCTACTGAGCTGTTGTGGTATACATCATGTACGCCTACGAAAGCCCAGGTCACCCCTCTTCACATCAACGAATCCTGAGCCCAGGGAGGTAGGCAGAGAAAGCTGCTCAAACCGTCGTGGTAACTATGGCGGACACATCGCTTTGGGGAGCTTCCTAGTGCTCGGATCCATTGCCCGCCCAGCAGTCGTCATGATTACAACGTCGTCACCATTTTCTCCAACTCCCAATGAGCCCAAACGGCAACCCTTGCAGGACCTGTCGCAGAGTCGAACGGTAACCTAACAAAAGCTCCATTTCTCTCCTCGTTCCCCAACTTTCAGCATCTCCATATCCCGGCCGCCCCAGCTGCTATCAACCGGCCGACGTTATGTCCGTGTCTCCGTCAAGTTGGGCCGTTCGTATTTGGGGTCCAGTCCGCACTACCTCTAAAGGATCATGTCCGCTATCCGCAACAAAGCGGCCCAATCTGAGCCGATCACCGCAACACCGGAAGATCAACCACTGACCGTTGTCGATCTGTTCAAAACACCCTGCGGAGTATTCGGAGCACAGGCGTCTGCCAGTCAGTCTCGATACAGTTCAGACTCTCCGTCCTACTGATTCAAGTCCCTCAACAGCAGCCATGGTTGAACACGGCAATGCAATGCTTACTGTAAGTCCTATGAAGAGAGAAAGATCGGTCGGGCGCGCGAAATAGTCACCGTAACTTCCTAAACCGTCACTCCCCGACATGTTGGAGCTTCAACTGAACTTCCAACTCTTGCCCTGAAGTCAGAACATCCTTGAACCCTTGGACCAATTCGCATTCACGTCTCAAAGAGTGGGTGTGTAGGGAGCTCGAGCCCCGAACGAAAGCTTCCCGAATCCCACTGCACCACCCATCCACGTACCGTGACCATTACCTAGCCACTAACCAGTGCAGTTGCCGTGTGCTCCAGTCCTCTGGCTCGTTGATAGGGCTACTTCGGGGCGCCGGCACTGCACTGTGCATGTCCCGGTCACGGCACTTGCTGCTGGCTTCGCATATCCCTCTGTGTGTCTCGCTGGTTGGTGAACATCTCAAAAAAACTCGAGTACTGCGAAAGAACGAGACACTATGCATGCCTACAGCGCAACGGCTCTGCACAAGGGTGACTGACACATGTCAAGCAAACACCACCAAAGCTGCGGGTTAGGGCTTCCCTCGCGGGCCACAGAAACCTGGTCCTGTCTTGCTGTACGCGCCCTCGACACGCTCCCGAGACAGGGAATATGCCGTGGAGAGAGTCGGCGCCTGGAAACAAGACAGGGCGTTGGCACGGTCTGGTTACTTGATCTGCAACCATGAAAAAGTGGCCGCGCCCTCCTGCGCTCGCCAACTGCAGCTATGCCCCACAGGTGAATCGGCACACATACCTACACACTACGGTACATAAAAGGCGAATGACAAGCCTGCCTTGGTGCTGGATGGGCTCTGCTGGCGCCCAAGATCGGTTCCAAACATCCAATTTACACCAACTCCAGCATGGCCGGAGCCGAGTTGATGGAAAGTGGCCTTGGACCCTTCCAACGGCGATAGGCAACGGGAGCCCAGCCCGTATCGACCTATCCCGCCTCGTTCGCCCTCTAGCTTGAGAGAGGGTGTAGATCGATGATCCTGGAATGAACGTTTCAACCTCGAACTGGTCTTGCACATAGCGGCACTCGGACCAAGACCAAGACCAAGTCAGCGATGGGCCATACTTGCTGTCTGGGTACGTCCTTGCAGCGACACTGACTGGCAAACCTTGTTTTGCGGACGAGGCGAGTTGGCCTAGAAGTCGACGTCTCTGATGCAGTTGAAAACAGTGCCTCCGCGTGCCGGACCCGCCGGAGTAGACGCATTTTGAGCAACAGTTACTGGAGTAAAGAGCGCGGCGGTAGTGATGTCTCCTCCCTTGCTTGTCTCCCTCCGCCGATCAAGGCACACTTGGCACGTCCGATATTGTCAGGGCGACTAATAAAACTAACTTCCGTTAATCTGCGTCCCCGGACATTTTGCGAGAAGAAAAAAACAAGTACCAGACTTTGGGAGATCCGTTTGTCATGGAGGATCTCCTATCAAGACGACAACGAAGCAACGAAAAGTTTCGCATAAGACGAACCCACTTTGCGATCATTCTCAAGTACACATATCGTTCCTTTTCTACAGCATCTTCCATTTGCGGATACAGATCTTCACTCGTCTCCAGTTCGAACCCACCCACACATAACCCAACATGAAGCGGAAACCCCGACAGAAAGCGCGCACAAGTATCCAAACAATGACTTCACAGAACCCCTTCGCCGTGCTTCGCGCTTCCTTCTCCCTTGGCACCCTCGCTCCTCCCTCCGCAAGCGACGATGTAACCGCTGAGGCAAACTAGCAAAACGCCCGATTCGAGATCTCCTTGTTTCTCCCTTTTTTTCCTCTTCCCTTTGCTTTCTGTATCCTGTTTCCTCCGCTCATCTCCCCCTCCGCCAACCGCCGGGCTCGGGAGGCGGCCCCCACGCGTTCCCCTCTCACTTCCGTCTTGCTTCGTAAAGCACCAAGCGGACGGGCACACCAAGTAAACCATGTAAACTCAAGATCCTCCCCCAACATCCGTACTCTACGGACGGCGACGGCGCGCTTTGGGCATCGTGTCTGTGCTCCGTGGCCCAAAGTTGACGGCGGGTCTTTCTCCTCTTGGATGGGAGCAAACTCAATCATGTGTTGTGGTTTCTCGCTTGTCCTACTCAGTCTCCCTTGCTCCCTCGAACAAAGTTTGGCTCGAGTAGAGTCTAGTCGCGGAGTTGAAGACGCCGCGGTCTCAACTTTCTAGACTGTTTCCCTCCATCGTGACCGTGTCTCGGGTGTGTTTGCCATGGCCCAAACCGTCGAGAAGCAGCAGCCTGTCTAGTTTACCCAAAACTCACTTGCCTTCTAGTACACGTCACTAGGGTCGAGTTTCCCGCAAATGATGCTGATTTGGAGTCGCCTTCCGGGTGTCCGATTACAAAGGTGTATATGGTGAAGCTGAGTACGACTAGCATTGTGAAAAGAGTTCTTTATCGACCACGCCTCATATCCGAAACTCCGTCCCATCAAACAAAAACTAAACTTTTTTTCCCCTTCCAATCCTTCACAGTTTTTAGGACCCAAACTCCATCTGATGCCTTCCCTTTTCCGAGTTTCCGACAGCGCGTGAATTTGGTTTTGTATATCGACCTGCTCCGCACTAATGAACCAGCCCGTCCCTCATTCAACGGTACACCGAGCGCGGTGCTTCATCAGCATAATAAATTTCCTGCGCGGCGACTCTTGGCCGTTCGATGTATGACACCTCCGGCTCGGGGCGAGCCGGCAGCGGCTGCCCATAGTACTGCTGCTCCACCGGTCGCACGCTGTACTCCCGGCGTACCACCTGAGGCTCCGCCGGCCTCACACTGTAAGATCTAGGACCCGGCTGGATGACCTCCCGACGGGCTTCTGGGTGCATCGGTGCCGAGGCGTAGTCCTGGATAGGTAGCTGTTCCGGCCTCACGCTCTGCACTCTTCCGTATTCCCGCGGAAGCTCGTACCGCACTGTCTCTGCCGGTCGAGCTGTCGTTGCCCGCATCATGTATTCCCGCGGCGGCTCGTCAATGATTCTTCGCTGCTCCAAACCGCCTCTCGCCGGGATATATTCTTCACCTGGCGGCGCCATCGGTCTGGTCGAATACTCCCGTTGTCTGTAGACGCGCTGGGGATCCGATACAGCATACTCGGGCTGAGTGACGACTCTGCGAGGCGCCGCGTACATTGGTGAGGTACGCTGGTAGAGCACGTCATCGTCACGAGGGTTGGGCCCAGGTCGCCTGGACTCGGCTCGGATCGGCGCCCTCTCGTAGATGATCTCGGGCTCGCCCGGTCGGAGTGGCGGCGGCGCGACCGATTGTCGAATAACGCTTGCCGGCTCGTAGTATCGTCGGCCGGTGGCGGGGTCAACTACGACTCTCGCCGGCGGTGCTTTGGGTGGTCCCATCAGCGGGGATGCTCTCTCTCTCATGACGGGGGAGCGAGATCTCGCACGATCTGCCATGGGACGAGCGCTCATGCGCGTTACTTCGTAACCATCGCGATAATGCCGCGTAGGCTCCCTACCGTAGCGATCGACACTGGCTGCCGGGGAAGTTGCGTATATCTCACTTGGAGCAACGTGGACAGCGTAGACACCTGGTGACTGCACTCGTCGGACATATTCAGCACCACTTGCGACGCGCGGCTCCTCCGCGTATTCCCTTCCATACCCATAGTCACCAGTCGTTACAACTTGGCTCATCGGTCGTGGGCGATACTCCTGAGGCTCGTACATTGACGCAGCACCCTCCTCTCTATAGGATCGAGAGAATTGACGCTCGGGCTGGGCATAACGAGGCTCCTCGTCAGCCTGTCTTCTCAGTCTCTTCTGTGGTCGAATGAAAGACGGCGCGCTCATGGGGGATGGCGAACGCGGCTCTGGCTTGATGTAAGGCTCGTCTGGCGCTTGCCTGGCTAACCTCTTGTTGCTCGCGTTGTTGTTGGCGTTGTTCTTCTTTTTCTTGCCCTTTCGTTTCTCACCATTCCGTCCCCCTTGCGGCGAGCTATCTGGACTGGAAATAGTATTGGGTTCATTGCGCAATGCTGCAACTTGAGCGGTGGTTCCCTGAGGGATGGTCATATCCTGGACATCGACTGCTGGACCTCTGGCCATTGCCAGAGGCGAAACATGGGAAGGCTGGGGCGCCAAGGGGGATATGTTCGGGGCGCGAACCTGGATCAGAGGCGAGGGTTGGCGGGCAAGCATAGACTCTCTAAGTTGCTGTTGACCTGCAGCGGGAACAGATCTATCAGCACTGTCGTCAAGATCCATAACGCCTGACTCCTCAGATCGACTGGCATTTCCGCTCCCACCTCCTGATGTAGACGCGCCGGTATTTTCACCTCCTTCCATTCTCTGCGTCGTTCCTACCGACGGGTATCGAGAGTATCCGTGCGCGGCGTCGGTTCTGCCTGGGATCGGCCGTGTCTGGGACGGCGTAGAGTTCGAAGCTTGACCCTGTGGCTGATGAGTAGCAGACGCATGGGAAAGCGAAGAGGGCAGGCCAGCTTGGGCTCTTTGGTTTGCTTGTACCTGCGCCTGACCTTCGAGTGGCCGGTTGGCAGCGGACGGCTTGTATGCCTGGGCAGCAGCATTGGCGTCGTTACCTGCGCGCGAACTGGGGAGCGAGGAGTCGGGTGAGTTGTGTTGGGAGGAGTAGTAGGAGTTCTCATCAAAAGAGTCACTTGCAGCTGAAGTGTTAGCAGCAGCCAGAGCATTGGCAGATGAAGAAGAAGCAGCCTGGACCAGAGTCAGAGCCTTGGACAAGACGTCGGAGAGGTCGAAGTCGGCAAGAGGCTCCGACTGCGCCGAAGCCTTCATAGAGGCCCGGCGTTGATCGACCTCATCACGCAGCGCTCGCTCAAGACGCTGCCTCTGGAGCTGGATCTCGGCCTTGATTAGGTCATCAGATTTCTGGAGGAAGATGGGATTGATCTCCGTGTTGCCAGCACCAACGAACGGCCTTGCAGGCAAGTTCGCGTTAGCGGGTGGCGGGTTTCCCAGGCCAGGAAGAGACGCGTGTTGTTGCGTGTTGGACGCCAACGACTGCAGATTTCCAACTTGATATCCCTGCGCTGTGCTCCCCGTTGTTTCCTTTGCTGCTGTAAAGGCATTTGAAGGCGATGCTACTGCAGTGGCAGATGCTTGTGATGCCGACAGGTTTGGCACCTTGATTTTGGGATGTGACCCAGCAAGGACTGCATCGCGAAACTGCACAATTCTCTCGTACTGCTGGATGTGGTGAAGCTCATCCTTGGAAAGACCCAGCGACACCCCATTTGCCATTGGTGGTATTGAAGCGAGCTGGCCTTGAGCCATGATGATGAGCAATCTGCGCAAGAAAATCCTCTGCGACAGAGATCGGCAATCAAACAAGAACGCGCCAAAGAAAAGAAAGGAATCCAAGCAGGAAAACAGGAATACTAAATATCGTAAAAGCCTGCACTGTCGGATTAACAAGCGGCGTAGCAATCCTTGGGCGGGAAGGTAGTCCAGCAGTGCCGTGGAAGATGAAGAAAAGAATGTGTGTTGGTGAATGTGATGGAGAAAAGAATCGAGGTCCACGACTGACTGCTTTACCAATTTTCTTAGAGCGATATGCCTCAAAGGGGGCTGCAATGCAGTTACGTAGCATGTGGGCCGTGCACCTCAACATCTTCCGTCAGTCAGTCATCCACCGCTGTCTAATTAGCGCCAAGGTTCCTGTCTGCCGGCAACAGCTCCCTGTAGCTCCCTTTCTAATTGCCTCAGAGAGCAACGTAGTGTGCATTTCACGTTATCGGCGTGAGTCAATCACAGGATACATCTGTCAAACTACCTTGGAAAGCCTTCCAATCGCCTCACAAAACCCCACGCTGCATTTATAAGCCAGCAATAGGGTCTGCTATTTCCTGAGCCGTAGAAACAGGAGCATTAAAGGTGTCCTTGAGTTCCCACGCGACTCGTTTCGCTTGCTTCATGCCGGCCAGACTCCCACCTCGCATATCCAGAAGCTTCTCTTCTACCATCCGACCTTTCAGGTCTTCTTGCTCATATACCACCAAGCCTTTTACATCAATACGCGAAGCCGAGCCTCCCAGGCCTGTTTCGTCACTACGCTCTCCCTTCCACTACAGACTAAGTCGCTTCTACTCCTCAGCATCAACCATGGATCCTAGCAAGCCCCAGACGAATGGAATGTCAACTCCCAAGCCAGTGCTTTTCTTGTAAGTTGGCTACTATGCGGCAGTATGGTGAGGATCAATGAGCTGATGCGCCTCTAGTGACATTGACAACTGCCTGTACCCCAGAAGTGAGTCGTATGCGCCTGGGAGTCTAGTTTTTCAGAAGCTAAAATCAGCCAGGCTCGAGAGTCCAAGATCACATGGCGCAGCTCATTGACGAGTACTTTGCGAAGCATCTCTCTCTCCCCTGGGAAGATGCAGTGAAGCTGCATAAGGAGTACTATACCAACTACGGCCTCGCCATCGAGGGCCTCGTACGACACCACCAGATTGACCCCCTAGAGTACAACTCCAAGGTCGACGATGCGCTACCCCTCGAGGACATCCTGAAGCCCAACCCCGAGCTGCGCCAACTTCTCGAGGACGTCGACAAGAGCAAGTGCACAATGTGGCTCCTGACCAACGCCTACGTCAACCACGCCAAGCGTGTCGTGAAGCTGCTGGGCATCGAGGACCTCTTTGACGGTCTGACGTTTTGCGACTACGGACAGCAACCGCTGGTCTGCAAGCCTGCCAAGGAGATGTACCTCAGAGCCATGCGGGAGGCGGGCATCGAGAAAATGGAGGACTGCTACTTCGTTGGTATGTGGAAAGCACGGCCACCCTTTACCGATCTCCCCCCTGACTGATATGTTAGACGATTCGTATCTGAACTGTCAGAAAGCCCAAAGTTACGGCTGGAACGTGGCACATCTGGTGGAAGAGAATCTACCTGTGCCGAGAACGCCGGCATCCGCGCACCAGATCCGGCACTTAAGGGAGCTCCGAGAGGTGTTTCCTCAATTCTTTAAGTCAAAGAACGCCTAGACTTCTGTAAATCATCAGAGACAATGATTGAACGACCACGGATGGACACTGCAGGGCGCCAGCGAGGGCAAAGACACCAGTGTAGAGGGAGCATAGAGATGGAGTAGAACCGTGAATTTTTTTATTTCGGTGGACTGGGTCTCGCTGAATCCATAGATATCGTAAACATACCCCCGGGGTTTTTCTTTACACCTTCAACGCCAAGACACCGCGCGCGCAATCGCGCAATTGCAAAAACTCCTGTGCCTGTGGTGCTGCTGGCTTCACGGCCGTCGAATACTCCTGATCACCTCGTCAAGTTTTGCCAAGATCTGGTCCTTCTCCTTGATCGCATCTTGCCTTTGCGCCTCGGCGACCTTCAGCTCGTCCTCCAGCTCTCGAATGTAGCGCTCCTGGTCGGCCTCGCTGCTGTCTAGACCTGGGAGAGTGGATATGAGGACCTCAATCTGTTGCTCCTTGATAATTAAGTCGCGCGCCAGCTCAGCTAGGCCATCCTTGAACTCGTCGGGCGGGAGGGGGTCGACTGCGCGTGGTATGTCAGCAAACTATACAGGACGTGTGGTGTTTCGGGGCTTCAGAGGTCTTGCGTACCCTCCTTCTGTTCGGGGTCTTGCTTAACCTCTCTAATCTTATCGTTGGGCCCTAGGAGCTCGAGATCGTGACGTCGGTGGACGAAGTGGAAGCTCGCGACGAACTGCTGGGCCAGCTGGAGGCGTCGTCAGCTATTGCAGGCGCCAAGAACGAGAAGCATGGGTTTGTACCTGGTCCACAGCATCTTGCAATTGAGTGAGTCTATCGCCCATTGCGGTACTGCTGTAGCATTCCTGTCGATGTATTTGCTTGAGTATGCGGTGACAGACAAGGCTGCGCTCACGGGTGGTGGTGGCTTCGTGGGGCCAAATCCTAGGCTAGGTTCTTATTCCGCGATCTGCCAAGGTACCTGGAACCGCCGGGGTGCTTGCTGCAAGCGCACTGGCCAGCTTCAACGCCGTAGCTGCCAGCCGCGGTACGTACCTTTACCTGCCAATCTCAACTTCAACTCATGTTAACGAGGCTTCCGCTCTCGAGACTCCTACAAAATGAGAATCGGTGACTGACTATTTTTTTTCTACGGACCATACCTTTTCTTTCTCAAAGAATGCATGTTTTACGACGCCCCTTACTCCGGCAATGGCCCCGACATCCACAGCTCACCATCCCCTTGCTTCACTCAACTTTCATATCAACATGCTCATCATCAAAACAGAGCCGAAAAGAGCGCCCCGAACTGCTCTACCCTGACCCTCCAACAACACACCACCACGACCTCGCATCATTTCTCGCATACGCAAATCGCACTGGCCTCGACGTTGCATCGACAGTCTATGTCGGAACACTCTATGAGTACACAGTCTCTGCAACCCTCTCACAGTACGGCATTCAGGCCGTCCGGGTAGGCGGAGCCTCAGACAACGGCATCGACCTCCTCGGTACATGGGACGTACCCTCTCAGAATGAACCTCTCAAGGTCATTATCCAATGCAAAGGAGGCGCCCAGCGCGCCGGCCCCTCGCTAATCCGGGAGTTGGAGGGCTCCTTCATCGGCGCCCCGGTCGGCTGGCGCGGTGCCGGCGTTATCGCATTCCTAGTCAGCGAGAAGACGGCGAGCAAGGGCGTGCGGGAGGCTTTGGGGCGGGGTCGCTGGCCGATGGGTTTTGTCTCGTGCTCCAGCAATGGGATTGTGCGGCAGATGCTCTGGAACCAGCAGGCGGAGGAGGAGGGGTTGAGAGGAATGGGGGTGACCATGCGCCATGCCGAGGCTGGAAACGGCGAGTCGCAGATTGTTCTGACCTACAACGGCAAGCGAGTTCCCAGTATTTCCAAGGCAGAGGTGCCGGGGGCTTGAGCTTCATGCCCAAGACGGAGCATACTTCATCTACCTACAAGAATGCCGTCAACTAGTTCAAGGAGCCAACGCTGTGCCCCAGTCGTATGATTACCGAATATTATCGAGGGGTCTAGAAAGAACCGGTATCTTTCCAGACAAGGTTCCACGTGGAAAGACCTCGAAAACGGGCGCACAAAGGCCGAAGCCTGACTGCCCACCTTTCCCCCCAGCGAACTTCCGATGGCAAAGTCGACATTGATACCAGCATACTGGGCATTTGCGATTCGAAGAGAATAAAACACAAAGTCTTCTGGCCCGTTGCCAACGAAACCGGGGTTGGCTCTTAAGCAAAGAGAGGTGGGCTGTTTTGGATGGAGTCGATCCATTATATATGGGGTAAAATGAAAGAACGAGCCACCAAAACATCAAAAAACATACAACACTAGGTATTCGCTGGTCGTCACCGACCCAACTACTAATCCGGCCCTCATGAAGTCTTAGCTGTGAGAGCTTTGACGTCCTGAATGTGAAGCATGCCACTTCCATCATCGGAAGGCAAAGCTCCCATCTTGGCCCCACTGTACGGAGCACAGTAAATCCCGAGCGAAACGGCATTCCTCCGTTTTTCCCGTGTCAAACTGTACTGACTGTACATAGTAAATAGCGTTTAGATACGTACACTTCCCCTCTACTTATCCTACAGTATATTGTGCAAGTTGGTCCACTTCAAGGACAAGGCAAGGGGCGAGTGTACTCCGGAAGTCTCAGTCGATCACAGGAACTGATTGCTCGTCACTAGAAATATGGTGTCAATCGGCCTAGAGACAAGGTATTGGAAGCACGGGGTGAATCACATCACTTAAAAGTCACATGACCCTATTGTTCTCTACAACAATGGTTGTTGAAAACCTTGCGGTGTGAATCACACTGCAGAAGGTACCGGAGATAGCTTTGCATCACCTTTTGAAAGTCATGTGGCTGTCTTCTTTTGACATATAATCTTTTTAAATCTTTCTCTGACAACCGACTTTTTTTTCTTTCCCTTCTCCAATCCGCACTGCTTCTACAATCAAGGAACCATGCCGACTCGAACATTCTCACAAGCCTCGCTTGCGAGTCTGGCATACTTTCCACCATCAAAGAGAGGACCTGGTTTCCGTACCATCTCCATGGCATCATACTCAAGCTCCTCCAGTTCTGAGGATACCGTCGATGTTCCCGATGATCTCAACAGCAAGGAGATTCTTCTCTTCGCGGGCTTCGACAAGGACGTTGCGGACAGGATTTGGCGTCATTGGTGTGACCAAGAAGACCAGCAAGATTTCGTCATCCAAGCAGGCCGTCATTACATCAAGGCTAAGGCTATAGAACTGAATGCCATTGACGACGATGACGACTGGAATGCAGCTCTCAATAACATGGGTATCTCGGAGGACATGCAAAGAAGAATCATGAATCCAGAGTTCAACGACATTCGACGCACACGGAGCGCTGAAGAGTGGGCATTGGACAACCTCGAGGAAACGTTCGACTTTCTTGCCGGTCTCAGCAGAAGGATCGAGAAACTTCGCAAAGCAAACACCATCGATCGCGTCAAGTCTCCCGATGAAAACAAAAAGCCCACGCCTGCTATCCGCCCTGATCGCCATGATCGCTCTCGTGCATCTTCAAGCAGTGGTAGTTTTCCTCCTGGTCGTCAGGAACGCTCTGGTGCATCTTCGAGTAGTGGCACTGGCAGTCTTCCTTCACCTGCGATAGTTTCACCCACTCCCCCCAAGGCCATCGATGGTCGCACCATGATGTATAAAGGCGGTTCCGAGGCACGAATTCAAGATAGCATCAGCGAAGCTCAAGGCCTCCGAATCGGAAAACTATACTCCACGGCACCGACGGATTTTCACCCAGCCAGCAACACGCTTCTTTACTTCACGAAGCACCACGATGTCGCCCTCAAGTACGCTCGATACCAGGCTGAACGTTTGCCTCCTATCAAAGCAGCAGTTCTTCAAGTCGCAATCCCTAACAATCTCCTCAGTGACGCCCGCGAGATCTACGGCGAAAACTGGCGCGACCTTGTTTGGAATTCGAGAAACAAGAGGCTACATGCTGACGGCATTGAACTACCAGGCCATCTTCTGCAGTTTGTCGACAATGACGTGCTGGTTAGCAACCTCTGCACTGACACTACCGACAAGATAAGCCTAAGACTGGACAATAAGAGTCAGCTCCAGATATTCAAACTACCCAACGGCGTCAAGGCCACACAGCACGTTATACAGACGGTTTCTCGACAGAAGGAGATTGCCAAGGAAACCGTCGGGTTTGTTTGGCTGGTACCCTACATTCAGCCGGGAGGTGTTCGCGATGAGAAGAAGGCTCGTGATGAGAAGAAGGAACGCGACGAGAAGAAAAAGAGTCGCAAGTAGGCTGGACGGGTCGTGAAGTGGAGACGAGAGGAACATGTGAACGTGGATACGGGTGAGCATGGGTAGCTTGGGAGGTAGGGGCCGGACTTATTTGGCGATTGTACTATGAGTAATAAAAGTACTTTTTTCCTTCATTGGATTCTACCACGTTGTGCCGGAATATCTTTTTGCAGAATTCTCAGACGATGGCCCTGTTCAACGGCTTTGACGTGTTCTTCCCTGGGTGGTTTAGCACAAAGATGTTTCTGCTGCTGTATATTGATATACTGATTTTTGTATCTCTCTTTGTGGAATATAAGTTTACTAAAAAGACTAATTTTATAAAGCTCTTGGAGATAGATATTTGGTCCGGAGAGGTGGAGATTGACCGGCTTGAGCTGATGTAGCTGGTTGTGAAGCTGTGGAACTGGCTAGAGAGGATATAGTTCTGGATTGTTAAAGCCTAGGCCTAGGAGAAGCTCTCATGACCTAGTGGTAAGTATATAGCCCCTTACAAGCTAAGTGTAGGCTAGGACTGGCTCCTTGGTTACACCTAGCACTATAGTTTATATCCATAGTCTTAGTTACTGAAGTAGGCCCTGGCACACTAGGTATTCAGTAGCTAAGGGAAATTTCATTAATAAGAGGTGACCATCTTTTTTTTATGTTTTAACGGAATTGACTATTACTAGTCGAGCGTTGTTAGAGACAGGACTTGTGTGATAGCAGGCCAGAAGTTAGCTAACTAGCGGCAGATAGCAATCAGGTAGGCATTTAGTAGAGGGGAGGGAGGCATGGTCGGCGCACGGGGACAGAATTCGACTCTGCTTGTCGCACCGTAAGATAAGTTGTGGGCCCATTCTGTTTCATACACCGATTTGTTAGCAGAACACAGTCTCCCACAGAAGACTGAAAGAACGAGCCACCAAACCATCAAAAACATACAACACCAGGTATTCGCTGGTCGTCACCGACCCAACTACTAATCCGGCCCTCAGAACTCTCTTCTAGAAGGAGCGGAGGCAGCCTTTTTCGTGATGGCTTCACCAACCTGAAATGGTGGGCATTGCTCTTTGAAACGGACGGGGCGGACAATCGTAAAACCGACACACGGGCATTTTAGACGGTTAGCTTGACCGTTTGTGTGATCTTCTAGCGTTTTGTCACTGGGGGGCGTCGCTCTAATAATGCCAAGTCTGGGTTGACTGCTGGACTCGCTTGATGCCTGAGCGCTTAGGCGACAGTACTGTCCAAGACCGAGGCACCAACCAATAGGCACTGCAGAGCACTGCAGGTCTTGACCAATGATCATGGTTATCAACTTCATGCAAAGTACGCGTGTACATTCACAATCAAGAGGGTGGTGCCGCGGGTGTTCGTCCGTGTGTTCCCTGTCGCACTGCAGAAACCTTTACTTTCCAGCTGCTGCCAAGGTGTTGAGGCACCGGTACGACTTGCCCTGGTCGACATGCGAGCCAGCCAACTAACCCAGACTCGAAGCTTGTGAATTCGCGTTCCCGAACATAAGCCGGGAGCTGACTAAGCATCGTCTGTCCAAACGCGTCCGGCGAACTTGATATCCATGCGGAAATGCCATGTTCGCGTTGCGCCTCACTAACACGACTTCACTAAAGAACCAAATACAGGAGAGCACAAGCGAATGACGTAACTTCTGCAGATTGGATTATTTATCAAGTACAGACGGACCTGACAATCAAAACTAGGACCGCCGTACGCCATTGTAAAGTCTGCTCTTGTTTCATCGGTCGTGTGTCACAGTTCCAAAAGGAACCTGTGCAGCCATAGCCATTCACCCGGCGATCGGCCTTTTTAGGGCACCGGCAAACTGCTCGGTCAAGCCAGAAGCGCACCAAAAGATTATTCTTTATCGTCTTTATGACCGCAGTCTTCCAGGATTCCTCCTGGCTTTTCTTAAGTGTTCTTATCTATATAAGAATACTATTAGCAGTGTAACTAACTACAGTAGCCGGTATTGGCCTTAAAGAAGTAGCTAACCGTATGACCGATGCGATCCAATGGCCGAAATGGCGCCACGAGCGTGGATGCCGACCTCTCTCCCGATGATTGGCAGTAATGACAGAAAGAAGTGGGGTTTCCACAGATCGCGTAGAGCCTGATGGAGACCGTGTAAAGCAACGGCCACGCGCCAATACAGCCTGAGTGTGGCGTAAGTCATGCAACCACCGCTAATGACCTCAATAGTCACCCGCGACAGGAACTTCGTCCCAAATACGCATTGGGTGTGGGGACTGATCTGTGGCCGCTTTAACCTGAGCCGGAGGTGTGCAAAGGTGAGCAGAGGGTAAGCCTGGGTTGGTCACCCTGAGTCCAGCCCTTGGCATCGTTTCAGTTCGCGGGTGAACTTGCCGTGAATGAAGCCGGGAGCAAGGATGCCTTGCTGCAATGCCCCGTGCATGTCCCCGTCTCCAAGCAATGGGTGCACACGGTTTTCCAGTTCGTCTCCATTGGCTGCCCCATTTCTGGTTCCTTTTACCCGGGCGGAATACGTGACGAATCGATCAAGTGTTTGCTCGCTCATGGGCGATGTGGACCTCCAGAGCGATCATTGCCCCTAGCTGACTAACATGTACCTGGTTGTCTCCGTCTTGGTGACAAACATAGGATGCCAGCTGTGAAGCTGGCACCAGCTGCCGTCGGCCGAGAGTTTCTGGGCACCAAAGTTTTGGTAGTTGCTTCTATGCCTGGCTACTGGTATCTGAACATGAGGAGCCATGGGTGAATAGTACCCCGAAATCAGCAGGGACGAGCTACCAGGAACGCGGCCATAATGTAATTATGTTGACCAGTCCCACACTGAAGACAACAATGTGGGGCCGTGGTACTGGTAACTGGTCAGGTTACAGTTGGGTGACCGGTATAGGGTAGGCCTGCGTTGCAGTGGTACTGGTCTCCAGGTTTTCCAGTGCGCCCGAGACCAGTCTCCAGAAACCCCAGATCTGGCGACACTAGTCCCAGCCATTCAAGGGTTGTAGTACTACTGGCCTGTGGTCTCAAAGATTCTGCTTGCCAGTTCCAGTTGTGCCCTGCTCCTGGCATTAAGCTGGCTTCCCTCCATTCATTATTCTGGACTGCAGTCTGCACCTGACTGCTATCTCCAAGACCAGCCGTTCTGAGTCCGAACGGTTGGTTAACGATGCAAAGGCTATCATCGATGCACAAACTGAATTGTTCCTGAAAACTGCGCCATAGAAAACTCTGATGAAGAGGTTCTATATGTTGAAGATAGCGAAAACCAGAAGCTTGGGTATCACCTTGTGATTCGGACCGGATTACTAGGCCTAAGGCGTCCAGGACCTTGTCCATCAAATTGGATTGGGTGCCCAGGAATCTAACAGCGGAAGATCGTACGTTGCTGTCCTCGTGCTTCAAGAGTTCCACGAGGGCAGTCATCGTCGTCTCTGAAGGGGTCGACTGGTTGCCTAGAGCTTCAGCGGCGGACTCCCGTACGTAGCTGTCCTCGTCCTTGAAGAGTTTCACAAGGGCAGTCATTGTCGTCTCTGACATATATCTCCCAGAGTATCGCAGACTGTCCAAAATGGCGCGTTTGTTTCGAGAAGCGGATAAGGCACCTTGCAGGACTCCATCTGGAAGCTCTGACTCTCCCGTGAACGTTGATGATCTCGTGAAGTCGCTTTCGAATAGAACCCATTCCGTCAGTCGTTTCTCCCTATTCGCCCGCATCCCGTCTAGCAAGGAAACAGCCTCGCTCAAGCAATGCATGAACAGCCGCTGGTGCGTGGGCCCCAGGAGGTCGACCGGCTTTCTCTCGATTGCCTTGAAGAAGCGAGCTGACTCGTCTCCCTCTTCGTGATCCAACAGTCCGGCAACGAAGCGCCAGAAGATGTCGTAACGTGCGCTATACTTGTGTTGTTGAAGAAAAGACTTAGGAGAGATCTTATAACGTTCGAATTTCTGACGATTTAAGCCGAGGTATGGTAAATTCTGGTTGTCCTTCCACTTCCGTGCAAAGTACTCTTGAAAAGTAAGGTGTAAGAAATGATAACTTCGGGTTGATGGTTTTGCTGAGGGGTCAGATGTTCGTAGGAACGAGAGATGACCGAACATCTCATTGGCCTTTATCTTTATTTGCAATGGCCATAAATGCTGATGTAATAGAGCATCGCGGTGTGCCGGCTGAAACTCAATGACGTTGCCATGCAAACCACTAAAGGCTAGGCATTCAAGAAGGCTGCTTTCAGGCTCGACAATTTTGGCCACCTCGGAGGAAAGAAGATCTTCAGTGTTCTTCTCTTTGCCGAGTCGTTTGATGTCTTTCCTCCACAGTCGCTCCACGATGGATCTGTATACTGCGGTCATTGTCTCTGGAATATGATCGATCTCAAGGTTTTCGTCCCACGTGAGGCAGAGCGCATCTAGCTGGATCGGGATTCGAACAAGGCTTTGCAAAAGCTGGTTTTTCCGAAGGAACGACTGGATTTTCTCGGCATTCCCAGGAACAACCGCTTTGAGGTATTGCTGTACTTGATCTGGGTGGAGCCCGATTGTGTCTAGTTCGAGATCAGGCGTCTTGACATCGGAGCGAAGCGTGGTATGGGGCCGAGTCGTAATGATAACATTAGGTCTGTTCAGTAGTCCCACAAGAAATCCAAAAGCATTGTCATCTGGATCCAAAAGCTCAGACACTTCGTCCAGGCCGTCGAGGACAAAGAGGGTCCGGCGGGATGCAGCATCCTCTATATCTGTCCATAACTCTTTGGCGAAAGTGGCGCCATCTTGGCATTGCTCTAGATAGATGCGACGAAACATTTCACCCAGGTTGTATTCTCGCGGAGACCATGCCTTCAGTCTTCGTAACTGTACCCAAAGCACACGCGTGAAGTGTATTCGCCACATGCTTTCGTGGATGTAGCTGTGGACAATCTTCTTGCACAGGGTAGTCTTCCCAACTCCAGCGCGGCCTCGAATCAGTATTCTTCTCGGCTCTTTCGTGCGGCCGTCGGGCAGTTTGCGCGACGCGAAGAGCTTCGCTAGCTCTACCTTGAGGTCCTCGTGCGGAGTTTCCACCTTCAGCCGATCAGACAGTGAGAATGGTGAAGACTGTAGCGCTGGCTCTTCAGATCTGCGCTCCGAGCTGTCTGCCCGTTGCAGCTCCACAAGCGCAAGATTGATATAGCATTGATCCATTTGTAGAGGAGCCCTTGAGAGCCGCTCAATCTTGAGCTTGTCCTTAGTATAGTGGTTCTCGCGTATCTAGGCATCTGCTCTCTCGAGCGGTGTCCCTTTCTGGATCTCCTCAAGACAGCGGCGAATCTTGTCCGCCACTAACTTGTAGTCTGGATCTAAGTCCTTGGGCCCGCGAAACTTGTTCATTCGTACGTGGTTTCGCTCTAGTGGAACTGGGTCCTGCACGGTGGATAGAGTCGCAGACGTTTTACTGACCAGCTAACAAGCATTAGCACGGAAGTTCCTATACCTGTGATGAGGCAAAGGTCTTACCTGCGTCTTTTCAGAGGGAAATAAGAAGGATAGTAATGGGACTTTGCGAGATAGATCCGTGAAACCTTTTTCGTGAAAGGTATGTACTTTATAGGCCTTCTTTTGATAAAGTGTAGTGAAGCAGCGCACGAGCTCGTCGAGATCAAAATGGTCCCCGTTCACCCAGTCGAGTAACTGGTTAATCCCTTGGCCTCGAAGTGAAGCCCATGTCCTTAGACCCGGCTCAGCCCACCCTGCCACCTTCTCGAACGAAGTGCCACTAAATGGCGTAGCAAGGAAGATAACGCCACAAGTAGCTTCCTGAACGGGGAGATATGTCTTATCAGCCATGACAAGTGCCTTCATCAGGATGATACCTCCGAGACACGAGGCGATGAAGAGGATTGGTCGGTTCCTTAGTTGCTTGTCCGTTGCTTGTGGTCGTCCAAAAATGCCCTCAAGTAAGAGTCGAGCAAGTTCGTCGATCCTGTTCTCCTCCACATCTGGGTCCCGGAATAGGTCTGCAGGCCAGTCGCACGTGAAGATGCGAGCGCGTGGGACTTCTTGCGGCAGCATGCCCTCGTCAGCCAGCCAGTTCACCGGCGGCTTGCCTTTGCTTCTATCTTCCCACGTATCTGGCGAGTTCGTGTCCAGGCCATGGACGGCAATGATGTCGATGTCAGTTTCCAAATCGCTTTCAATAGGGTAGACCTTGCGCACGCGAACACCACGGCGTTGCCGCTGGGGTGTCGCACCGTGGGGTGCAGGGCGCTCTTGAGATGATGGCTTAGGTTCGAACCATGACGTGAATTGGAGTTGTGCGAGTTTGTTGGGGAGACAACGATAGAGAACAACTGTGGCTATGGCGAGGGAAATTACTTGGGTGAGCATGGTCGGTCCTATCGTAGCGCGAGCGGCTGGGTCGTAATCCTGCTGGTGGTGATGCCTTGCACGTGGACAGCCTTGTCATCGTATGAATACGATATCTGCTTGACTCGCGGATTGGCGTAATTTAGGATGATAGGTTTGAAAGAATGCAACATTCTACTTCTCCTTAGGATGGCAGCGAAAAGGTGTTTTCAGAGGCGGGCGGCTATGGACCGTCGCGGGGCCATGCGCGGAACAAATGCACCATAGAACGGTCCTCCTATAATCAGAATCTTGAGTGGCTCCGCTGCCTCTTGTTGATTAGATCAGCCGAAATTTCGGTCGAGAGACGAAGGATGCCAAGGGCGCCTATGTAATTGGCAAACCCCGAGCAAGCTACTGGTAATTAGACAAAACGATGGACACGTGTGCGGGCCCGCCTATACTTTTCGGTCAGCACCAGGTCTCTCTGATTATCTGGCACGCTCTCATACGTGATAGTGACAGTTAGTGCTGTTCAGCGGTTGCGCCGCTCTGGTTGCCCGACTTGGACGGCCTCCCGCATATGCCGCCCGCGCACCATGATAACAATTACTGACAGATTGGTGTACAATTGTATGACTCGTGCGTCTCAGCCTGCCTCCAGCGGTTTTAGGTACAAGTACATCGACGACGCCGAAGGCCAATTGCGATGAAAGACAGACGAGACGCTCTTGAGGCGCATTGCGCTGGGTCAAGGGGGACCAACGCTTCGTAGCGACGTGGTGGTTAGGTTTATCTAACCGGGGCGAGAGGGAGCACCTTGGGGCTGCAATTCCGAAGGACATGGGATGTTTAGATTTGAAGGGCCAAGAGATAGGACCGGAACACTTAGGAGGATGGGCTTGGAAGAACCGGTGGTGAATAGACTGCGTTGCCTGCAACTACTGCAGACCCTGACAAAAATCGGGGCGAGACTCATCAGAAGCTGACTGCATCTGTCTCTCGCCTCCCAACCGAGTCGAACCAGAAGTGACGGAGTATCGATGTAGCCCGGTTGCAGCCAAGATCGCACCACCCATTGTCCTACAAATATTGATGGACTGTTTCGCAAACCCGAGCAGTATTGAAGCAACCGATGACTGGGTTCTGCAACAGGCTCCGAGGAAGGCTTAGTAGGCCAATTGCGCGGGCCTTCTGAGAACCGCTGGACCTCGTCCCGCTTGTGCGCATATAATGGGGACGCCGCGAATCCTGGTGATGCCAGGCGACCATGGCTTGACGCGGAAGACTCGAGCTGTGCGAGATGGAAGCCGACAGATCCGAAGAAGATTGGTTGACGGTGTCACGAGCCCAAATCCGGAGCCGTCATGAGCACAAATCCGGAACCACCAGGAGACCGGCACGGTGTTACCTCCCGTAACTCACGGTCGGGCTCGAGTCACGGCGCGGGGGGCACCGGTGCTAAGCCGTTGCCAAGCCGAGCGCAACTTAGAGGATAGGGCACTACTCTGAGACGGAAACCTTGATCGGTTATCGCAAGCCTCTCGACGCTTTGATGCATTTAGGCTAGGCAACGACCTGAACCATAGAGTGTGCAGTACTAACCTAGCCCAGCGCAAGAAAGGTGTGGACATCATGGTTGCGATGTCATCACAGCATGGGAAAATAGGACAGTGTGTTGCTCCGTAACTTAACGTGGCTACAATTGATACCGACCCGTCTTATCCCAAGCCGTCTTAATACTGCACATGTATCTCTGCAAGCCTGACAATAAGATATTGATGGTAATGAGCGGCTAACGCACTACCAGGTCGTCGCAGGAAGGCTTAAGGCAAACCTGTGTACGTGATTTCAGTAGGTTTACCGACACCTGTTTATCGCTAAGATGTAGTCTTACAGCAGTACTAGGCTGTTCTCCAATGGCTTGTCTCTTGATCTGCCAGCACAAAACCCTTGACATTTTTCTTCTAACGCCGGAAGGTGGGTGGAGACCCCAGCGGGCATCGAAGTTGCCTACCACAGACCGAGTTGCACAGGCGGCCTGCATAAATGCCTTTTGTCTTGCCCAATCGCCTCCAGAGCTCGCCGACCATTCTCAACCCATGTCGATCACATCGGTGCTCTTGGCACACTCCTTGGACCAAGAGCACTCCGTCCCTAGCATGCAGACAAGTGCAGTGGATTCTGTATGAGCCACTAAGATGATACTAGCTTGGCATCACCATAACCCCAATTAAGTGTTATCCTTCACCCATTCATTCTAGGGCTTAGTTGCATTGCTCTCGTGTAGCTGCGATATGGAAAAGGTCGCTCACATCAGTACCCCTCACTTCCCTTATTGTCAAACAACTCAACGCAAACAACTCAACGCAAACATCCATTCGCAAGTGATGACTACCAAAATTCTTCTTGCTTTTTGTCAGCTGCCTGCAAGCACACATTTCACTGCCGTCTGTGTTTTATTCTGTCAGCCGTCCAGGTGCTGATTAAGCTTTTCATTGTAGTTGTGAGCAAGCGCTGATGGAGCGGACGCAGCACCTTAGGCCGACGTTACCATCCATAACCAGTCGTGATTGTCAACCAGGTGGATCAGACCAACCTCCACATAGACATAGGTGAGTACGCAAGAGAGAGCATGGCTCGTCGAGTCGTTCTCCGTCGTCAGGCTTCGTGCAGGCAGCAGACATACCGCGCACGCATTGATAAGCCGAAAGAACAGAATTGGCATTTATCGATAAACAGTAAGCATCACACTCATTCATCCAATCAAATTTGGACTGATGGTCTAACCAGCAAGAGGTAGCACAGCCCTGCACGGTGCTGATTATTGGAGGACCCGTTCCGTAGTGCAGCTTGCTGCCCATGTGACACCACGCATCTTGACCCCGCGATGGAATGCTGGCTGGCTGCAACAACATCTTTCTCTACCATCGACAGGACGAGCAAAAGACTTGCAGTCTCTACCTGTTGCCTGAGACAACGGTGTCGGTCGGCTGGATTCTTATCCTGGTCAGAGCAGTGGCTTCCCTTTATCTTTGGCTCTATAGCACCGCATACTCTCAGTTAACGACACCACAGTAGCGGCGAAAACGCACGATGGGAAGTTTGAAGAGGCGGTGCTCAAGACAGCGTTAGATTAATGGTCATAGTTTCTGCGTCTATTTGTGATAATTCTTCCCAAAAATGCAGACTGCAGGACTACTGCGGCGTGGATGATGATTTACAAAGAAGAAACAGCGCTCTGTGGGATGGCTATGCAACTGCACCGTGTGGAGGTTCTGGCTATCGATAGACGTCAAAGTAAACAGTCTGTAGCTCAAGTTGAGGTGCAGCTTCGCCGAGTTGGTGCTGCCCAAAATACTGCCCGAGAATTCACTGAGCCTTTCGAGCCTCAATTCTTTCCAACCTTGCCCTGTTGTACTGCAGTGTAGGCACCCAATTACCGGGGAGAATTAGAGAGGCTAAGTGCTGACCGAAAAGCACAGGCAGCCCGCGCACGTGCCCATCACCTCGTTGAATCACCAAAAGAGCATGCCGTCCATCTTTAGTCCTTACCAATTATATAGGCGCCCTTGGCACCCGCTGTGGACCACTCGCACCCCAACCCCATTCTGCAGGCAAGATGCAGCCGTCTTATCGCTACGTTGCGTGGCAGTCTCGTTCCCAGCTTGGTGCACAAAGCCACGTGGTTTGGCTTGGCTTGGCCGTCATCGCCAGCGTTGGTTAAATGCAGGCTGTGCTTGTAGCATGCACAGAGCAGCGGCAATAGTCCTAAGTAACCGGGACGGCCCACTGGGACGGCCCTAATCCTTCGTTCATCCGACATGCCGCTTAACTCAACCACCCTGCTTCCCACGCAACCCCGCATACCACGCAGCCCCAAACCCCCATCAATATCACCATACCCATCAACAACATCCATTATTCCTCATCCCTACCACCTACCCAGATGCAACTTTCTGCTTCACTAGATAATTCAGATCCACTGGATTCACTTGTGCTACTCTCTGCTTCGCCAGCAGCAATTTGCGCCCGTCGGATATCCTCGATATTAGCGAACGTCGTGTTAGGGTCCGTCTGGACCCTTTTTCTCCTGCCTTGTTGCTGACTATCCGTCTGGGCCTGGAATGCCTGGGCCTGACGCTCTAGGACTGTCAGTCTATAGGCCTGTTGGTCCCAGCCTTTTTGGACCTTTCTAAATAGGTGGCGTTGAGTATAGATTTCTTGGGTATCTTGTGTAAGCTGGTTGAATAGGTGCAGCTGACGCTGAAGATCAGTAGACTTACGCGGGGTTAACCATGGGACTATAGATACAGCTTCATCCCACTGCTGACTTCCTGACTGCCCAGCTGTCTGGCCGTCTAGCTATCTGGCTGGCTAGCTGGCTGATGCCTTAGACACGAAAGGGCTAGATAAAGGTTGCGCTACATCAACTAGCCATAACCCAGTGTGTTTCCAGCCACTTTTAATAACCTAGATAATCAAGGCGTCTAGACGTGCCCTTCTATAATAGTCTATAAAGTTCCTCTTACCTATTACAGTTAAATTGCTTTATATATCTAGGTACCTTAGATACTTCTTATAGGCTGCCTTAAGAGGTCAGAATACTGACTGATCTAGAGGCTAGAGGACGTGTAATGTGTGCAGTGGCAGAAACAGGAGGTGTATATGGTTCTGGAAGCATTGCCACAGAAAGTCTGTTGTTATATGGCTGTGATAGGCGTCTAGAACTAGTAGTCTAGTATCTGAAGGGTCCTCTGGGACAGTCTAAGGGATAAAGACCTTTTCTAGCCATTCTAGGGCATTCTGATCAGTTGTCTAGCTGTTCTCTGTTGCTATGAATTTCCAGCTAGCATAAGGTTAAAGATCTAGAGGAAACTACTGTTGCTAGACTGACTTACCCTTATACATAACAAGAGGCGGAAGTGCGCGTCCTCTGGCAGAGACGCACTCGATCAGAGATACCCATACCCGCGATCCAGGCTGTTTTTTCTGGATATACTTGGTCTCTGACGATCCTAGTACTAGCCCATTGCTTCCTTTGCCCTCGAGGATACCAGTCTCATCCATGTTCCATCTATTAGCTGGCTTAATAGGCAGGATTACTGGCAGATCAAGGCGATGAAACCATTCCTGGATAATGTCAGCAGTTGCCCCATTAATTCGCCTAGCGTCAATTGCCCTGCATCGCTGGGTTCTGATAGATGGGTTTCTGCGAAGAAATCGCTGCATCCACTTCCTCCCAAGTGGTCGCTGCCCATCGCCCAGCATACGCTCAGCCAGCCCTTTGACTTGCTGATGGCAAAACGCAGAGCCTAGGGCAGCCTGCTTAGATATCCACTCAGCAAGTAGACCTTCCTGGTTCTGAGATAACCGCTGCAGTCTACCAAAGGCAGTATTTCTAGACTGGGTACCATGGAGACGTTGTCGTACAGTCGCCTCTGGGATGCCCCATTTGCGACCTGCCCCGCGGATACTAAGCCCGTCAGCAATATCCCAAAGTGCCCGCTGCAGCTCATGTTCACTATACTGCTTCATCTTATAGTAAAAAAGATATCCTCAAAAAATGGCGTTGTTTGGGGTAGAATAGAAGATGTTGTGATAGTTAGAAAAGAGGAGTAGGTTTTATGGTGACGCGTTGTTGGGCTGCGTGGTATGCGGGGTTGCGTGGGAAGCAGGGTGGTTGAGTTACCGCTTTTCCCTTCGATGCCGTCGGCCTCAGTTACTTACATACTCCAAGAACTATTTCTATGAGCTTCAGCCATCCTCTAGGGATCTTTTTCGCGTTGGGCACATAATGATTTCTTCTCATGGCACTGCCTCTATAATCCGAGGGGCTTTCTGGACCACCAGCGTTGCCGTCGTGCTTGTTGCTTTGTACCCTGTTGCCATCAAAGTACAACGTCGTAGACAAAGCTTGCGCCCAGATGGAATCGAGGTTGTTCACAATCCTTCAAACGCCAATTTTGAGTGAGAAGGATCCGCGTCCTTAACATGTGGTTTTCACACCGCTGACGTTCTTCACAGAATTGTTGCTGTCCATGGCCTAGGTGCGCATCCCGAGCACACCTGGGAGGGCAAACCCACTAGCCAGGACCATACAAAGTCTCACCTACTCCGAAATTTACTACCACCCGACTTCCCAACCGCTAGAATCCTGAGCTTTTCTTACAACTCCGACTGGCTAGTCGATGCGCTCGAGAAGACAGCTCAACAAATCGGCCAGGGACTGGTGAATGGACTTGCGGCCCACCGAGGCAAAGAAAAACAAGTAGGAAGTGTGTGCCCTCCATCAAACCTCGCTGACACCTGCAGCGCCTTCCCATCATCTTCATAGGGCACAGCTTCGGCGGCATCGTTATAAAAGAGGTACGGTCCCTGCGATACACCATGCTTTCCAGCGTCTAATGTCTTTACTAAAGGCTCTTTGTGTCGCCGAACCGCATATGACAATCCGCGATGACACATGCGGCATCATTTTTCTTGGCACTCCCCATCAGGGCTCGTCACTGTCAACTGCAGGAGCTCTCGTGGCCAAGTTGACTGGGTTCCTCGGCTCGAACACTACGCTGCTTCTCGCGCTGCGAAGCCGCGGAAGCCAGCTTTTAATTCTGGAACGTCGGTTTCGGCGTCTCGTCAGCGACCAGAAACGAGACTTTGTATCGAGGATCATGTCATTTTGTGAGACAAAGCCTACATTCATGCTTGGATGGTTATCTGTCGGCCTCGTACGTACGGCCCCTAAGCTTTTAAGTTATCTTCTGACCATGGCTTAGGTTGTTGATCAATCCTCGGCCATGGGCTACGCAGCAAAGCCTATCGACATAGACACCGACCATTCTGGGTTAAACAAGTTCAGCAATCATGAAGACCCTGGGTACCGTGCAATCAAAAAGGCCATAGAGGAGCTCAGAGAACCGTCTCTCATCGAGCAAGCTGATGCCTACATACGCAAAGAGCACTGTACCGAGGAGAAGCTCGAGATTGAGCGGCTTTCCGGGGATCCTTTGCGAATGGACCAATGCTATATCAATCTTGCGCTTGTGGAGCTGCAACGGGCAGACAGCTCGGAGCGCAGATCTGAAGAGCCAGCGCTACAGTCTTCACCATTCTCCCTGTCTGATCGGCTGAAAATTGGAACTCCGCACAAGGACCTCCAGGTAGAGCTAGCGAAGCTCTTCGCGTCGCGCAAACTGCCCGACGGCCGCACGAAAGAGCCGAGAAGAATACTGATTCGAGGCCGTGCTGGAGTTGGGAAGACCACCCTATGCAAGAAGATTGTCCACAGCTACATCCACGAAAGCATGTGGCGAGGCTTGTTTCGTCGCGTGGTCTGGATACGACTGCGGGAACTAAAGGGTTTGTCTGACAGGGAATATAACCTTGGTGGAATATTCGAGCATGTCTTCTTTCGGCAACACGCAGGCGACGATTGTCTCCACACTGAGTTGTCGAAGCATTTGGAGAGCACGAATTCACAGGACACCCTCTTTCTTCTAGACGGTCTGGACGAGGTCACTGAACTTGTCATGGAGCATAAACACGGAAAGCCTCATTCGGGGCACAAGTTCCTCATAGGACTGTTGAACAGACCCAACGTCATCATCACGACTCGGCCGCATACCACACTCCCCTCTCAATTTCAACGGCCTGATCTCGAGCTGGACACCATCGGTTTCTACCCAGACCAAGTACAGAAATATATCGAAACAGTCATGAAGAAAAATCCCACGAATGCTAAGGCTATCCAGTCGTACCTTCAGAAGAATCGCTTTATGCAGAGCCTCGTCCGAATTCCGATTCAGCTGGACGCACTCTGCTACACATGGAACCCCACCTCCAAGGCTATCCGGGAGACAATGACTGCCGTCTACGAAGACATCACACAACAGCTGTGGAGCAAGGACATCGAGCGACTCGAAAAGTCATCAATGGTCGGACTTAGGAATCCGGCGGAAACAAAGAATGCCGTCTTAGGCGAAATCGGGATTCTTGAATACATGGCCTTCAGTGGGATATGCAGCAACATCATCGAGTTCCAGCCGGTTCATCGTAATGCTCTATACCAGCATGTCAAGCAGCATAACCCTAAGTGGACTCTCGATGAGACATTTGGACGTCTATCATTCCTACGAACATCCGATCCCTCGGCACAACATTCTCACCAGAGTTTCCACTTCATACATCTCACTTTCCACGAGTTCTTTGCAGCGAAATATTTTGTACAAAGATGGAAGGATGGCAACAACCTCAAATACATAGACTTCAGCCTCAGGGACACTGGACATTCAAAGGACATTTCTCCTATCACTTTCCTTCAACAACACAAGTATAGCGCACGTTACGACATCTTCTGGCGCTTCGTTGCTGGACTGTTGGATAACGAAGGGAAAGACGAGTCAACTCGCTTCTTCGAGGCAATTGAGCGAAAGCCGGTCGACCTCCTGGGGCCCACGCACCAGCGGCTGGTCATGCATTGCTTGAGCGAGGCTGTTTCCTTGCCAGCCGGGATTCGGTCGAATAGGGAGAAACGACTGAAGGAATGGGTTCTATTCGAAATCGACTTCAAAAAATCATCAACCTTCACGAGTGAATCAGAGCTTCCAGACGAAGTTCTGCAAGGTGCCTTATCCGCTTCTCGAAACAAACGCGCCATTTTAGACAGTCTGCAATACTCTGGGAGATATATGTCAGAGACAACCATGACTGCCCTTGTGGAACTCTTCAAGGACGAGGACGGCTACGTACGATATTCCGCCGCTTCAGCTCTAGGCAAGCAGTCGACCCTTTCAGAGACGACGATGACTGCTCTTGTGGAACTCCTGAAGGACAAGGACCGCTACGTACGAACATCTGCCGCTAGAGCTCTAAGCAAGCAGTCGACCCTTTCAGAGAAGACGATAACTGCTCTTATGGAACTCTTCAAGGACGAGCACAGCCACGTACGAGAGTCCGCCGCTGAAGCACTAGGCAACCAGTCGACCGTTTCAGAGAAGACGATAACTGCTCTTATGGAACTCTTCAAGGACGAGCACAGCCACGTACGAGAGTCCGCCGCTGAAGCACTAGGCAACCAGTCGACCCTTTCAGAGACGACGATGACTGCTCTTGTGGAACTCCTGAAGGACAAGGACCGCTACGTACGAACATCTGCCGCTAGAGCTCTAGGCAAGCAGTCGACCGTTTCAGAGAAGACGATAACTGCTCTTATGGAACTCTTCAAGGACGAGCACAGCCACGTACGAGAGTCCGCCGCCAAAGCACTAGGCAACCAGTCGACCCTTTCAGAGACGACGATGACTGCTCTTATGGAACTCTTCAAGGATGAGGACGGCTACGTACGATATTCCGCCGCTTCAGCTCTAGGCAAGCAGTCGACCCTTTCAGAGACAACGATGACTGCCCTTGTGGAACTCTTCAAGGACGAGTGCAGCGGCGTACGAGAGTCCGCCGCCAAAGCTCTAGGCAACCAGTCGAACCTTTTAGAGACGACGACGACTGCTCTTGTGGAACTCTTGAAGGACGAGGACAGCGAAGTACAAGAGTCCGCCGCTGAAGCTCTAGGCAACCAGTCGACCCTTTCAGAGACGACGACGACTGCCCTTGTGGAACTCTTGAAGGACGAGGACAGCGACGTAAGAAGGTCCACCGCTGAAGCTCTAGGCACCCAATCCAACTTGATGGACAAGGTCCTGGACGCCTTAGGCCTAGTAATCCGATCCGAATCACAAGGCGACACCCAAGCTTCTGTTTTTTGCTATCCTCAACATATAGAATCTCTTTATGAGAGTTGTCTGCGGCGTAGTTTCCAAGAACAATTCAGTTTGTGCATCGACGATACCCTTTGCCTCGTTAACCAACCGTCCGGACTCCGAACTGCTAGTCTCAGAGACAGCAGTCAGGTGCAGACTGCCGTTCAGAATGGACGACGTAAATTGAGGAACATTGGTAGATACAGCCTATGGGAAACTTTTGAGGGAGAAGATGCTTAATAACTACTTCAAGTTCAATCACAATGGTCTCCTACTACAGCAGGTGGTTAAAGTAGGAGGGTAGTGGAGTTTTTGAAAAACACGTAAGGCTAAAACAAGTATATAGGCTTTAATCCGCTATATTCTTATTTAGGAAATTTTAGGACGCTTTCCCATTTTCTATTTGCTCTTTCTTGTTTAAAGCTGTAACAGCAGAGACTTAGTGTAAAAGGTTCAAACTAGTTGCAGTCGAGAACGCATCAAAGTCGTAGCCATCGTTTCTGCTAGTACCACTATTAAAAGACTTCTCAGGAACTGTAAAATATAAGAATACTACGACGTGGATGATGCTTAAGGCCTCAAAAGCAGACGTCCGCAGTATACAAGATCATGCCTCTATCGCATCGCTTGACGGTGACATCGGAGAGGTAGCCAAAGCAGATGTTGTGTAGCTTTCAATTGACCAGCCCGTACCAGCGTGGCAGCAAACCACGGAGTTTCAGGCTCTTACCAAAATGGCCCCATACAGAGAAGAAACAGCGCTCTCCAAGATGGCCGTACAAGGCATCCGGTATAGGCGAACCAGCATGGTGTATTCAATCACCAAGAGAGCCCAGCCGGTTTTTTAGCATAACACCATCGATAGAAGTCAGAGTAACAGCCCGTAGCCCAAGCCGAGGCATAGCATCACCGACTTGGCGCTGCCTAAACACTGTTCAACTTTTTACCGACCCTTAATCCTTTCCAACCTCACCCTACTATACTGTAGTGTAGCCACCCAATTACCGATGAACATGTAGCAGAACACAACCATGACCAGACCTGCAGCGGCCAGAGGCCCCACGACGGAGAAGATGGTAAAGCCGTACGAGGCCGACTGGAAGGCTTGATTGCCCTGGAGAACCTCCGTCGCGAGGCCAACCTGCATCGCCGTCAGCACAACAGCGATGTAAACGGTCGAGCTGGCCAGCCAGGTGAAGTTGTCCTGGAAGAACGAGCCGTACTGGTTCCAGCGAGACTCGTAGCCGCGGAGCGGGGTCTTCCAGAAGAAGTAGATCTTGTTGAGCCGGCTGAGGCGGAGCTCCCCGTAGTAAAAGCGGGGGTCAATCCAGGGGTAGATGGGCGAGGTCCCCAGAAATTGCCGCATGGCCGTCCGCCACGCCGACCACTGTACCTCTTCGGGAATAAGGTGCGTCGCCTTGGCAATATGAAAGTCGCTCTCATGTGCTATGAGGGCCGCGTACGAGAAGAGGAAGCCAAGCGCGCGTTCCCGCCGGCCGCTACATCTACATGAGTTTGTGTTGGGGACTAGCACTGTGTGACAACGGAGGAATCTCTCCCAGAAGCGCGGCTCGAGGAAGAAGCGCGGAAGAGGCTTGATGAAGATGCGTCCGGTCGTCCACACCAGGTGCAGGTCCAGCTTCTCGGTGATCGCGATCTCGCGGTTGAGCAGGCGCTGCTGGTGGAGCGCACGGGGTGGCATGGGCCGACCCACCATCCACAGCCAGTCGTGGATTGCAGCCAGTCGGCGGAGGTCGACCTCCTCGTCAATCCAGTCGTGGATATCGGCCAGCCGGCGCATGTCGACCTCAACATCGGCGCGATCGCGGATGGGAGAAAGAGCAGGGGCTACCACATCATCCTCCGTCGTCCGTCTGGATGCAGGCAAAAGAGACGTGAGATCGTGCTCACCGCCTTGTGACGCTTGAGTCCCTTGCGCGATGTCGTTTTTTAAGAGTTGCTGGGTGAAGGGAGGCCACTGTCGAGCTTAGTTAATATGCACGGATTCCCAGACAAAAGCCTGACAGAGAGCTTACTTGATTTGGTTGCGAAGCCATCGCGACGTTGGAACATTGTGTTGCCCGTGACTGGACGGCCTACGGCTGATGCTGGGCCTTTTTGTATTCCAGCCGTCATGATGCTACACATGTATCTCCCAGCTTGGCAATCCTATACTGACGATGAGGAGCAGCCAATCCCTTGCGCAACGAGCCGTCGCAAGCAGGCATCGAATGGGGCCGGTACATGGTCCCCGCACCTCTCATCGCCAAGATGTAGCCATCACAGCGGCCAGCAGTCTGTGCCTTAATGGCCTATCTCTCGAGCTACCAGGCATGAACCCGTGACATGTTTCTTCCAAGGTGGCTGGTAACCCCTCACGGGCATTGGAGGGGCGAGGTGCTAACCGAAAGTGTAGGCGGCCTGCATAGGTGCTTATTATCTTGCCCAATCATCTCCAGAGTTGCTGACCATCCCGCGTAGGCGCTCGCAGTATGCCCGAAGTACTCACGCTTCACCCTGGTCCATGGAAAAAGATGCAGCTGATCCCACTAGGCAAATCAGGCTGTGATAACAGCCCGGTCAACTAAGGTCGTAGAGGGACGCAGGCTACCCGCCGCGGGAGACTATTTCCAAACCTCGTTTCACCCACGACGGAATATCTTGAGTATCACACCTTCCATGGCTTATCGTGGCGACTCCGGAGGACTAGTTACCTTGTCACCATGGTAAGCATTCTCCCCTCGTTATTGGCCGTTCGCTGAAGTGTCTAGAACCAAAGAAATCGACAGGCCCTCGAGGTGGTCTACGAGAGCAAGACCGGCGCCCACGTTGAGTATGCTATTTGGCTGCGTACGGTGGTCCAGCTAACATCCGCAGCATCATCGCCGTCCATGGCCTCGGCGCCAACGTGGATTGGTCCTGGACGTGGAAAGATCCGAAAGACCCGAGCCGCCATGTCAAGTGGCTCCAGGATACGAATATGCTCCCGAGCGTCGTTCCTGAATCGCGGGTCGCGCTCTATAACTACGACTCCAGGTGGCACGCTGACGCACCCAGGACCCGTCTCCAGTTGTGCGGAGAGGATCTCATCCGTAGCATCCGAAATTTCCGGGAAGGGATCGCGGACCGACCAGTTGTCTTCGTTGGCCATAGCTTAGGCGGCAACGTCATTCAGCATGTGAGTGACCAGAGCGGCCGGTGGCCGACGAGCTGACACCAGCAGGGCCTCCTGTACGCCAAATCAGATGACGAGTTTCAGCATATCGTGACTTGGACGGCGGGCGTCATCTTCCTGGGCTCGCCGTTGAGGGGCTCCAAATTTCAGCCCGTGTCCCAAGCCCTGACATTACTTCTCCAGCCCGCTGGCTCCCACGACGGCATCGTCCGTGAGCTGGCACCCAATGATGCAGCCCTTCGAGACAAGTTACACGAATTCTGTCGGATGACGAACACACACTCTCTGCCTGTGTCTTGCTTCTTCGAAATGTACGAGGCTGACTACGGGAAACGTGTGCTGCGAGGGGTCATTAAAGGAATGGTATGCCAGGTCTCTATAACGTTAATTGAACAGTACACTCACACCAAACAGGTAGTCGACGAGATCTCCGCTTGCATCGATGGCGCCAATAGGATCGCGCTCCAAGCGGATCATTTTATGATGAATAAGTTCTCCAATCCTCACGATCGCTCCTTCGAAAGAGTGTCACAGGAGCTGCGAAGGATGTGTAAAGGGGCTCAAGCTGTTGTCCAGCAACGGATACGTGCGTAATCAAATTCGACGAGCTGGAATCCAGGAAGTATTCAAGAGCTGACATATCTACAGCAAATTCCGACCTTTCTGAGCAAGATACCAAGTTCCTCGCCGACCTGCGATCCACCGACCCCAGCGACGACAAGGCACGCATCGAGCGCACCAAGGGCGGCTTGCTGCGCGACTCATACCGCTGGATCCTTGATCACGACGACTTCCGCCGATGGCGCGAGGACGGCGACCAGAGCCGACTGCTCTGGATCAAGGGTGATCCCGGCAAGGGCAAGACAATGCTGCTCTGCGGCATCATCGACGAGCTGGAGAAGACGTCTGCAGGCACACGCACTCTGTCGTACTTCTTCTGCCAGGCGACCGATGTGCGCCTGAACAACGCGACGGCTGTGCTTCGCGGACTCATTTATCAGCTCCTCGATCAAGAGCCCTGCCTCATCGGGCACGTGCGAAAGAAGTACGACCACGCGGGCAAGCAGCTATTTAAAGACGCCAACAGCTGGGACGCCCTGTCCAAGATGCTGATTAGCATCCTGAAAGAACCTAGCCTGCGCCACACGTATCTAATTATCGACGCACTTGATGAGTGCGAGGCGGACCTCGACCAGCTTCTACATCTGATCGTCCAAGTGTCCACGTTATCCCGCGTAAAGCTGGTTGTGTCTAGTCGTAACTGGCCGGACATTGAGAATGCCCTGGGTGATGCAACACAGAAAATTCGGTTCTGTCTAGAGCTAAACCAAGAGTCGATCTCGGCTGCTGTTGACAAATACATACAGTACAAGGTAGACCAGCTAGTGCAACGGAAAAGGTACGACTGTAAAACACGGGATGTTGTTCAGCAGCACTTGGTTTCAAACGCAAACAACACTTTTCTCTGGGTAGCCTTGGTCTGTCAAGAGCTGGCGGATCCAAGGGTCCTAAAATGGCACATCCGCGCAAAGTTGCAGAAGTTTCCGCCAGGGCTTGATTCGCTGTACGCGCGGATGATGGACCGCGTTTTCAGCTCAGACGATGCAGACCTCTGCAGGCAGGTGCTCAGCCTTGTGTCAATTGCATACCGCCCGCTCAGCTTGACGGAGCTGGCGTCTCTTGCCGAGTCGCTTGAAGAATACGCTGATGATGTCAACGCTCTAGAGGAGATGATTGGTATCTGTGGGTCTTTACTGACTCTTCGGGAGGGGGTTGTCTACTTTGTGCATCAGTCGGCAAAGGACTTCCTGTTAAAGAACGAATCGAAGAGAATCTACCCACAAGGTGTAACACAGGAAAACCATACTATCGCCTCAAGGTCGATCCAGGTCATGTCGAGAACACTCCGACGCGATGTGTACGACCTACGCGCGCCCGGGTTCCCAATCGACCAAGTCAAGCCGCCCAAACCCGATCCACTAGCGCCAGTCCAGTATTCTTGCATCTACTGGGTCAACCATCTGGAGGTCAGGGATGCTGTTGGAAAGGAACAGCGCGGCAAAAGCCTTCAGGACAGCGAAACGGTCTATACATTCTTAGAGCAGCACTACCTTCACTGGCTGGAAGCGCTTAGTCTTCTCAGGAGCGTATCAGAAGGTATCCTTCAATTATCTAAGTTGGCACATCTAGCCCAGGTTCGTCTTAGATACAGTAGAAGCTACATAATAGTACTAATGCTCCGTAGGTGTCAACAGAAACATCTAAGCTAGCGCAGCTAGCTTGGGATGGACTCCGGTTTATTCGGACGCATAGAGCAGGCATAGAGAGTAGCCCTCTCCAGACGTATGCATCAGCACTCATATTCAGCCCAGTGCATAGCTTTACAAGGAAGCTGTTTCATCAGGAGGAGCCTACATGGATAGTCACAAAGCCTACTATGGAAGACAAGTGGAATGCATGTCTACAGACACTTGAAGGCCATAGTGGTAGCGTTGTCTCAGTAGCCTTCTCAGGAGATAGCACGCAGCTAGCGTCAGCGTCCTGGGACAGTACTATTAAGGTCTGGGATAACGCTACAGGCCAGTGTCTCCAGACACAGGAGGGCCATTGCTCCTCTGTTAACTCAGTGGCCTTTTTAGGCAATAGCACGCAGCTAGCGTCAGCATCTTGTGACGGTGTCGTTAAGGTCTGGGACAGCGCCACAGGTCAATGTCTCTGGACGCTTGAGGGCCATAGTGACTCCGTCAGCTCAGTGGTTTTCTCAGGCGATGGCAAGCAGCTGGCGTCAGCGACACACGACAGCTGCGTGCCATCGCAGGACAACACCATCAAGGTCTGGGACGGCGCTACGGGCCAATATCTCCGGACGCTCAAGGGCCATAGTGACCCCATAACCTCAGTGGCATTCTCAGGCGATAACACGCAGCTAGCGTCAGCATCGCGCGACCACACTGTCAAGGTCTGGGACAGCGTCACAGGCCAGTGTCTCCAGACGCTCAAGGGCCATCGCAGCACTGTTAGGTCAGTGGCCTTCTTGGGCAATAGCACGCAGCTGGCGTCAGCATCAAACGACAACACCGTCAAGGTCTGGGACAGCGCCACAGGCCAGTGTCTTCAAACGCTAGAGGGCCATAGCCGCTCTGTTACGTCAGTGACCTTCTCAGGCGATAGCACACAGCTGGCATCAGCGTCAGATGACTATACTGTCAAGGTCTGGGATAACACTGTAGGCCAGTGTCTCCAGACGCTTCAGCGTCATAGCGACTTCATTAGGTCAGTGGCCTTCTCAGGCGATGGCACGCAGTTGGCGTCGGCATCAAACGACCGCACCGTTAAGGTCTGGGACAGCGCCACAGGCCAGTGTCTCCAAACGCTAGAGGGCCATTGCAACCAGGTTAACTCAGTGGCCTTCTCAGGCGATGGTACGCAGCTAGCGTCAGCATCAAACGACCGCACCGTTAAGGTCTGGGAGGGCGCCACAGGCCAGTGTCTTCAAACGCTCGAGGGCCATAGCCGCTCTGTTACGTCAGTGACCTTCTCAGGCGATAGCACACAGCTGGCGTCAGCATCAAACGACAACACCGTCAAGGTCTGGGACAGCGCTACGGGCCAGTGTCTCTGGACGCTTAAGGGTCATAGTAACCCCGTAACCTCAGTGGCATTCACAGGCGATAGCACGCAGCTGGCTTCAGCATCTTGCGAAGGCATCATCAAGGTCTGGGACAGCGCCACGGGCCTGTGTCTCCAGACGCTAGAGGGCCACAGTCGTTGTGTCTACTCAGTGGTCTTCTCAGGCGATAGCACGCAGCTGGCTTCAGCATCTTGCGACGGCATCATCAAGGTCTGGGACAGCGCCACGATTCAGTGTCTCCGGACGCTTAATATCGGTCGATCGCTTCGATATATCTCCTTCTCAAAAACCGATTCGCATCTTCTCTACACGGAAATAGGTGTCATCGATCTAGAAAGGCCACCTACTTCTACTGTAAATACAACAGCATCACTACCGCTGACGAGTGCAATGGAAACGCCGCGTTTTCATAGCTATGCAATTAGTGGTGACGGGATGTGGATTACAAGGAACTCTGTAAACCTGTTGTGGCTGCCGCCAGAGTATCGGCCGACAGAGCACAGTGCGGTATCAGCTGTAGCAGGATCTACAGTAGGCATCGGCTATGCTTCAGGCCGTGTTTTGGTTTTTCGATTCTCAGAGGACGCGGCAGGTGCTTAACAGTCTTCCCCCCTCTCGTCTTTCTTCTCTTTCTTTCCCTGTTTCTTTTCTGCCTGCTTTAGCAACCTATCCTTTTTACCTTATCATAGTGTTACGACCCAAATCCGGTTGGTGACTAGTGCAGCCTGAGGTGAACCCCTGAAGCAACCAGCAGGGCAGCCAGACGATTGATTGATTGATTGATTATATCCTACTCAGTTTCAGCCGCTTTGTCAGCAGCTATGCCCGGATAGCGGGGTTTGGCCGACAGCCGACGCGCTCCGAGTGTTAATCCGTTGCGCCCCACTTCGCCAATGCAAAACATTGGCCAGCTGTTTCCAAATTTCCCGCTTTGCTTTCCAACCTCTATCTACATTTGGCTGGCACCCTCATGTAGTCTGCGGTTCTCTACTAATCTACATATATATCTAGGCTCTGTCGAGGTTTTATACCTCTTGCGATGGTTCTGTTTACCTACAGTCTCCCCCCAATGTTCAGCTTTGTCTGGGTTGCGACTCGATCCCATATTGCCCAAGGATCTCGGTCTGTTCTATGAACCTGATTGCCTTGGCGGCTGCTTTGCGCTCGTTCAGTATGACCCGGAGATTGTGTCGTCCTGGGAGGGCTCCTAGTTCCTGGCGTCGGAGTTGTCGATACTTGCGGCATTGCAGCAAGATGTGCGATACCGTTTGTCGTCCTTCCCGGCATGGGCAGTTGGCACTGGTGATGCCCGGCACTCTTCGGTTGAAGAGGAATTCCTGGAGTCCGATCTTTTCCGTGCGCATCTGGACCAGGAGCGCGCTCTGTCGTTTGCTGAGTCCTTCATGCGTCTGAAGGACCTTCCTTGTCGGTTTTGGCGTGAGGCGGAAAGACGTTCTTCCTCGCGTCTCAGCTTCCCATTCGGTTTGCCATTTTCGATGCGACTGCTTGTGTGACCAGGTCTTGACTGTGGACCTGAGCTTGAACAGAGCTCTTGGCTTGTCTGCCCTGACCCCCGTTTGTCCATCCTGCCTCCATCCTGTGGCTTCTTTCGCTGCGGCGTCTGCTGCTTCGTTGCCCTGAATGCCGATATGGGCGGGGACCCATCGGAGCTCGACGTCGAGTCCTTGTTCGCGGAGGGCTTGTGTCTTGTCTGCGATGATCTCGAGGAGATATGCGCCAGACTTCCCCTTCGGTTTGGCTGACGACCTGATTGCGGCTTGATTGTCGGTGTGGATAAAGACTTTGCTCCTGTGGTTTCCGTTTTCCTTGTCTGCCTGGGCCATTTCGAGGGCTAGAACGATCCCTTGCAACTCTCCCCCATAGACCGTCGATGTTGTGTCGTCGCCCATGTGTGTTCTTCGGGTTTGCTGTGTGGTTGTGCAGATTGCGGCGGCTCCGATTTGGCCATTGATGCCGCTGCCGTCTGTATAGATGTGGATCGCGTCGGTATTCTGTTCTAGACATCGTTGGTGTTCCTTTTCAGCCTGTTCTGCGCCTCCGACGATATGGATGCGCGGTCCCTGCCACCACGGGGGAGTCACGAATGGCGGTATGTGTTCAGGTTCTCCGCTGCTTGTGTCTGGGTTCTCAAGCAGTCGTTTTGTTATCGCTTGTCTCGGGCTCGCTCTTCTTCCTCTGCGCGCAGGGACTTCGGCCATGCCTACTCTGCTGATGGTGTCGATGTTGTGTTTCCATATCTGTTGTTCGACTGGCAAGAGATGCATCTCCACATCCAGCGCTGGGAACGAGGTTGCTCTGTACGCCCCGCTCATCGCCCTGGCCGCTCTGGCCTGGAGCCTGCTCACTCTGTAGAGTGTTCTTTTAGTATAGCCATTCTCCCCCCATCCGCTGTTCGACCACAGCGAGCACGCGTACATCATCTGTGGTATTGCGACTCCCTTGTAGATAGTTCTCATCTCTCTGGTTTTCACGCCCCATGTGGAGCTGCCTAGGCTGCCGAGTGCTGTGATGGTGTTGGTGACTTTGCGCTCTGTCTCGTCGATGTGTGGTTTCCACTTAAGGGGTGAGTCCATGATGAGGCCGAGGTATTTACAGGTCATTTTGGGCTTGACTTCTCCCCATTGGCTCTGGAGTGCTGTGTCTGTGTTGAATCTAGTTCTTGCTCGTGTGAAGTGGGTAAGCTGGAACTTCTCGGGTGCGAAGACGGACGCATGAGTGAGAGCCCATGACTCAGCCTTCCGAAGCGCTTCTTGCAGCTTTTGGCAGGTTTCCTCGGTGCTGTCCCCTATAGCGAGGATCGCTACGTCGTCAATGAAGCCAGTGGCCGTTGTGTCTTCGTCTTCATTACAGCTGTCTAAGAGATCTGCGTTGTAGAAGAGGTAGAGTATCGGCGACAGGGGTGATCCTTGGGGGATGCCGGTATTGATTCTGTAGGTTTCGGATCGAAATCCGTCCACTTGGATTTCTGTCTCTCGTGATCCGAGAAAGCTTGCGATCCAACGCACTAATGCTTCGTTTATCCTTCTCTTCCTCAAGTTATGCAGGAGTCGGCGGTGTGAGACATTGTCGAAGGCACCTGACACGTCTAGGAGGAGTAGGCTTGCCACCTTTCCTAAGCCCCAGGCCTTGTAAATCTGGTCTACTATTTGGTGTAGTGCATGCTCTGTGGACCGTTGTTTTCTACCTCCCATATGACTATCTGGTAGTAGCCCATGTGTTTCCGCGAGGTAGCTGAGTCTTTTTGCTATTATAGCGTCCATAATCTTGCCAACCGTGTTCAGGAGGGCTATCGGTCTGTATGCTTTAGGTACTGTATAGTTATCTTTGCCTGGCTTCCTTAACACCACTGTGGTAGACTTTCTGAAGTGTTGCGGGCAGTGTCCGATTCGGAGGCTTTGATTGAATATGCGAGTGAGGTGTGGCACGATCCATTGTCTCGCTATCTGAAGTGCCTTGTTGGTGATGCCGTCAGGGCCTGGGGCCTTCAGCGGCGCTGCTTCCTGAATGGCCTCTTCCACCTCGCTTTCTGATATTAACGGTAAGATGATCTGGTTGCTGTATGATGCGTTGTCGATATCTTCGAGGTTTGCCTCCGGAGGTGGGGGGAAGAAGGTTTCCTTGAATAGCGCCGCTTTCTCTCCAGAGGTGGTGGCGGTCTGAGTCGTGTTTGGTTTCTTGATTTCTGGCGTGACGGTCGGTGACTGATTTTGTCTATTCCGTGCCCATTTTGCGACTTTCCATAGCGATGCAGGAGACTCAGCTGCTGTTTCCACTGCCTCGCGGTGTGCTCGTTGCAGTGCTTTCCGTATGACACGGCCTTTTCTGTTTCTCGCCTCCTTATACGTTTCCCAGCTTTCTTCCGTCTGTTGCTCGCTGTGGGCAGCCAGACGATTCAAGTATGCAGGCCTGCGGCACGGGCCGGGTTCGGATTGGAAGAACTAAGGAAGGTCACGTGATGGATTAGTTGGATCACTGGTGATCCAATGTGATCCCCCAGCCAGGATAACTAACCAGCAAGACTGATCCCCCATCCAGGATCATGAGCGACGGGAACGATCCAAGGGAACTCGTTGGGATATAAGGACATTCATTCCAAGAAGATAGAAACCTTCCATAGCTCTTCAGCAATCAACTTCGTGATTCACTCTACCCTAAGTGACTCTTAGATTATCCTTCTGTTGTGAAGCTATACGAGCTACCTATGCCTTGAACGACTGATTGATCACCAGACGCCTACGACTAGTAAGAGTACCCACGAGACCTGACTTACTGTTATTGATTATCGACCTCAGCTATCTATTAGCAGAAAACACCACTATCGGATATCTGACCGTAACAACCGGCCTTCACTGCATTTTGGACCCGAACAGAGCCGTCGAAAGCATGCTTTGTTAGCTTGTAGGAATAGCAGTCACTGAGTCGCAGTTTTCCCTCTCGGTTTCGGCACACTTGAACATAGCACCACGCTGTTTCGCATGTGCTACGGATTTTGGGACCGTTATCATGGGCCACCTGTAACAAGTACTGGATCAAGAGCGAGGCCGTCTTGAAGCTGCTCCTCGATCGCTGCGTCCACACCGAAGCGGCGGACGGAGAAGGTCAGACGCCGTTATCATGGGCCGCCGTGAACGGGCACGAGGGCGTCTAGCGGCTGCTCTTTATAAGGGGCGCCTATACCGAGGCAGCGGATAAGGAGGGCCGGACGCCGCTATCGTGGGCCGCCAGAAATGGGCATATCTTATACTCAGTGAAGCTGTAGAAGTCGTTGTCTGTCACAGTAGATCGGATCCTCTGTTCGTTGCGGCTTGCCAGAAGGACGCTAGTGTTTGTTCCCGACATGGCATCCGCAACAGACCGAAAGAACGCCGTAAGCGAGGTATTTCCTATGTCCAAGGAGGTACACTCATCCAGTCCATCAGCTACGCAGAGGCAGCCAGGAACAATGTGGAGGAGCCGCTTGAAGGTCGCCAGGGTAGTGGGGCGCGCGACAACGGAATCGGAGTCTGCTTCCCACCTTTGACGGACGTATTCGAAAGCTTCATCGTGATGAGACACAATCTGAGAGACCCATGCTCGTATGATCGAGAAAGGATCATCACGGGTCTCGAGGTCAGAGGAGAAGAAGTAGTGAGCGACGGGCCTTTGGAGTGCAGAATACAGGTGCTCGACGATGCGGGCGCAGAGGATCGTTTTCCCGAATCCTGGCGGTCCGTTGATCCACAGCAGCTTCGCGTTTGTATCTTGTTGCATTCTGCGGGCTTTCTTCCTTTATTAGGCGGCCGGAAGCGCTGTTCGTAGGCAGCGGCGTGGCGCCTCGTAAGGCGGTTCGAGGTGGCGGGGTTTGTAGCCACAGTTGCCTTGGTCGTCGTTATCGAACTCTTGCATATGCATGCTGACAGTCATCACTTGCGAGGCGGGGCTAGACAGGGCTTGTGGGGCAGTGTCAAGAGACAATCAAATGCTCTCTGTTGGGTCGTGTTGGCGTCTCACGCCAGGTCAACCGAGACTAAGAGCCATGTATTTTTGAGGGCACTTGAAGTTGCGGGAGGTCGTCGCAACTTCCCTGACTGAGTGGCCTCGGTGGCCTCCCGTGCAGCCAAGGCGCTAGAAAGGCTGGCGAGTTTCCAGCCCACTGAGCGGGTTGCATACTACTTTACGACTGAAAACAATGCTTTTGCACGGCCAGACCCGTTTGTGCAAACACGCGCGGCCAAGATCTAACTCCGCTAGTGCATCTCGTGCGACTGGGAAGACTCGCTCGTTGGCCAATAGGGGACTGTCCCGCCTCCAAGACAGCTTCCCGTTTGCCGCCAGTGGACAATGTTTGCTTGTCTGGGCGTTTGCTCTCGGCCGCATCGCCTGCTGGTACCATTGGTGGTTGTTGCGACCAACGAGTGCCAATGCTGGATCCGTTATTAATGGTCCGTCAGTCCCTCGTCGCCTGTCACTCCATTCTCCGCTTTTTCGTTCCACAACGTCGAAACTTTTCAAACAGTTGGTTGTATTCATCACACAGACTATACGATGGCCTCAGACGCTGCGGGATTCGACCTCCACAAATTTGCCCGCGAACGCCTCGATGAAGCCAAGAGCAGTCTGCCATCGGATCAAGGACGTGGCTTCGCGATGAACGCAATCACTGTGCTCCTTTGTTTACTAGACCTGGTCGTTGCTGTAGCGGACTGGTGCATGGCAGATGATGTCAGAGAAGCCGCAGGAAAGGAGGTGGTGGACAAACTCTGGGAAAAGAATAAATTCTCTGATATGTCTGACCTGGTTTACCCAACGCAACACCAGGCGCTTTTAAGGTGAGGGCGCAACTTTTCTATGCTGCCCTTTCTGACGCATGACAGAGAGGTGCACAACCGACTCAAGACATTCTCCCGAGAGCTCCGGACGCTGGTAGAAATCAGACATCGCGAAATCAACAAGTTAACCTGAGAGAGGAAGCTGTAGTTTTGGGGTAAGCAGGTGGCAATGTGTCTGCTGACGCGCCTTTTTTCACTGGTATAAATAGTGATCGTTCATGGTTAAATACAAAGTGCAAATCACTGATAATGCACGTGGCGATTCCGTTTAGCACTCGCGCCAACAAGCTTGGATGTCAGTTGAGTTTGAGCGTTGATCGATGCTCAATGTCTCTAGTGCGAGGCTTTTGAATATGTGAAGCAGTATAGAGGCCGTTAGCGACAAAAGAGTGGTAGCAGCGACTCATTGGAACCAGCAGGTCAACTAGATGATGAATATTGTTGATTGTGAAGTTCGCCACATAGCGATCGCACGCGATGGAGTTAAGTGCTGCTGAACAGCATCCCGTGTTAAACTGTCGTAATTTTTGGAGCACTCTAGCTGGTCCACCTTATACGCAATGTATTTGCTAACAGCAGCTGAAATCGAGTCTTGGTTCAGTTCCTGCGAGAATCGGACCTTCTGCGTGGCATCAGCTAGGGCGTCCTCGATATTCGGCCATATGCGGCTGGATACAATCAGCTTCGCGCGGGATGACGAGGATAATTGGACGATCAGGTGTAGAAGCTGGTCGAGGTCCGTCTCGCACTCGTCAAGTGCGTCAATAACAAGGTATTTGTTTTATAGGCTTGGTTCCTCCAGGATGCTAATAAGCATCTTGGATAGAGTGTCCCAGCTGTTCGCGTCTTCAAACAGCTTCTTGCCCGCGTGGTCGTATTTCTTTCGTACGCGCCCGATAAGAGAGGGCTCTTGATCGAGGAGCTGATAGATGAGGCCGCGAAGCACGGCCCTCGCATTATTCAGACACGCATCGGTCGCTTGGCAGAAGAAATAGGATAGCGTAGAAGTACCTGCAGGCAGCCTCTCCAGCTCATCGACGGTGCCGCACAGCAGCATGGTCTTGCCCTTGCCGGGTTTGCCCTTGCCGGGTTCGCCCTTGATCCAGAGCAGCCGGCTTTGGTCATCGTCGCGCCATCTGTGGAAGTCGTCGTGGTCGAGGACCCAGCGGTAGAAGTCTCGCAACAGGCCACCTTTTATTCGCTCGATGCGCGACTTGTCGTCGCGAGGGTCGGTGATCGTAGGTTAGCGAGGAATTAATGTGGGCCTGATGATGAAGCCATCGTGACCTCGAAATTACAGCGAGGGAGATGCCGCGAAGGAGATTTAATTATATTTTCTTTCCACCTACAAATATCGTGTAGTTTTGCAATTGCAAGTTCCACCTGTTCAGCACTGTGGCATTAATCTATGCCTCCTTATTCCAGGCCTTGGCGCTGGAGAAGCTCGTCAACACTGGTCCTCTTGGAGACGGTGAGAAGCATTTTTCTAACTAATGCTGCCAGCGGCGCATGCTGAAGGCCGTTTGAACTTCGGGATGCTTTTTCTACAATTCCCAGCCACTGAAACATGGTGTCCCAAGCTGCGTTCCTTGCCCCCCTTTCCGCACATCCGCAATCATCCAGTTCAGTCGGGGCCGCAAATCTGGGAGGGGATTTTTCTGAGGATAAAGAGCATCACAACTCCCAAGGCGAAGACATCGCCAGGGGCCCCTCGCTTACCGTTAATGGCGTGTTGGGGGTGGGGGGTGTACCACGGCGAACCACCAACGTGTACGGCACTATCCTTCAACCCGGACGATAGGCCGAAGTCGATGAGAACAGCACCGCGAGTGTGGCTGAACGTGATGTTTGCTGGCTTGATGTCGTTGTGCACAATGCCCTGGCTGTGGAAATAGGATATCGCAGAGGACATATCAGCCAGGATTCGCTTAGCCTCACCGACGCCCAGGGTGCAGTTCCCCAGATGCAGGCGGTAAGAGGCTAGATTCGGCCTTGATGGAAGTTCCGCCTACCTCCTGAGGACCTGTTTACCTCACTTCACGACCGCTTCAACTTGCTACGCTGAAGGATGAACGTATCAGCGAGATGAACGACGCATAGGACGAGATAAGCTGTCTGATTGGGGGAACATCAGCGATTTGGTCTTGCCCCCGCCTTGGAGGGCATGAGCAAGACGACAGTACTCCAAAAGCCTGCTCGGCATCCCGATGGACTGCCTTCCTGCGTCTGTCGGAGCATGTCGTTTGATCATCTGGTAATGTGGCACGACCGGGGAGATTGATGAGAGAAGGTCCAACAATGTCCAAGTTAACAGTGACCCAGCAGGACCCCACCCGACAAACCCAGGAGCCAGCTTACCCAACTCCCCAGCATCTTACCTCGATGAGACAACACGAGATACGGTCAGTCAGGACGCCGACACTGATCGAGAGCGACTTTACACTGCGGTTCTCAAAAGGCCTCCTACGTATAGCGACCCATCTCTACTGCCGCCGGCGTCATCTCTGGGTGCTCTTTACGAAGAGAGTATCACAACATTTTCATCAGTATCTATATTCCCTTCTCTCCCTTCAGCAAAGCGGAGAAGCCGCAGCAATGAGGGAGGCGCGAGCGATTATGGGTCTCCACCACATAGGGGGAAGAGACGGCGACTTCGCCCAATGGAGCCGGGTTTGGCTTAAACCCGGGAGCCGGATACTTCGCCAGTCGAGTAATTGTGCCTTTACAGCCAAATGTAGCTCATACTGACCTGAGTGATTCTCACTATATGTGGTCTTTCTTAGGCAAAGCCTGGCTGGACGACATCCTCCTTGGCGTTGAAGGGGCACCGATCTGCCTAGCTGTGCGTAGATGGATCAGGATTATCTTGTCTATCGGTTTCTAATTTGATTGATTGATCTATTCCGGAGTCCTTGTGAAACATCGGTAGCGAGCGCGTGACAAACTCTCTGTGTGTTTATCATTCAGAAGTCATCATTTGAGCTTCCAGTTCTGCTTCGATGGAAGCCCCATGATTATGATGCGAAGATGTGGATCTATTTCGCTGTGATGGTCAGGCGCTGCTGTAGGCGACTATAAACAGCCCGCCGCAAATGACTCATAAATCATGCAATCTTTTGCATTAACCAATCTGCCTTTCCAAGCAACACTCCCTCGGCTGGATTGGCCGTTTACTGAAAGAGCCAAAGACAAGTACTTCAGGCGAAGCTCACGATAGAAGGGATCGAATGGGGTTAGCTCGCAGTTCCCTTAACAATCATTGCCATGCATTGGTTAGATATAATGATCGCCTCGGATATGTGAACCTGAACAGCTGACTGAAGGTTTGGGAAACTGTTACAACACCAAAGGGACCATAGCTAAAATGACTGGGTGTTGAGGAGGCGGATGTCGTCCTGAATTCTGAAAGAAGGGATTCAGCGCAGTCCTTCAGCATGATAAAAGAATGAAATACAAGGAAAGAATGGTAGGTGTCACTCACTGGATTCTGATATCGGCAGCTTCTGAGATGATCAGGTCCAAGATATTAAAGCTAATGCTGTAAAGCCTTAGTCGGTCATCCCATTCCTCAACAGGTTCGGATGGAGGAAAGTGTTGCCGGTACTCGCGGAAGAAGGACCAGGGCAAGGTCCCAGTCTTGCGGCACCAGCCGCCCAGTTCGTACTCGTTGTGAGCGTAGAGAATGCGCGGGCCGAGGAGGATGGGCTCTTCATTGTCCATGTTGAGGGCCATGGTGCTGGCCGACAGGTTGCCATGAACGAGACACGGTTTGATGACGCGGCCATTAGACTGCAGGGCGCCGAGAAGGCGGGGAATGGTGTGGTCAATCAGCCTGTTGAAGTCTCCCTGACATTGCTCATTCCAAGGCCCATGCAACGATGTCTCAAAGTCGAACAGGCGGTTTAGGAGCCTGGCAAAGAGATTGGCCCAGCTTTCATCCCAATCGACAGGCTGACGGAACGGACCATGACAGCTGACAACTGGGAGGCCGAACTGGCTGTTTCTTGGCGAGACACTGTCTCGATGCATGGCGGCAAGTTTTACGCAGAGTATGGTCGGGTCGGGTAGGATATGGTCGATCGAGACAAAATCCATGACGAGGCTGTGGTGTGGTCGTGGGTATATAGATGCGGCGCCGATTCCCTCGTTCTCTTTCTCGCGTCTTGGTCTTTCTCTTTCTCTTTGGTCTTTCTCGTCCCTCGTTCTCTCTCGTCCCTCGTTCTCTCTCGTCCCTCGTTCTCTCTCGTCCCTCGTTCTCTCTCGTCCCTCGTTCTCTCTCGTCCCTCGTTCTCTCTCGTCCCTCGTTCTCTCTCGTCCCTCGTTCTCTCTCGTCCCTCGTTCTCTCTCGTCCCTCGTTCTCTCTCGTCCCTCGTTCTCTCTCGTCCCTCGTTCTCTCTCGTCCCTCGTTCGCCCACGCTCGCGACACCAGTCCCGGCACAAGTTTGTGTAGTGCCACTAAACCTGTTCGTTGACTTTCGAGGGCCAGCTGTTCATCTTCCGTGGTAGATTCCTATGAGTCCTATCAGTTGTGCCGTTTCAGCCGTAAACCTCGCTCAAACTGACACTACCTTCACAAAGTAAAACTTCCTAGTACCGTCTGGCAGCTGGACTATCAGACGACTTGTTTTCAACCCCCCTGACCCATACGGACACGCTTCGATAACCTTGGAGGCCGGCGGTAGCACGTTCCGTAAGTCATGGCACTGTTCTACCATGCGTTGATACCGATCCATGGGGAGGTTGCTTGCGATGCTTCTGCAGAACTAGTGATGCGGAAACGCCAGCCTGGCGTTTGTCCAAGTAAAGTGGCTTAGATAATCGGCACAAAGATAGGCCGTTAGTGCGGGGTAGATGGGGGTATGCCTTATCAACTCTGGGTCCATTAAGGGGCCCCGAACTTGTCCATTGGCCCGTGTCTTGGCGTTACGGCGCCGTCCTACCCAAGATATCCCAAGGTCCGAACAGATCCTAACCTTCGTCCACTTCTATCCGATTCGCTTATGGGTTGCTTCGACACAGCACGGTCTGTGTTTACTTACTCCCGGTTACATACAATGCACGAACACAAGCGGGACATCTTTAGTCTGAAAACGGTGTATGAGCCTGCGGGGGTCTTGCCGTACCTCAACATCGTTTTAGTTCATGGTCTTGGTCGTACAAGCACTGAGACATGGTCGAAGGAAGGACGACAGCCGTGCTTCTGGCCGGCCTGGCTGCACGAGACCGGCTCGCTTCGAATGGCGCGGGTGTATACGACAGAATACCGAGAGCTCAACTTTCTCCAGAGCCTCCTCGAGACACCTCAGGATACCATCGATGACTTTGTAGAGGGTCTGTGGGGTACACTAGCGAATGATGTGAGTTGCCGTGTTCGACGCTGCTACATTGGTATATACATCTGACTCTGAAGCTATACAGAACGTCTCCCCCGAAAAGCAGATACCCGTCGTTTTCGTAGCGCATTCAACTGGCGGCATCGTTGTAAAACAGGTTTGTTTGTCGCCTTCTGGCTGCCTAGATATAGTCTGAACGTAACAAATATCAGGCATATCTTTCCGATACCAAGTCCACCACGCGGTCAACTAGCGCAATTCTTTTCCTAGCAACCCCTCACAAAGCTAGTGCAGTGGGACCTTCTCTCACTTGGGGATTAGAGAAGCCTTCGTTGGTGGGGGAAACGACCGAGGACGGGATACTGTCGACACTGCAAACGATCAACCAAAAGTTTCAAGCAACAAGAGGAGATGGGCTACATATCGCGTCATTCTTTGAAGCATTGAGGACGCACGGCAAATTCATCGTGGACCAGAGGTCTTCATGCTTGGATTTGGAAAAAGAGGTTAAAATGCCAATCGACGCTGACCACGAAAACATCACGCGACGTCCGAGTCGTGACGACCCAGGATTTGTGAAACTCTCTCAGCAGTTGCAGCTCATCCTTCGCTGCCAAGGTCCGTTCAAGCGGCGCGTTTGGGGTCTGGACCCAAGAGAGAAGACCGATCTTCTGTACAGGATGCTCGGTGTTGATGACGCTATGGATGAGCTTGAATCCGTATACAGTCAGTACGTTCCAGGAACTTGCGAATGGATCGAATCAAATTTGCAATATCGCGGCTGGCTGAACGACAGATCACTACAGCCACGGGTCTTGTTCATCTCTGGCCCTCCTGGGTCTGGCAAATCAGTCCTGACATCACACATTGTACAAAGCCTCAGGGGTCGCAGCCTGTCCTGTCAATTCTTCTTTTTCCAGCATGACGATCAACGAAAACAATCTGCTGTCTCCCTCTTTAGGTCACTGGCCCTTCAACTAGCCAACAAGATCGAGCCGTTCCGCGACTATCTGGTGGCCCTAGCTGCCGGTAGCTATAGCCTCGAGCACAATACCCAGGACCTAATCTGGAACAAACTGTTCACCGACGAGCTTCCAAGGCTTTTACCCGACCGGGACAACCCCATGTACTGGATCATCGATGGCCTGGATATTTGTGGATCCGGTGAAGCGTTTCTTTCAGGTTTAGCTAACCCATCCCTATCTTCTATTCCCATCCGGGTTGTCGTCACCAGCCGTGTCACGCCAACCCTATCTCGCGTATGCAATCGGCTGGGTGCTTCCTTGCAGGTTCAGGTTCTGCGGCTGGACAAGGATGCAACAGATGCGCAAAAGGCAGCCATGAGACCCCTAGTACGGACCAAGCTTGGTGCGCTCCACGAACATCTGACTGATCAGACCGTGCTGGAAGGCCAAGGCAACTTTCTTGAAGTCAACAGAATCGTCCGAGGTATTCTACGCGGCAAGAGCCACCCCTTAACCAGCCCTGACAACGTCGCGACAAGCCAGCCAGATACCAGACAGTACTGGAAAGAGGTTGCAGCAGACATGAGTGCCGGCTGGACAGCTAGCAAACGGGCACATGCGAAACGCATATTGACATTGGTTGCTTATGCCCGTTATCCCCTTACAATTGCGCAAGTTTGTGAGGCCATCACGCGATACGAACCCATGGCGCCCGATCGTTATGACCCAGTCCAACTATGCGGAGCATTGCTCCAGGTCGACGGGCGGTCCCGCCTCATACTAAGACACCGCACCGCTCACGAGTACTTAGTCGCCGCGGAAGGCCGTGACCTATGTTGCGAATCCCACGAGGCCCACGGGATCATTCTCGCGATGAGCTTGAAAGCCATGGCGAGGATGAGCGTGGGTGGTACCGACAGCCAGCCCCGGTTGAGTCTGCCGCCGGACTCATGGGCCTCATATGCCACTACGTCCTGGGAATTCCACCTCTCTCGCGGCGCAGTGTACCTCGATGGAGAGCTTCTTTCGATAGTCGACAGTTTCCTCGAGGCCCCAACGGTGGTTTGGTGGATCTTCATCCTCGCAAGCTCTAATCAGCTGGATCTCCTTACGGACGCATCGGCCGCCTTGACCGTTCTCCATGCGCGCAGGAGCGCCATGCCATCACTAAGGCACAACGTCGATCATAAACTGTTACAATGGGCCACTGAAATGGCCATGGTTCATGGAAAATTCGGGATGCATCTGTCGAGATTCCCTCGCGCTATCTACGACGTAGTTCCAGCGTTCTGCCCCGAGACTTCACCAATACGAACACTGCATACCAGCAGGGACGAGGCATCGAGGCTCGTCGTCAAAGGCATTCCGGACAAAGCATGGGTTGAGACGTTGGCTAAGATCCCTGTTAAGAACCCCTCTGGCATCGCGTGTACCAGCCAGTATGTCGCATTATCCTCTTTTGGCAGCCGTCGGGTCAGACTAGTCTCAACGACAAACCCGTGCAGTGCTAAGACGGTTCATCACCAAGAAAGCGTCAGCCGCATGCGCTTCAGCAATTCTGGGCATATGCTTGCCCTGGCCAGTCTACGGACCATCAGTGTATGGCAAATCGACATCTGGGTTTTGCGCTGGACCTTCGCCGCCCCGCCGGCTGCCCCGATGGTCGACATGGCCTTCGACTCCGGAGACACCGCGCTTCTGGCCTATTTCAAAGATGGGCACGTGTGGAGATACCCGCTGGAAGACTTCGCGGCAGGCAGTTGCTGTCTCGGGCCAGCTCTCGCTGTCGGCCCCGATGGCCGCCGCCACGTCCCTAAAGCTGCTGCATTCAATCAGGGCGCCACCATGCTTGCTACCGCGTACTACGACCTACCCCTATCGGTATGGGACGTGTCCAGCAGCGGCCTGCGCGGGCCGCGACCACAGAGCAACGCCGCACGCCAAGATGCAGACCGGGCGCCGGACCCCGTGGACCGGATCGACTGGACCCCGGCTCCGTGCCACGTTCTCACCATCCGTGGCGGCTCCGCCTACGCGTGGGATCCCGACCGCCAGGTTGAGCGCCAGATATGCGGCGGCCGTCCCAAATATATTTCCTCCTCTGCCGGCGGGGACTTTCTTATCACCATCCACGAGGTCGATGGTATGATGAACTTCTGGAGTACAACCACCTTTGCCAAAGCCTATGCCCTGCATTTGTCTCAATCTTTGGTTCAACTAGTTATCTGTCCTTCGGGCAGGAGATTGCTTTTCCTCGGCAATACCTCGTGTGACGTTGTGGGTCTGAAATGCCTTCCCAGGATTCTCCTTCCTGGCAAGGAGAACCTATACGACGCAGGGCTTGGTGTCCAACCATCGATGTTGCTCTACAAGCGCTGTCAACCTCTTTTTAGGGACTCACAAGCAGCTATTGAGGCCCTCGTCGTCTCACCCAAAACCCATATGTACTTCGTGGCCCATGCTGGCGGCAGCCTGGGGCTGTTCGATGAGAATGCGAACGAGTTGCTTTCTGAGAATTATTCTTATTCGCTGACAATCAAATGCGCCGCTTGGAGTCCAGACGAAAAATATTTTGGCTTTGCGAATGATATTCAACAGTTACATATCCGGAAGAGGCTTTACAAAGACGCAAAATTCTCTCTCAGGTTTCATGCGCAGATGCCTGAATCTGCCCGTCAACTTGTTTTTCATAAGATCAAAGATATGGTGTTTGTTGTCTCGGCAAACTCCTTGTCCACTTGGACCTTGGAGGAACAGCTTTTTATCTCACAGCGCATCCTTTTCTCGCATCATTGCTTTTGGATCAACCATCCATCCAGCTCTAATGTGCTACTTGGATGCGATTCAACTGGTGTTCGCATTTTAAAATGGGACACTTTACAATTCATCACCTATCTCGACTTCGACTCTACGTCAATTCCCCGAACTATGGCAACCCAGACAAGCAGTCTTAACGACCATGTATCCCTTGCCTGCATCCGACAGCAGGTCAAGGTCTTTATATCAAGCGACGGAAGAAAGATCTTGATTCACGCGTCGCTAGAGGATGAAAATGATGTGAATACTGTTTTTGTCATGTCAACTGATATTGAGAGGGCGCATCGTTCTGGACAAGAACGCGTTCCTATCAAAACCTACACCCCAACAGTGCTAAATAAGCTTCTTAGGCCTCTTGGCTTCATAAGGAAACCCTCCAGGAGTGACGAGTTGGCTTATGTTGATGAAGCTGGCTGGTTCTGGAGTTGCAGCAGCGATGGTAAACTCAGGAAATATGCTGCGTTCTTGCCGCCCGAATGGATGGATGAAGCGTGTTTGAATTTGGTTCACATTACATATGATGGAACGCTCTATATGCCGAAAGATGACAGAGTCAAAATTGTGGGACGCGGATTCGAGACGGTTTTGTGTAAGCAATAACAAGTTATCCCAACCAGTGCTACTTGCCATTAACTGACAAACCCCGTCGGACTCTGAGCAGGATTTGTACAACCCTTGTGCATCCGCCTTGTTCTGCCCATGAAAGAGCAGTACGACCACTATTATCCCTGATTTCAATTCCTTCCTTTGATGCGGCGATGAGTTTCCGAACGATGTTCTCGTATCCATCTGCGGCTGACAGGATGAGGGGCGTTCGGCCATTTTTGTCGGTAGAATAAATAGCAACCATCCTTGTGTTAATGAGCAACTCTACTACGGCCTCCTTCCCATACTCAGCCGCCCACGAGAGTGGTGTACGATCGTCCTTGTCTCTAGAATCTGCGTCCACCCCAATATCAAGTAGCAGCTTCATAATGTCGGTTTGTCCGTATTCAGCCGCCCAAGAGAGTGGTGTGCGGTTGTCTTTGTCTTTAGAATCAGCATCTACCATTCCACTGCCAAGAAGCAGTTTCACAATGTCGACATGTCCGTTCTGAGCGGCCCATGAGACCGGACTTCTGAGGCGATCGTCTCTTGTGTCAATATCGACTCCTGCATCAAGTAGAAGTTGGACCACCGCTACATGTCCCTCTCCGACGGCCCAAGAGAACGCAGTTCGGCCATCCATGTCTTTCAAGTCGACACAAGGTGTTGATATACCAAGAAGAAGTTTGACTGTATCCTCCTGGCCGTTCCGAGCTGCCCACGAAAAAGCAGTTCCCCCGTTAAGGTCCGCCTTGGCAACATTGACTTTCCCTGTGTTGAGCAGCCAATCTATGACTACGGCATGGCCATTTTGGCTTGCCAATATTAGCGGAGTCCAGCCAAAATTATCGGGGGAATCAATGGCCAGGTCCAAATTTGCAGCTGCGCCGCTGAAGAAATGTTGGGCAACTCCCAAGTGGCCAGAGCCAACGGCCCAGGAAAATGGGGTCCTGCCGTCTCTGTCTCTAGACAAAACACACGTGCGTTCCGTGTTGAGTAGTAGTTTTACCACTACCTCGCGGCCATTTCCTGCTGCCCACGATAGGGGTGTTCGGCCGCTCTTGTCTTGAGCATCAACATCGATCGCACCTGCTCTGAGGAGTAGTTCAAGAACACTACTATGTCCCATCTCAGCCGCTTTCGAAAAAGGTGTTCGCCCTCTTCTATCCCCCCGGTCAAGTTCAACTTGTCCTGTACGGAGAAGGAATTCCACCGTGGCAACGTTTCCGCTGTCGGCCGCCCAAAAGAGAGGTGTCCGGCCGAAATAGTCAGTTGAATCCATATTGGCTATACCATGGTTGATAAGCAGTTGAGCGATCTCGCTGTAGCCCTTGCCTGTGGCCCAAGAGAACGCTGTTCGGCCGCATCCATCTTCAGCGTTGATATCGTAAGCCCCAGTGTTAAGCAGCAACTCGACCGTGGTTTTATGCCCCCCTATCGTGGCCCAAAACATGGGATTACGGCCAAGATGATCGGAGCCGTAGTTGTTGATTCCCTTATCCAGCAGCAGCTCAATGACGGCATCATGTCCATGCTCAGCCGCCCAGGACAGCGGAGTTCGATGTTGAGTATCGGTGTTTCCGGCCGGTGCTCCAGTAACCAAGAGTTTCTGCGCTGTGCTGCTCAATCCGAAATATGATGCTAGGTGGAGCCCCGTGACGTTGCCGGCAACGCGTTGGGAATACCCTCGCCAAGAATGTGCTCTCTTAATCAGCAATGCCTGGCTACATGCAAGGATTTTCTTCTCGTTCCGTAGGAAGTTGAGAATGGTTCCGTGTGTCTCAGCAGAGCCTTTTCGAACATGCTGACCCCAATATCTCGCCGCATAATCATAGAAAGGGTACCTTCTTATTCTCTCTTCGAAGTCCTTGTCGTTCTGACAGTGCCCGTCGTTAAATGCCTCGAACGACAGATATGCTGTGCAGATCTTGCCGATCTCTCTGTCAGCGTCGGAAAACCAGTCCAGACGTCTCAAATACTCCTGCATTGTGCGATGGACCAGACAGACCGTGTTGTTTTTTTCATCCAGTGAGACAAACCCCTCGCAGGCTGAGATTATGCTGTTAATGGCTGGAATGCTGTCCGGGTCAATTTCAGTAGCGTCCAGTTCCACTGCGAGGGCATGTTGAAGCTCCTGTATCGATAGTGGCCTTCTGGAAAATGTAACAATTCTCAAGGCGTCTTTAGCGAGCTGTTCTAAGTGTGATTCCTTGATTCTCTTGGTGATCCTATCGAACGCCTTTTTGGGGGCGTCTGGTCCCGTTGGAAGTTCTTTCAGCATCTTCCTCATCTCTTTTGGCGTGGCTGCATGTTTTAAGAGCTCGAGATAGATCTGTACAAGCAAGAACCTAGTCCAAAATTAGGTGTGCAATACTATAGGCAACGTTCCACATACATGCCATCGGCCGCTTTGGTAATTCCAGTCTTGATATCTTCCTGCAAGTCCGGACGATCTTGAACGAATTCATCAAGCATCGTCAGATGATACTGCAGGTATTTTCGCGCATCTGCATCCCTTGCTCGAATTTCCACCAGTTCACAACGCTTAAAGCCAGTCAAAGCGTTTCGATGTCGCGAGGTTGCGAGAAATCTGATGTTGTAATCGGCCTGAAGGCTGCGAATCGTCGCCAAAAGGTGTGTAGAAACACCCCGGTCACATTCATCTAAAGCATCGACAATGATGAACACCTTTGCTAACCCTGTCACAACAAGTTTGAGTTCCTGCGTGAGCTCATGTCCAGATGGCGATGATATCTGACTCTCGTATCTCTCGTAAAAGCTTATCAAGTGTGCAGGAACGATGGGTTTGGCTTCTGCCAGCTGACGCAGGAGACTGGCTATCAGAATGTCGTAAGTTTGGTAGTCTCGTCTTCCAGATTCGCAGTACAGATGTGCGATGCCAACGGTGGGGTCTGCGAGGTTTCGTCGACGCAGGTCATTAGAGACCAGTGACGTCATGGTTGTCTTTCCCGCACCGGGAGGTCCATGCAAGAGCAACGTACTCTCTGTTCCTCGCACCCAGGATCGGACTTCGCTGCACTCCAGCAGCCAGTGGCCAGTGCCTTCGAGAGGCGGAGAAACTTTTTTTCCTGGGATACTGATCCAATTGAGAATTGTAGACATTCTATTCTGCTGTCTGGAGCTTCATTAGCTGAGGAATGTTGACACAAGATTGCAATTACCTGATGAGTCTATCAAGAAAGGCCTGTAAGTAAATGAGACTTTTGACGATTCTTCCTTGGTGATACTGCTCCTCAGCCGGGTCCCATTGAGGCCTTTTAATGGCCCTCCGCGTTCTATGTATCCAAGATGTTGACTGAGGCGTAACCGTTTTGAGAACAGCAAACTTTTGTAGTGTGGCGTCTACGTCATGAAGTACATTCTTGCAGTTTCTCGCAAGGTCACATAGCTCCTCCTTCTGTTTCTCGGTAAGCCGCCCAAGCTTGAGCTCGTGATCGATATCGTCGAGAACAGGAACGAGAAGCTTGACCCTGGCAAAGAGTTATTAATGGTATTTGATGTCCTCAAGAGGCACATACTCGTTCGATAGGCGATCAAATTTGACCGGGGCGTCCTTGAACCTACTGTAAATAGTATGTGCAAGCTTGATTGCCAAAAAAAAATCGCCCAGGCCGACTCCGATGTTCATGGTGAAATTACTTATGCGTAGATGCGTCACGTATTTGGATCAGGTGATACAGTTGCGGGAAGGTATAGATTGTCGTGCTTAGAGTATGTTAGGTTGATGGCAAGATGATTGATTGTGGAGACTGACTCAGCGATATTAGGTCTTCAGAGTTTGTTACAATCAAAGAGATCTTTTTCATACTCTTGGGGCCACTAATTATAAATATCTTGTTCACAGCTGGAGCGTTGTATCAGCGGCCTCTTCACAGGGGCCGAAGTTCAAGGGGTCCGGTCAGCCAGGCCTTCCCTCTGATCCAACAAGCCTATCATTGTACGAGCCACGAATAATAAAACAGGGTTCACCATCGCCCCTGAAGGAAATGCCTTAGGTGACCCACTTGAAGCGCCATACCTTGCAGTTCGCCATGACAGGCGCGCGGTTAGCTCATTATGCAGGACACCGATATCTTGAGAGTAGCCTATTGGATAATGGAATAGTCGGGAAAACAAGCGTCAAAGTAAAAAAAAATATAATTGGAAATCTCAAGCGAATACTACACGACATTTATCAGCCGCAGCGGGAGTTTGCCAAGAGGTTGTGGTTATGATGGTGTTGACGAATGATTTGGGAGACCGTATTGGGACTCGTGCACTCCCTGGTCAGTTTTGACCAGCCAGTAACAAAATTAGCGACCTTCAGCCAAGACGTCTCAGCAGCAAGAGGAAGGCTAGTTAATGGAGAGAGAAATGGATGCCAGATAGCACCACTGCCGAGTAATAGCTATGAGCGTCTGGAGGAGCAATCGAGCTCGAACCCGTTCAAGATGATTCCCACCCGCTCTCTTTGGGGAACGAACATGATACCATCTTTTCCCAAGCATATCTTCTCGAGGCTATCACTATCCAGCCAGTCGTAAGGCAAGAAAAAGTGCTCTGCAAGCTCATGGCCGTTCCCCACTGTACATACCCAACCATTCGTGTGAAAGAATGCAAACATAGGAAACCCCGAACCGTCATCCACGAAACCCAGAGGCCTGTCCACGACAACACGCAGGCTTAGTGGATAAAACCTAATTGGTATCTCTAATATGAAACTGCGCCGGGCCATGTCGATGTCGGTGGTTTTGATGTGGAGCAAATCAACGCAGCTATGGTCGAACTGAGTGGCTTGAACCAATATGTGTGATCCATTTGGTGCCACCGACACTTTCGAGACCTTCCAAGTGGCTACAGGGCTCATAATGCGCTCTTGAACATCGGCATCGATAGAGGTGTACAGAAACTGGAATGGGATGCTTAAGCTGTGCTCAAGGTCATTCCATTTGAGAACATGAAGCCCGTGAGGAGTAAATCCAAGGAAGACGTCAGCTTCAAACGGATGGCTAATCAAGAAATAAGGTCTGTCGAGGGAGATACGCTGAAGGGACTCTGGGTGGGAGGCATAGAACCACAACAAGATTGTTTGGGCTGAAACAACAACAATCAACTGGTCAGTCATGTTGAAGAGTACCTGACTCGGCTCCTCGGTCAAGCTCTTTTCAGTGATAGTAACCAACCAGGGCTGTTTGGGCAAAACGCGCTTAACGGAAAGCTTGCGTGATACATCAACAGTGGCTAAATACTGTCCATCGTTACTCCACACCATCTGGGTGATAGTAGCGGAATAAGGCGGTGTGTATGTTATCAAAGACTTTCCATCCATATTACAAACTCTGAGTTTACCACGAGCATGTGCTGTGCAGTACATGCGAGATATTGAACTCACTTCGAGTAGCTCAATAGGGCCATGCGTGTCTGACAAATTGGACGAAGTGATGGGAGACGTGGTGAAAAGTCGGGAAGGGTCTTGAAAACGATTCAGTGTGTGATCGACTTCTGGACGGTACGAAGTAAGGCATGCCGGGCGCCATACATCGCAGGAATTGCCATGGAGGACATATATCTTATGTCCATCTGAGCAAAAATAACGGATGTTTTCTCCACATTCCAATTTATCGAGGAGACGTGTTTGCCCGGTCGACCAGACATGAAGGAAGCCAGATTCAGTGGCAGTGATCGTGAAGAGGCGATTTGGAATAGTACATATATGGGTGAAGTTGGATTCGACGCCGCCGCATATCTGGCGCTCAACCTGGCGGTCGGGATCCCACGCGTAGGCGGAGCCGCCACGGATGGTGAGAACGTGGCACGGAGCCGGGGTCCAGTCGATCCGGTCCACGGGGTCCGGCGCCCGGTCTGCATCTTGGCGTGCGGCGTTGCTCTGTGGTCGCGGCCCGCGCAGGCCGCTGCTGGACACGTCCCATACCGATAGGGGTAGGTCGTAGTACGCGGTAGCAAGCATGGTGGCGCCCTGATTGAATGCAGCAGCTTTAGGGACGTGGCGGCGGCCATCGGGGCCGACAGCGAGAGCTGGCCCGAGACAGCAACTGCCTGCCGCGAAGTCTTCCAGCGGGTATCTCCACACGTGCCCATCTTTGAAATAGGCCAGAAGCGCGGTGTCTCCGGAGTCGAAGGCCATGTCGACCATCGGGGCAGCCGGCGGGGCGGCGAAGGTCCAGCGCAAAACCCAGATGTCGATTTGCCATACACTGATGGTCCGTAGACTGGCCAGGGCAAGCATATGCCCAGAATTGCTGAAGCGCATGCGGCTGACGCTTTCTTGGTGATGAACCGTCTTAGCACTGCACGGGTTTGTCGTTGAGACTAGTCTGACCCGACGGCTGCCAAAAGAGGATAATGCGACATACTGGCTGGTACACGCGATGCCAGAGGGGTTCTTAACAGGGATCTTAGCCAACGTCTCAACCCATGCTTTGTCCGGAATGCCTTTGACGACGAGCCTCGATGCCTCGTCCCTGCTGGTATGCAGTGTTCGTATTGGTGAAGTCTCGGGGCAGAACGCTGGAACTACGTCGTAGATAGCGCGAGGGAATCTCGACAGATGCATCCCGAATTTTCCATGAACCATGGCCATTTCAGTGGCCCATTGTAACAGTTTATGATCGACGTTGTGCCTTAGTGATGGCATGGCGCTCCTGCGCGCATGGAGAACGGTCAAGGCGGCCGATGCGTCCGTAAGGAGATCCAGCTGATTAGAGCTTGCGAGGATGAAGATCCACCAAACCACCGTTGGGGCCTCGAGGAAACTGTCGACTATCGAAAGAAGCTCTCCATCGAGGTACACTGCGCCGCGAGAGAGGTGGAATTCCCAGGACGTAGTGGCATATGAGGCCCATGAGTCCGGCGGCAGACTCAACCGGGGCTGGCTGTCGGTACCACCCACGCTCATCCTCGCCATGGCTTTCAAGCTCATCGCGAGAATGATCCCGTGGGCCTCGTGGGATTCGCAACATAGGTCACGGCCTTCCGCGGCGACTAAGTACTCGTGAGCGGTGCGGTGTCTTAGTATGAGGCGGGACCGCCCGTCGACCTGGAGCAATGCTCCGCATAGTTGGACTGGGTCATAACGATCGGGCGCCATGGGTTCGTATCGCGTGATGGCCTCACAAACTTGCGCAATTGTAAGGGGATAACGGGCATAAGCAACCAATGTCAATATGCGTTTCGCATGTGCCCGTTTGCTAGCTGTCCAGCCGGCACTCATGTCTGCTGCAACCTCTTTCCAGTACTGTCTGGTATCTGGCTGGCTTGTCGCGACGTTGTCAGGGCTGGTTAAGGGGTGGCTCTTGCCGCGTAGAATACCTCGGACGATTCTGTTGACTTCAAGAAAGTTGCCTTGGCCTTCCAGCACGGTCTGATCAGTCAGATGTTCGTGGAGCGCACCAAGCTTGGTCCGTACTAGGGGTCTCATGGCTGCCTTTTGCGCATCTGTTGCATCCTTGTCCAGCCGCAGAACCTGAACCTGCAAGGAAGCACCCAGCCGATTGCATACGCGAGATAGGGTTGGCGTGACACGGCTGGTGACGACAACCCGGATGGGAATAGAAGATAGGGATGGGTTAGCTAAACCTGAAAGAAACGCTTCACCGGATCCACAAATATCCAGGCCATCGATGATCCAGTACATGGGGTTGTCCCGGTCGGGTAAAAGCCTTGGAAGCTCGTCGGTGAACAGTTTGTTCCAGATTAGGTCCTGGGTATTGTGCTCGAGGCTATAGCTACCGGCAGCTAGGGCCACCAGATAGTCGCGGAACGGCTCGATCTTGTTGGCTAGTTGAAGGGCCAGTGACCTAAAGAGGGAGACAGCAGATTGTTTTCGTTGATCGTCATGCTGGAAAAAGAAGAATTGACAGGACAGGCTGCGACCCCTGAGGCTTTGTACAATGTGTGATGTCAGGACTGATTTGCCAGACCCAGGAGGGCCAGAGATGAACAAGACCCGTGGCTGTAGTGATCTGTCGTTCAGCCAGCCGCGATATTGCAAATTTGATTCGATCCATTCGCAAGTTCCTGGAACGTACTGACTGTATACGGATTCAAGCTCATCCATAGCGTCATCAACACCGAGCATCCTGTACAGAAGATCGGTCTTCTCTCTTGGGTCCAGACCCCAAACGCGCCGCTTGAACGGACCTTGGCAGCGAAGGATGAGCTGCAACTGCTGAGAGAGTTTCACAAATCCTGGGTCGTCACGACTCGGACGTCGCGTGATGTTTTCGTGGTCAGCGTCGATTGGCATTTTAACCTCTTTTTCCAAATCCAAGCATGAAGACCTCTGGTCCACGATGAATTTGCCGTGCGTCCTCAATGCTTCAAAGAATGACGCGATATGTAGCCCATCTCCTCTTGTTGCTTGAAACTTTTGGTTGATCGTTTGCAGTGTCGACAGTATCCCGTCCTCGGTCGTTTCCCCCACCAACGAAGGCTTCTCTAATCCCCAAGTGAGAGAAGGTCCCACTGCACTAGCTTTGTGAGGGGTTGCTAGGAAAAGAATTGCGCTAGTTGACCGCGTGGTGGACTTGGTATCGGAAAGATATGCCTGATATTTGTTACGTTCAGACTATATCTAGGCAGCCAGAAGGCGACAAACAAACCTGTTTTACAACGATGCCGCCAGTTGAATGCGCTACGAAAACGACGGGTATCTGCTTTTCGGGGGAGACGTTCTGTATAGCTTCAGAGTCAGATGTATATACCAATGTAGCAGCGTCGAACACGGCAACTCACATCATTCGCTAGTGTACCCCACAGACCCTCTACAAAGTCATCGATGGTATCCTGAGGTGTCTCGAGGAGGCTCTGGAGAAAGTTGAGCTCTCGGTATTCTGTCGTATACACCCGCGCCATTCGAAGCGAGCCGGTCTCGTGCAGCCAGGCCGGCCAGAAGCACGGCTGTCGTCCTTCCTTCGACCATGTCTCAGTGCTTGTACGACCAAGACCATGAACTAAAACGATGTTGAGGTACGGCAAGACCCCCGCAGGCTCATACACCGTTTTCAGACTAAAGATGTCCCGCTTGTGTTCGTGCATTGTATGTAACCGGGAGTAAGTAAACACAGACCGTGCTGTGTCGAAGCAACCCATAAGCGAATCGGATAGAAGTGGACGAAGGTTAGGATCTGTTCGGACCTTGGGATATCTTGGGTAGGACGGCGCCGTAACGCCAAGACACGGGCCAATGGACAAGTTCGGGGCCCCTTAATGGACCCAGAGTTGATAAGGCATACCCCCATCTACCCCGCACTAACGGCCTATCTTTGTGCCGATTATCTAAGCCACTTTACTTGGACAAACGCCAGGCTGGCGTTTCCGCATCACTAGTTCTGCAGAAGCATCGCAAGCAACCTCCCCATGGATCGGTATCAACGCATGGTAGAACAGTGCCATGACTTACGGAACGTGCTACCGCCGGCCTCCAAGGTTATCGAAGCGTGTCCGTATGGGTCAGGGGGTTGAAAACAAGTCGTCTGATAGTCCAGCTGCCAGACGGTACTAGGAAGTTTTACTTTGTGAAGGTAGTGTCAGTTTGAGCGAGGTTTACGGCTGAAACGGCACAACTGATAGGACTCATAGGAATCTACCACGGAAGATGAACAGCTGGCCCTCGAAAGTCAACGAACAGGTTTAGTGGCACTACACAAACTTGTGCCGGGACTGGTGTCGCGAGCGTGGGCGAACGAGGGACGAGAGAGAACGAGGGACGAGAGAGAACGAGGGACGAGAGAGAACGAGGGACGAGAGAGAACGAGGGACGAGAGAGAACGAGGGACGAGAGAGAACGAGGGACGAGAGAGAACGAGGGACGAGAGAGAACGAGGGACGAGAGAGAACGAGGGACGAGAGAGAACGAGGGACGAGAGAGAACGAGGGACGAGAGAGAACGAGGAGAGAGAAGAGGACGAGAGAGAACGAGGGACGAGAGAGAACGAGGGACGAGAAAGACCAAAGAGAAAGAGAAAGACCAAGACGCGAGAAAGAGAACGAGGGAATCGGCGCCGCATCTATATACCCACGACCACACCACAGCCTCGTCATGGATTTTGTCTCGATCGACCATATCCTACCCGACCCGACCATACTCTGCGTAAAACTTGCCGCCATGCATCGAGACAGTGTCTCGCCAAGAAACAGCCAGTTCGGCCTCCCAGTTGTCAGCTGTCATGGTCCGTTCCGTCAGCCTGTCGATTGGGATGAAAGCTGGGCCAATCTCTTTGCCAGGCTCCTAAACCGCCTGTTCGACTTTGAGACATCGTTGCATGGGCCTTGGAATGAGCAATGTCAGGGAGACTTCAACAGGCTGATTGACCACACCATTCCCCGCCTTCTCGGCGCCCTGCAGTCTAATGGCCGCGTCATCAAACCGTGTCTCGTTCATGGCAACCTGTCGGCCAGCACCATGGCCCTCAACATGGACAATGAAGAGCCCATCCTCCTCGGCCCGCGCATTCTCTACGCTCACAACGAGTACGAACTGGGCGGCTGGTGCCGCAAGACTGGGACCTTGCCCTGGTCCTTCTTCCGCGAGTACCAAAAACAGTATCCGCCATCCGAGCCTGTTGAGGAATGGGATGATAGACTCAAGTTGTACAGCATCAAGTTTAATCTTGAACACGCGATTGACCGTCGGAGCCCGAATACTCAACGGCAGTGAGTGGTTTTAAATCTATATCTCCGCAATCACTGATTAGTTCACAGAATAATGGAAGACGTATTATATCTCAATGATCGATATTTCTGATCAGGTGGATTTGATTCTGATGCATTGTAAGACGATGATAATCTCTTGCATAGGTTGAGGAGCATCTCGTCTAATCACTTCCATTTTGAATTTTCTGTTTGTACTCTCAAAGTCCAGGACCTGTTGACTGGCCTTTTGGTGGTTTCAACTTATGCATCGCCCAGCTGGATCAGTCTTTCGTTTCTTTTCCATCTCAAGTGCTGTATTCGCTGGCTGTCCCACTGGGTCGGGTTGCCCTTCAGGGGATATTGTTTTGCACATTCCTGGTTTAAAAGATGTCTGATGTATCTTAGCGCCCACTGTCGAGTCGCCGGGCGATCATCACAGAGCTGCTGCGCACACTACATCGTCTTTAGAGACGATAGCAAGCTCTACCGCATCCGCCGTTTTTGATTTAATTGCGTCGGGTCGCGCCGCAGTTGGTCATTGGCTTTCTCGCAGTCGATTGACGTTAATGAATGACAGATGCAATGATTCAATGCATGGTGTCAATATCCATGACTATTCGGATGCCTCATCCCTCCTGATAATGTCACCTCATACGAAAGCGGGACTTGCTAACTTGGCATCATCAAAACTTTCCCCGTTCACTCTGTCTCTGTGTGCCACTGGACGAATAGTTATGGATATAGTGTATCGCGTACGACAGAGAAACACCCAGCTCATTATCACTCCAAGGCGAGGTGTCTTTGTATCACTTTTTGAGCAGCAACAAGGAACCTATGGCCAGGCTATAGTCGCTATTCGCACACCTCTGTCGATTTTATGCAGCTTTGGACGCTCGACCCCAAGTACCTACAGGTACATGGCGTGACCGTCTTCTTCAACTCACATCGGACTGATGATTAACCTCCTTTCTGATCCCAGACGCCGAGTATCTTGTATCTAACAGTTCCGTACCATCAACAATTGTAAGTCGTTGCATTGCCTGCTCAGCCAGTGGTTCAGAGACTTCCTCGACCAAAGGATGAGGGTCACTGCGTCTCGGAGTCCGGCGTCCAGCACAGATCCTGGAGACGCGACATAGTCATCGTTGCGCCGTAACTATCTTGCTTCTAGAGGTCTGCTAGGAAAGACTAGGAGTCCATTAGAGGCGGTTCGCGTTGCTGGTGTACAGACCGACATAGTTGATGTGGCGGATCAAGATATCAAATCATACAAGCTCTAAAACGGTTCGTTTCTATTTACACCAACCCACTTAGAACCACCATTTGTCAACAATCCCTCCTGCTCAGGGAAGGTTGATCATGTTAAGAAGTTTATTACCGGGTATCCGTGCTACCCGTCTCGGAAACTTGTTCTCTGACATACGTAGTTCAACGAGACTCGAATGAATGGCTCCGGTACATCCGAGACTGCCTTTACCGGGAAAATCCCACTCAGTACCACGATGCACTTAGTTTTATCCAGCTTGCGGACTTGCTGAGAGAAGTCCACGATTGTCTTGCCGCTGTTGATCAACGAGTCAACGAGTAGCACTGTCTTCTTTCCCTCAACATTCTCCGAGCTGAGGTCCTCGGTGCAGCTAGCATTGAGGAAAATGCCTCGGGATTTAACGCCAAACCGTACAAAATACTGTAGGTCGTCCTCTGGATCTCAAACCAGCGACTCATCGCTGTCGTTCGTCTCCAGGAGCCGAACCTCCTGAAACTTTCGAAGTAAGACCTCCGCCTGTGCTGCGCAAGGATTCGTCACTGCCAAGTCCAAATCCACGATCAGGAAAGCCGGCACTTGGTGCGAGACCTTATGGTGCTTGCCCCGAAGCTCAAGGTCTCTTTTGATTCCCCTGGCCTGCGAGACGTCCAAGACACCCTTTTCTAGAGCCATGGACAACAGGCTCAGCGCTATGTCTTTGGCTAAGAAAAATCCTGTGTACAATGTTTGGTAGCAGGCCATAACTCAACCACCCTGCTTCCCACGCAACCCCGCATACCACGCAGCCCAACAACGCGTCACCATAAAACCTACTCCTCTTTTCTAACTATCACAACATCTTCTATTCTACCCCAAACAACGCCATTTTTTGAGGATATCTTTTTTACTATAAGATGAAGCAGTATAGTGAACATGAGCTGCAGCGGGCACTTTGGGATATTGCTGACGGGCTTAGTATCCGCGGGGCAGGTCGCAAATGGGGCATCCCAGAGGCGACTGTACGACAACGTCTCCATGGTACCCAGTCTAGAAATACTGCCTTTGGTAGACTGCAGCGGTTATCTCAGAACCAGGAAGGTCTACTTGCTGAGTGGATATCTAAGCAGGCTGCCCTAGGCTCTGCGTTTTGCCATCAGCAAGTCAAAGGGCTGGCTGAGCGTATGCTGGGCGATGGGCAGCGACCACTTGGGAGGAAGTGGATGCAGCGATTTCTTCGCAGAAACCCATCTATCAGAACCCAGCGATGCAGGGCAATTGACGCTAGGCGAATTAATGGGGCAACTGCTGACATTATCCAGGAATGGTTTCATCGCCTTGATCTGCCAGTAATCCTGCCTATTAAGCCAGCTAATAGATGGAACATGGATGAGACTGGTATCCTCGAGGGCAAAGGAAGCAATGGGCTAGTACTAGGATCGTCAGAGACCAAGTATATCCAGAAAAAACAGCCTGGATCGCGGGTATGGGTATCTCTGATCGAGTGCGTCTCTGCCAGAGGACGCGCACTTCCGCCTCTTGTTATGTATAAGGGTAAGTCAGTCTAGCAACAGTAGTTTCCTCTAGATCTTTAACCTTATGCTAGCTGGAAATTCATAGCAACAGAGAACAGCTAGACAACTGATCAGAATGCCCTAGAATGGCTAGAAAAGGTCTTTATCCCTTAGACTGTCCCAGAGGACCCTTCAGATACTAGACTACTAGTTCTAGACGCCTATCACAGCCATATAACAACAGACTTTCTGTGGCAATGCTTCCAGAACCATATACACCTCCTGTTTCTGCCACTGCACACATTACACGTCCTCTAGCCTCTAGATCAGTCAGTATTCTGACCTCTTAAGGCAGCCTATAAGAAGTATCTAAGGTACCTAGATATATAAAGCAATTTAACTGTAATAGGTAAGAGGAACTTTATAGACTATTATAGAAGGGCACGTCTAGACGCCTTGATTATCTAGGTTATTAAAAGTGGCTGGAAACACACTGGGTTATGGCTAGTTGATGTAGCGCAACCTTTATCTAGCCCTTTCGTGTCTAAGGCATCAGCCAGCTAGCCAGCCAGATAGCTAGACGGCCAGACAGCTGGGCAGTCAGGAAGTCAGCAGTGGGATGAAGCTGTATCTATAGTCCCATGGTTAACCCCGCGTAAGTCTACTGATCTTCAGCGTCAGCTGCACCTATTCAACCAGCTTACACAAGATACCCAAGAAATCTATACTCAACGCCACCTATTTAGAAAGGTCCAAAAAGGCTGGGACCAACAGGCCTATAGACTGACAGTCCTAGAGCGTCAGGCCCAGGCATTCCAGGCCCAGACGGATAGTCAGCAACAAGGCAGGAGAAAAAGGGTCCAGACGGACCCTAACACGACGTTCGCTAATATCGAGGATATCCGACGGGCGCAAATTGCTGCTGGCGAAGCAGAGAGTAGCACAAGTGAATCCAGTGGATCTGAATTATCTAGTGAAGCAGAAAGTTGCATCTGGGTAGGTGGTAGGGATGAGGAATAATGGATGTTGTTGATGGGTATGGTGATATTGATGGGGGTTTGGGGCTGCGTGGTATGCGGGGTTGCGTGGGAAGCAGGGTGGTTGAGTTACAGAGGCGGAAATGGAATCGCCATTCCGACGCTTTTCCTGAAGTCTTTGCCTCGGCTAGCATCGCGTTTGCGAGGTAGAGCAGTCCTGAGTGCCAAAGGAAGCAGTATGCAGACTGCGGATAGCTTTGCCGGTAAAGGAGCACGAGTCTCTTCAACTGGTTCACGGATGATTTGTATACGGCATCCGGGGTGGAGTCTTTGGAACTAAAGGCGGGAAGTCGCTGTCTAGGAGCGCCGTGTTGCGGAAGAAGAGGTCTAAACAGGTCCATGATGACCAAGTGATAATATATACTAGACACCGCTGTAGCTCCTGAACTTTATTGATCACTTGTGACTTACTGCAAAATCATAGCGTGGTGTGTACACTCATCGCCCTGAGCCATTTCGAGCGGCAAGCTATCTGCCCATTCCAAAAGCCGTTGGTAAGTCTCCGCGGCGAAGGGCAGAGTTATGGCATTGGCGCACGGGGCCTGTTCTGTTTGGTACATGGCTTGGATCAAGCTGTGGGCTATCGAGGAGAGGCGGCAGTGCTCACGAAACAAATTTTCGCTGTGTGTTTGTCTTTCGTGTTCTTTCGGCGTGTTCACATCTTCTGCAGCATGTATGCTATTGTCTGGCGGGGATAAATGGGGTGGGTGCTGGACCAGGCGCTGATGGACGTGCATCGAGAAAAAGCTTTGTCAGACCCATTAGCTTGCACACTTCAAGGTTACTGACAATGCATAAGATGCAAATTCAGATCACCGGGATCGAATTTATGTCAGAGAACGACTCTGGACAGATGAATTCTGCTTTGTGAAAAGTGAGGGAGGAAAGGGTTAGGACGGTAATGGGGATGGTCTGTGAGGGGAAATGGAACGAGCAGCTGGATTCATGAATCCAATGATGACGTACGTAAGATTGTTGAAAAGCGCCCACGCAATTCGGGCTCTTGCTCGCTGATATTCGGTGTTGTCGTTAGAATCGCTCTTTGATATCTGAGAAGGGTCAATGTCGAAAAGCTCGAGCCTTATGGACATCCCTAAGAGATCGCTAAGTAACTCCACATAATCTGCCCCTGCCCCATGGGAGATTGCGGTTATTAATAAGTAATACAGGGCAGCCACAGTACAGACATGATCTATGGCTTGAGCTTCTTCAGTGTTCTTCCACAATGCCTTTGCTTTATTATAAAAGGTATAGCTCAAAACTGTGGCCTCTGGTTCAAAGGCAGCATATGCCTGCTAGTTCAGCATAAGACTACGCATATAGTTGAATTATAAACTTATCAGTTGTGAAAACACTTACAGAAGCCCAGGCCAATAGCGCATGGATGAGAATTCGAGAACAAAACTCATTTTCACCAAGCAGCCCGTTCAGTAATAAGTTAACGTCAATCAGGGGCATCATTGGGTGATCGGTCTCGAGGTAGAGCTGTAGGACCGCGATGAAAAATTCGCTGGTGATGGGCACATCCGTCCATTGAGTTATGTCGACACCGAGCAGTCTATTGTCATACAGTGTGGACGGTCTGAGAGGCTCAACCAGACTTTCTGCGTCTGGGCTTCTCTCTCGACGTTCGTGGCCATATGGTGTAAGGTAGGAACTACCATCGGACGAGCCTGCAGTACTGAATAGATTTGCAAAGTTAGTGAGGATCTAATAATGCGCCGCCGCCAACAATAGCTTTAGGTACAATCGGGAGGTTCCTAGTACATTTCCAAGCCCGTTTCAGGGCTAGCAGAGACGTAACAGCTCCATCTGTGCTGCTTGACAATAGAAAAGCTTACACAATCTCGCCAGCTCCGTCCCATCGAAGTTTTCTTGGGAGCAGCAGGAACTCTAGGTCAATCCTGAGTGGCCGAACCGGCGCCCAGGTAGGGTAAGTAAGAGGATGCCTTGTCATCAGCTCGAATTCCAAGGAAGACTGCTTAGGTGGTAGAATTGCCCTATTGAGCGCAGCTTGCGACAACCCTACGTTGTACCTCCGCAAAGCTGAGCCCACCTCGGCCGGTTTGTTACCACTTCTCAGAAGCTTCAGTGCCTCTAGGGCCTCGTCATCTGGCACATGCTTCAAGATTTCAAGCAAATCTCCGGCGTCAGCATTGTTTAGAGCTTCTTCCTTGTCCACAAGTTGGGTTCCGGGGGGGATGGCCTTCAGAATGGAGTTGGTAATCAGTCTGTATTCACACTTACGACCACGGCGCAAGCATTGTGAGCATTCTGGTTTACCGTCGCACTGTTTAAAGTTGATTGTCAGTACTACTGGCTTGTATACGAGGCACCAATACTTAGCATGGCCAAGTGGGGCTTGGTCGGCTGCATTTTGGTTTCTGAAGAGGAAGGAAACCCCGCCGTTTACTTACGGCATTCTTCTTCTCCCGGCAGAAGTTGCATGCTTTCAAAGTATTGGGTCGTTGTCTTTTGCGTCCCTTTCTGTTACTCGCATGATTTTCCGTGATCTCTAAATCGTGACGGGGCCCTTGGGCGGGTTGCGGAAGAAGCGGACGAAGCCGCTGACCGTCCAGCGACATATGAAGACGATGATCGAGTTCTACGCCGATGCGTGCCGGGTGTAAGGTCTGATTTTGACGATCGAGAACCTCTCGGTAGTAATGTGATAATGACAAAAAGATTTCGAGACTTTAAAGATTTGTTTGCCACCTCGTTGGTCATTTCAAAGGGATGGATGACAAAGGATGAAATGAACCCCGGCCGCTCTTATGACACACTAGGAGTTGGCCTATACCGTCTTGGACCGTGTGGCAACGCTCGAGCTACTGACATGTGGCTATTGCCTATTTCGATTTGAAAATCCTTATATAAGTCTACGTGGGCTGCAAACTAGTGTGAAACAGGCAGCTGCCCACACCAGCCGGCGAAATTCCGACGTGAAGCCGATTAGACTCCGGAGGCCGAGTCACCACACAAGCTGATAGTGACGCACGGTCCAGCGGGCTTCTCCACGCTGTACATAACATGCAATCTGTCGGGCAGTGACATGACAAGCCCGGGGTAGGGGGTCAGTGTGATGATTGATTGATTGATTGATTAAATCACATTACGCCCCGATAGCGAAAGAGCAACTGCCGCTTAATTTCATAAGTCCTTTTATTTACAATCAGCCGTTCGGCTCGTCCAACCTTACATAAGCTTCTCCTTTTACTGGCTCCATGCACTGGGTATCCTATATGGTTTTGGTTCTCGTGGATTAGTTAGTCCTTCCGACTGGCTGGGTTGGAACTATCAAAAATATGGAGCCGCCGGAAGTAGCTGGAAGCGATCACGGGATATACATTGGGTAAATGGGTGGGCTGGGTCCTCATTCTGCTGCTGAGTTGACCAGCACCTTAGCAAGTCTGGATTTTCCATGTATTTCTGTAAATCAATATTCCTAAGAAGGGATGCTCCTCGTCAGCGGAAGTCTGCCAACACGTGTCTACTGATGGTGAGATCTGGACAAGAACCCGACGGCTATTCAATGCGATGAATAGTAGAAGTGAACTCTGATTGGAAATAGGGGTGATTTGCACTCCCCATTCGTGCTCCTTTTCTGTATGCCCGAAGGTTTAGGAAGAAACACCATCAGAAAGGAACAAACTTGAATGAAGTGTTGTTTAACATCATTGGCTTACGGCTTCGATCAGCCCGGAGTTGGCATCCATTACCCCGCCGGCCAGCCGATAACTATCGGCCGCATCAGTCCATGTTTCTTTATCTAGGTATCCTGGTGACTGAGCCACCAAACAACATCAATGAATGGAGACTCGGGATTTTCACGCATTAGGTAGTATCAGCGAATGGCCGTGGGCTACTGAAAAGCTATCGAACCCTGCGACTGAAACAAACTTGATAATCATAAAGCTGTAAGACGGCCCTTCTGACCAAAGATCGGTAATCCGCTGTCGTACATGCCCAGGATTTTGCTTAAGCTACAAGCCCATGCAAAGATGGAGGCAGCATCAATACTATTCAGACATAGATAGCCCGTTGCAACTGGATATCAAGTTACCCAACCGGACTCCGGTGTCGCCTTTGACCCTCAGCTCTTCGGACGAAGGTAGCACAAAACTAATTGGTACGTCTTTCAACGCATCTTACCATGGTCTAGTCCCTCAAATCACCGTTTCGCCAGAGGAACCCTGGTACGTACGCTTCGCAACGCACAAATGGCGTTAACTAGTAACGGGAAACAGTATCTTGCCGTTTCGAGTAAAGATTGGCGCATATCCTCGAGGAAGCTTTCCTGGTCGACAAACGCGAGGAGAGACGGCTCATCCCACTGAAAGAACCCAGTAATCAGCTCCGACACAATGCTGTCGTTGGCCAGATCGGTCCAAGGTTTTGCAGGGACCTTCAGAAGGCCTGTAGAGCGGTCTGCACCATTGGGATTGATAAACATGACATCACGTGGAGTTGTGTCGAAGTCCACTCCCTGCAACTCTTAAAGATCTCGACGGCTTCCCCTTCATGTCAGAGGTGTAGGGAGCGCAGGAATTCGTGAAGGTCTGTGTTTTCGCGTTCGAGTTCCTCCTTGTGTTTACGGATGGATATGGCTCGTGAGGTGTAAGGTTCTGTATTCCATTCGCATTGAACATCTTGGGACGAACGACGTCCACAATTTGACCGCCTTCCAGTACACTAGCAAGGGGTTCGATTTCGTCAGTTTTGTGACGTTTTCGGCGCATATCAGTTGACTTCTCTATTCCGTCTGCCTGCCTGCAATGCCAGAGGCAAACAAGTAAAGGTATGACTATGATTATCCACCAATATTCGTCACCACCTAGTAGTTTCCAGTAGTTCTGTATCTCCCTTAGGCGGACTTAGTCCCTAATAGATCTCACGGTTAGGATAAAC